TTTTTGATTTTTGAATCATTCTTATGGACACATATTTTTTTAGAATGCCTGACTGACAATAAAGGAACTGTGTTGATACTGATATTTTTTTTGCTTTGCCCTTTTTTACTGCATCTTCCCATGACATCATGATTTTCTTGCTCTCTTTCTGCTATTGGACTTTACTTTATGGCTGTACAAACCTGTGACATTACTCACAGCATTCATTGTTCTATCCCTTTTTTTTCCTTTTTTGACAATCTTATCCTGTACTACCTATGCAGGATTTGTCAGTGTACATTCCTTCCTTCATGTTCTTTCTCATTCTTTTTGCACAGCTATACTGTGCATAGCCTACTTTTATTTTACTATATAAACCCCTGTATTCTACCTTGTAAAAAAAACAAGAACTCCAATCCAGACTTCTTCTCTAAATCTCAAGTTCACTACTCTGCTACTTGTGATCCAGTGTGGTCACAATACTTCCCACTGCTACCACTGCTATCTGCTGTCATTGTCACTCGTCATTTTTGAAAGTCACTGTCATCCCTTTTGATTAGAGTCCTTCTGAGCACTACAGTTTGTGCTTCAGGAGCCTACTATCACTGGGAAACTTGTCACCTTGTCATCCTCGTCGTTCTCAAACCTACCTTGTGCTACCATTAGCAAGGTAGTGCTCATCTATACTCGTCACTAAGCCCCTATCTTCTATAAATTCAACTATCCCTCCTCCTCAAAACCCACACTCATACACCTCTGGGTTTTACTTTGAAGGATTTTTATACGTACCACCCCACGAACAACCAGACCACTCCACTGTTCTAGGAGGCAAAGCCCATAAACAAGTTCCGTGGAATCTAGGAGGATTGTGTGTTAGTTTGTTTTTGTGTGTGGTTTTCTAACAGCAGTTCTCATCATCGACAACGCGGAGAAGCTGAGGTGGCTCCCTCATTGTTCCTTGATGGCCTTCCAACCTGAGGCGACTCGTTGCTCGACATGGGTGTCGACCTCTTTTTCGACTCCTGAGAGCGATTCGTGTGAGCAGGTGTGCACCCCAAAGGGATAAGGAGTACCCGCTCTGGGCGCTGCCTGTGTAATCGGCGACTGCAACGAGGTGGAGGGAGTTGGAAGAGGGGTGTTGTTGGACGTGTAGGAATTGATATGACTTGCGATTCTTCTACTGCGTTGGCTTCGGGGACTATTGAGTCGGTTGTGAAGGAACAAGTTGGGGATGATGGAGCGGGCACGGGTAGAACAAGATCTGGCGGAGATGGGTGATATGCTAGTTGAGGCGACTGCGGTGAGGTTGGGGGGTGACGACCTGGAAAAGGATGCCCCGTCGTTGTGGGAAGGCTCAGCAAATCTGGGGGAGGGGAGGTGAGGTACCCTCGTTGAGCAAGAAGGTTCTTCACGTTGGTGCATATGGTTTGGCCACCTAGGCGTAGGAATGCTTCGACCGCTTCTTTCTCTCCATTCTCGCAATTCTTCCTTAAGCATCATTCTAGGGATTCTATCTGCAAGTGTTCCATGAGCAAAGTCGCTCCAGTACTCAATACGGAATTGTTGTCCCATGTAAGCTCGTCTACCAACAAACCCAGTGAGACGGTGACTGCGAGTAGTTCATCAGCAAGAAGGAGTGAGTTTTGCCAACGATGAAACGTGTCCAGTGGGTATGTGGCGGTAGGGCATATAATGTTAGACTGGTGAAAAAGGTAGAAGTATGCGCGCCTATCTGACATCAGTTTGGTGGCGTCGACGATGTTGGTTTGTTCACGAGTGAGGGCTAGGCGGTGTGCCCATTGTGCTTCGGTGAGTACTTGGGGTTCGGCGAGGTATGGGGGAAAACGGGGAGAGTGGGTTTATTGGTCAATGGGTGTGGTCTGAGACATAGTGTTTTTGGAAGGTGATTGTGAGAGGGAATCCTGTTGACTTGTTTCACAGTTTGTGTCTTCTTTTATATCCGTTCAGGATTCCGGAAGCATTCCATAGATTTGCTTCTTCTTCCCATGAGTTTTTGGCCGATGGGTAGTCCTTCCATTTGACTAAATATAGGTATCCTCTTCGGTTCTTTTTGTTACGTAGAATTGCTTCTACTTTGTATTCTTCTTGGTCATTGATTATCTCCGCTGGTGGTCTGATATAGTTTTCTCCGTGGGCTTTGGTTTGTTTGTACGGGGTTAGAAGGGCAGCGTGGAATACGGGATGGATTTTCCATGCGTCTGGGAGTTTTAGTCCGTACTTAACCAGTGATATTTTGTCAAGGATGATAAAGGGTCCTTCTTGCTTCCAATTGAACTTTCTGTAGGGTGTTCCTTTCTTCTTTAGGTTAGTTGCTTCTGGCCAAACCTTTTGTCCATTTGTAAACGTGGGTAACGGGTGTTGTGAGTATTTTTGCATACGTGCTCTTGCTAGTTCGTGAGCTTGCAAGGCTATAGTTCTTGCTTCTAGTAAACTAGATAGTCTTTTGCTTACGGCCGGTATGTTGGTTGTTATTGGTGTTGAGGGGAGATCCCTAGGATGGTATCCCATCATGAGGTAAAATGGGGATTTGTTCCGTGCCGAATGTGGTCTATGATTGTGGCAGAATTCTGCCATTGTGAGATATTCTGTCCAGGAGTGTGGTAAATTGTTGCAGAAGATCCGTAAATATGTTTCTATCTCTTGGTTTACCCTTTTGTTTCTCCATCGGATTGGGGGTGGTATGCCATCGATAGATTAACTCCGGTCTTGAGTAATCTGGCTAGTTCCTTGGTAACTTCTGCAGCGAACTGTGGTCCTCTATCGGATATGAGTTTGTCGTGTAGTCCAAATCTTTTGAACACGTGTTGGTGAAATAGTTTAGCCGTTCCTAATGCGTCAATAGTTTTCCTGCATGGTGATAGTATTACCCCCTTTGTAAGGCCGTGGTCCACCATGACCATGAGGCTGTCATATCCGTTGCTTTCTGGCAGATCTGTGATGAAATCAACGCAAAGGTTTTTGAATGGTTCGGTCGTTTTTGGGCCCAAAATCGGTTGGATGGGTATTTTGATTGGATTGGTAATCGCCTTGCTTTGTTGGCATGTGGCACATCCTGTGACGTAGTTTTTGATCATTTGTGTCATACCTGGCCAGTAGTAATATCTGGTTACTAATTGGGTTGTCTTCAGTTGTCCAGGATGTCCGGCTGTTACCGAATCGTGCTGTTGTTGAATACATGCTCTTCTCTTGGTTCCGATGGGAATATAACGGCGGTTTTTGTAGAACACATCGTCATCTTTTTTTTTGATGGTCCAATCTTTGGGATCCGAGTGCATCGGTAATTTGTTCCCTTCGCGTAAACTGTTTTGTATGTTGGTGAAAAATGGATCTGTGGTTACTACTGCGGCGAAGATGGTTTTTGGGAGTAGTGGTGTGTCTTGTTCTCCTTCTTCTGTGTACAGGTCCGGTCTTCTGGATAGATTGTCCGGGATTGTCATTTGTGTTCCTGGTATGTGTTTCAGGGTATAATTGTACTGTGAGAGTAGAAGTTGCCAGCGTCTTTGTTGTGATGTCAATTTTCTGGCTTCTTGCCAGTAGGTGAGATTTTTGTGGTCGGTTAGTATCTCCGTTATGTGGGCACTGCCTAGGATATAATGTTTCCATTCTTCTAATCCTCTGATGACAGCAAGCAGTTCCTTATTGTATATTTGGTAGTTCTTTTTGGCTGGGGACAACATTTTGGAGAAGAAGGCACATGGATGCCATACTCCATTGTCATCTGGCTGGTTTAATACCGCCACAGTTGCGTGTTTAGATGTGTCTGCCACAATTTGGGATGGTTTGTTCGGATCGGGTATCTGAGTGACCGGTGATCTGCTAAAGCGGTATTTCAGCAGCGCAAATGTGTCTTCTTCAGATTTTGTCCAGTTCCAAGTTTTTCCTTTTTCCAGTAAAGCATTGAGTGGTCTAGTGAGTTCTGAGTAGTGGCCAATGAATTTGCGGTAGAAGTTGCCAAATCCGAGAAACTTTCGCACTTCGTGGATGTTGGTCAGTGTAGGCCAATTTTGGATTCCAGCTAGCTTTACTGGGTCCATTTGCACCTGGTTGTGACGGACGATCATGCCGAGATATTCAATTTCGGCTACATTAAACGTGCATTTTTCTAGTTTCAGGTATAGGTTGTTTTCACTCAGGCATTGCAATACTCTTTTTGTCCGTAGGCAGTGTTCTTCTGGTTCTTTGCTAAATATGAGCATATTGTCCATGTATATGATAAGCCATCCTTCGTCTATCATGTCTGCAAAGAGGTCATTCATCATGCGTTGGAAAGTGGCCGGGGAGTTGCACATGCCGAAGAACATTACTGTGGGTTCGAAGAGTCCTTTTCGGGTTTTGAATGCCGCCTTCCATTCATCTCCTTCTTTTATCCTGACGTTGTTATACCCCCAACGTAGATCTAATTTTGTGAAGTGGGATGTTCCACGGAGTCGGTCTATGGGGTCGGGGATCATGGGTAGTGGGTAGGGATCCCGGATTGTTTGTTTGTTAAGTTGTCGGTAGTCTTGGCATGGTTGCAGAGATCCGTCCTTTTTGTCTATGTAAAAGAAGGGGGACGCCATTGGAGATTTGCTTGGTCTGATATATCCTTTCCGAAGGTTGTTGTCAAGGAACTCTTCGAGTGCGGTGTTTGCTTTTGGTGATAACGGGTAGATTTTACAATCCTTCAGTTTAAACTCCGGTTTTAGGTTTATGGCGTGATCGTAGATCCTTCTCTTGGGTAATCTTTCCAAAGCCTTTTTGCTAAAGACCCGTGCAAATTCTTTGTATGTTTCGGGTAATTCCGTTATCTTTTTCCCAACGTTGTTCTGGATAGCTAATTCCATTGCAGTGTTGGTTTTCACAAAGATCCGTGTTTCGTGTACGTAGTTGATTAATAGTTCTGGTTGATTGATTGTGATGGTGCAAATCATGGATCGGTCAGAGTGTGATTGGATGGTGCGGATGGCGTGTTGGGTATCCACACTTTTTGACGTCCAGTCTATTGTGGGGTTAACCTTGTGAAGCCACGGGCACCCTAGGAGAATGTCTTCTCCTCCTAATCCGGTGATGAGGAATTTGCATATGGCATTCCTTCCTCCTGCTTCGATTCGTTGATATGTGTAATGGGTGATTTTTCCTCCATTGCTGATGGTTCCATCTACGTTTTTGCATGTGATGGGTGTTTCTAGCTTGTTGAGTGGTAGGCGATGTTTGATTGCAAATTCCGCGTCCATGAAGTCGTCTGTTGCTCCTGAGTCTATTAATGCTTTTGTTCCAATGGTTTTTTGTCGTAACGTGGTATCAATTTGTAATGAGTTTGAATTGATGGTGGCTATTGTCACAATGGCTATTTTGGATGGTACCAACATTGGTATGGGTTGTCCTTTCAAAAACCCTCCTTTTCCAATTCGTCAATGGTGCTGGCTTGATCTGCTTCATCAAGTTCTCTCCACATTTTGAGGATGTGAGAAATTCCTTTACTGTCTTCCACTACCATTTTGGCTCCATCTTTTTCAACTTCTGCCATTTGGATCCTGCGATCTGGTTGTTTTCCTTTCTTCTTCTCCGGACAGAACCATGAGATGTGTCTCTGTTCTTTGCATATAAAACATCACCCTTCCTTTTTGAGCGAGTCTTCTTCGTCTTTGGTTAAACATTTTGCCAAGGATGATTGGCTTCTTCCCCCTTTCTCCTCTTTCTTCTTTCTCCTTTCTTCCCCCATTTTCCTTCGCTGATGTTGTTTGAGTTTGTCCAGTTGGCGTCTAGACCAGCAACTGTGCTCATCCATCCTGCGATATTTTTGGGTTGTGTAGAGGAGTTGAGTACATTTCAAAGAAGGTATGGGTGTATGGAGCTTTTGTACACCATAATTAGTCCTTCATCGTTTAAGCCGCTCTTTCCTGCGTCTACCATGAAACGGGAGTTGAACTTTACCGCCGTTTCTCCTGTTTCCATTTTCATCGTCATGAGGGCCGCACTGGCCGCCCCTTTTACATCCGCGGTAATGAATGTTCCATTAAAGTCTGTTTCGAAGTCTGCCCATTTTGGGTATCTGCCCGATCCTGTATATTCCGTTGATTTGGTTTCTTTCCATGCCAGGGCTGCTCCTTCTTCCATGTGGGAAAGTGCTTCAAAGACCTTCTTTTTGTCTGAGTCATAGATGGCGTTGTTTACGTCAAAATATGCTTTAGCTGATAACATCCATCCATTTGCTTGGTTGGGCATTCCATTAAATTCGTCTATTTGTCCGAATTTAGTGGGTTTGGATGCCGTAGTGTTAGACATGGTGTGTGTAGGCGGGAGTGGGGGTGGATTGGGTGCAGTGGGAAGGATCTGTGGTGTAGGCGGTGGTATTGGGTCGCCGCTTGCTGCAAACTCTTTAAAGTCGTTTTCGTTGTAGAGGTTTTCTACGGTTACTGGGGGATTGTGTTGTGTGGTGGGCAGTAGCTGTGGGTGGCTTTCTGCGTAGTACTGTAACCAACATGTTCTGGCTTCATAGAAAACATCTGCTTGTTCTCTGGTGTGGAGTCGGGTTACATCTGGTTGGGGAAAGGGAGGTGGTGCTGCTATCCTTTCTTGTCAGGATGACGTCGGTGGTGTTGCTGTCTGTGTTGGTCCTGCTTTGGTTTGTGCCCTGGTGGTGGGTCTTCTTCCTTGCAATATTTTGTTGTCTTTTTCATCCCTTCGCTGTAAAGCGTGGGATGTGGATGGAATACAATTGTTTTTTTACACTTGGAATGTGCAAGCCTGGTAACACTGGGTTTCTGATGTATAAATGGTTTCTGATAAGCCTGTCGTAGATGAGTTTGAGACGTATTCTGATGATGAGGGTTTCAACTGATGAATACCAAGTTACACTGTTGAAGCGTACAATCATATTGGAGATAGTAACTATGATACAGGTCTGTATATATAGTGACTACTTTAGGGTAGGTGTTTGTGTTGAACAAACGAGGACGGGTGATACCGAAATAGGCAATGTGTGTGGGAAGGTATATGTAGGTAGCGGAATGTAGCTACTTGTGAAGAGAAATAAAGTCTATGGTTAAGTACAGTTCGTAACAGTACAGGATAAGATCATCAAAATAAGGGGAAAAAAAGAGATAGAACAATGAATGCTGTGAGTAATGTCACAGGTTTGTACAGCCATAAAGTAAAGTCCAATAGCAGAAAGAGAGCAAGAAAATCATGATGTCATGGGAAGATGCAGTAAAAAAGGGCAAAGCAAAAAAAATATCAGTATCAACACAGTTCCTTTATTGTCAGTCAGGCATTCTAAAAAAATATGTGTCCATAAAAATGATTCAAAAATCAAAAATAATCGCACTGTAAATGAATGTTCTGCTGAAGAAAAAGGAACTGGAGCCACCGGTCCACCACCTAGTCCAAATCCGACAGTTCCATGGCCTTACCAATGGACTGGTTGTACTGGACCACGTGGTTCAACGAGGGAGGGTATAACGACTGAGTTGCACTACTGGAAGAAACCAGGCAACTCAACGTCAATCTCTAGCAAGTAGTTGAACAGGTGTATAAAGACGAAATCAAAAGCTAAGGTATGTACATCGTTGAGTGTCTACTTATATATGTAAGAACTCATGTCAGCCATGAGGCGCTGACTGATAGACATGAGGATGTATCGTGTTTAGCTTGGTAAGATGATTTGTAAGTGATCATGTGACTTAGGGTCACATGATGAGATAAGAAGATAGGATAAAGAGGCTACGTGATAAGATAAGGAGAAATGAGTGTTTCTACGTCAGAGTTGGATATGAAGGGTGAAATATTAGGTGTAGGAGGAGAGGATCGTGACATTACCCCCCCTTTAGGACTTTCGTCCCGAAAGGTTGGTTCGAGTTTGCCATTTTCCCAGTTAAATATCCTATGTTTATGGGAAAATTCTGTGAGGTTTTCGAACGGTTGATAATGAAGTAAGAAATTGATTCGGCGTGGAGCGGATGGGAAGTGATCATGGAAGTCTTTGACTAGTTCTGGCGAATTTTTGACATTTCGCTCAGGTTCCCATGTTCGTTCTTCCTTTCCATATCCTTTCCAATGTACCAGATATTCTAACTTGCCACGTTTCAATCGTGAGTCAAGTATTTGTTCTACTTCGTATTCTCTTTGTCCGTCAACTTCAGCGGGGGGTGGAGGTTTTGGTTTTCTTTGACCAGGAAAGGTTGGTTCTTTATAGGGGTGGAGGATTTTTTCGTTGAATACTGGATATACGTTTTTCCATTTTCCGGGTAGTTTTAATTTGTAAGCGGCCGGTCCGGTTTTCTTTTCGACTACAAATGGTCCGTGTCGTTTATCATCCAGTTTCTTTGATGGTCGATCAGTTGTGATGTGTTCGGCTTCTACATAAACCTTGTCTCCTGGTTCATATTCAAGACTTTCCTTTTTTGTTTTGTCATATGATCTCTTCATAATCTCGGCTGCCTTTGCCAGAGATTTTTCTGCTTCTTCCCTCGTTTCTTTCATTCTTTCTACAAACTCTTCCGCACTCTCACTCTTTACTCCTTTCCTAATTCCTTCTACTATTTTTGGGTGTTGCCCATTGTTTAAATAAAAAGGACTGAAGCCGGTAGCTGAATGTTCTTTATTGTTATAGGAGAATTCTGCTAATGGTAACCAATCTGCCCAATCGTCTTGTTTATGGTTAACAAAGATTCGGAGATATTGTTCTATCTCTTGATTAATCCTCTCTGTTTGACCATCGGTTTGTGGGTGATAAGCAGTTGATGGGTTTCCCTTTATACCTAGCATTGTGTAGAGATCCTTCATAAAATTAGAGACAAATTGGACTCCTCGATCTGAGATGATTTTATCGGGTAATCCATGAAGTTTAAATATATTGTCTCTGAATAGTCTCGCTACTCCTTCTGAGTTTAGCTCAGCATGTGTTGGCATAATCCTGATCATTTTTGAAAAGCGATCAACAACTACCATGATAGTGTTGTAACCCTTTGATTCTGGTAATGGTCCTATGAGATCCGTTGATATGATTTGCCAGGGGCGGCTTGGAATCTCATTCGGATGTAACGGTGCGGCCTTTTTTTGATGATCTGTTTTTGTTCTTTGACAGGTTTCGCATCCGGTTACGTATTCTTGGACGTCTTTGTCCATATATGGCCACCAGTACCATCGGGTAATCAATTCCTTTGTTTTATACTGGCCTGGGTGGCCAGCTATCGGGGAATCGTGATTGTCTCTTATGATCGCTTCTCTGAGTTTTCGGTCTTTTGGGACATACATGCGACCTTTGAAGTAGATGAGTCCTTCATCGGTCCACCAGCCGTCTTGGCGGTTGTCTATTTTGTCCTTAACCTTTTGAACGAGTTCGTCAACGTTCTTCATCCTTTTATGAATCCATCTTGTGATCTCTATATTTTTGGCATCGTCAATTGCTATCTGTTGCCTTTTTTCGTGTGATAGAGTCATATTAATGGAGAATAGTTCTGGTTTCAATAAAGTAACATTTTCGTTATCATTCTTTCCCTCGTCGTGATCTGATCATCTGGATAGTAGATCGGCTTTGATGTGAGTAGCGCCTGGCTTATGATGTAATGTGAAATGATAATTGGCCAGTTCGCTAACCCATCTTGCTTGTCATCTATTGAGCTTCTGAGGTTGTTTAAAATATGTTAGGTTCTGATGATCAGTCCAGATCTCGAACTCTTTCGCGACGTCCATTAGGTAATGGCGCCATTCCTCTAACGCCGTCATAATGGCCAATAGTTCTTTATCATATATCTCGTAGTTTCTTTCAGTTGGATTGAGAGATTTAGATAAATAAGCTATTGGTTTCCAGACTTCATTCTGTTCTTGAGAGAGTACTGCTCCTAGAGCATAGTCGCTACTATCCGCTTCTACTCGGTATTGACCGTCATTGGTCGGGAGTGCTAATACGGGGGTCGTGCTTATCCTTCTTTTTATCTCTTCGAAGGCTTCTTTTTGTTCTTTTCCCCATATAAACTCTTCTTTACCGGTCAGTTTAGTAAGCGGTTTCGCTATTGATCCGAATCCTTCGATAAACCTTCTATAGAAGTTAACAAATCCTAAAAAGGCTTGCACATGTTTCTTTGTTTTGCATTCTGGCCAGTCTAGGATTCCCTTCACCTTAATCGGGTCCATGCGGATTTCGTTTTCCGAGATGATTAATCCCAGATATTCTGTTTCTGTTTCTTCGAAATCGCATTTTTCCGGTTTTAGGTATAGATGGTGTTTTCGTAAGATCTGAAGTACACGTCGCGTCATTGCTCGGTGTTCCTCTATCGTCTTTGTGAAGATCATAATATCGTCCAAATAGATCACTACTTTTCCTTCATCAATTAGGTCTTTGAATATAGAATTCATCATAGTTTGGAATGTAGCTGGTGAATTTGTTAATCCAAAGAACATTACTAACGGTTCGAACAAGCCGCGATTGGTTCTAAATGCAGCCTTGTGTTCATCTCCTTCCTTGATCCGAATGTTATTATATCCCCATCTTATGTCAAGTTTTGTGAAATACTTGGCGCCTCTGAGCTTGTCTACAAGTTCATTAATCAAAGGTAATGGATATCGGTTTTTGATGGTGATTTCATTTAATTTTCGGTAATCTTGTACAGGTCGGAGTTTGCTGTCTTTCTTTTTGATGAAGAAGAATGGTGAAGCAATCGGAGATTTACTAGGTCTGATGCGTCCTGAGTCTAAGTTCTCTTTTAGGAATGCATCTAACTGTTCTTGTTCTCCTAGTGCTAATGGATAAACCTTACAGTCTATCGTGTGATCGCCTGGTATTAGTTCGATTGCATGGTCCCATTGTCTTCTCTCAGGGAGGGTGTCAAATTCTTTTTTGTCAAAGACATCTTTGAATTCATGAAGGTATTTTGGTACAATGCCTTCGAATCCACCTGTTTTCTGGTCTTTTCCTGCTGCTTCGGCAAGCTGTTGTGCAGTCGTGCCGTGAGCGCGGATGTGGTGCATGACGTCAGGAATGGATGTGTCTTCAACATTTAAGAAATTGAATTGGATAATTCTATCCCCCTCTTCAAGATTGACCTCAGGGCAATACGTTTCTAGATCTTCTTCGGGATCAAAGAATCTTACCATCATGTTGCAGTCTGATGGACATCTATTGAAGTCTAATTTTGACATGTTCCAGTCTATCGTGGGATTGTGTTTCTTTAACCATTCATGGCCTAGGAACATCCTGCCAGTTCCAAGATTGGTAACGGCTAGCTGGAGTCTTTCGGCGTGGTCGTTGATCTCCACTAATATCTCTACGAATTCTTTAATACTGCCGTCTCGGTTTAGAGTGCCGTCAGCATTGTATACTGGAATTGGTCTAGGGATTCTATGCCTTTCATATCCCTGTTCTTCAACAAATTTGTTATCTATGCAACTTCCGGTACAGCCACTGTCTAATAATGCCTCAATCGTCGTTGATTGATGGGATGCAAGGTTTGTCAGTCTGCAGGTGATGTTCATCTGGTTTCCCTGAGTGCCTCTAATGAATTGCTTAGGCTTCTTCAGTTCTTCCAGTGCTAATACCGTTTCGTGAATTGGTAAAGCATTCAGTTCTTTTATCAAGTCTGCATTGACTTCCAATCCTCTTTTTCTGTGGGTCCAACTACTGAGAATACCAATAGATCTTTCTTCCTTTTGGTCTCATAGTCTTTCCGCTATCCAGGCAGCTGTCCATGGTGTTTTTTGATTCTTTTTATCTAGGTTTTTATTAGAGGTGTTCCTGACCTCTTTGGAGCTGGTCGAAGCATCAGTTTCGGTTACGCTACCCAATTGAGTCGTAACATTCTGTGTTTCAGTTGTCTCCTTCGTAGTTGCTGCGCTTTTCGTGGCCCTTTCCCCTTTAGGTACCTCGTGCGCCGCATCCTGTGCTGCGCTTTTCTCTTTCGAGTGCGCCGCATCTTGTGCTGCGCTTTTCTCTTTCGAGTGCGCCGCATCTTGTGCTGCGCTTTTCTCTTTCGAGTGCGCCGCATCCTGTTTGGGAATCTTTTCAACCCGTTTCCCTTTCAGGTTCTCCTCTTTCATAGATTGTTCCTTTCGTTTCAAATCTTGTGCATCTTTAAATAAAGCAATATCATTTTCATCGTTACTGGTACATGTGGCATCAAGATTTTCAACAGGTAGGAAAGCATATCTATTTACAAAGTTCTTTGGCACAGTCTGACGAGGAGTCGCAGCTGGCCTTCTTAAAAACCCTGGAGCAAGTTAGCTCGTTCTTCTTCCGGCATTGCTTCTAACATTGCTCGGAGATCGAATTTTGGTTTTTGTGGTGTTTGTCCGTTCAGATGGTCTCTGGCTCTATGGCCCTTTTCTCCGCACTTGAAGCAGCGTCCTTCAGTTCGGAACTTCTGCTTGTCTACTTCCATCTCTTTTCCGGCCCCGGTATATAATGTACCCGTGCCGTCTTTCTTCGCTTCCACCGTCTCGGTCTTCCTCTCCGAAGCACCCTTCTCTTGGTATCTTCCATTGGGTCCCCGGTTCCCTGTACCGGAGCTGCCGTTGGTTGATCCTTTCAACATCCGCTCATTCTCTACTTGGTCTCGCCACAATTGGTCGTTTGTGACGATCCTTGTCTTCCACTCTGTATATGATTTCATATCTCGCTCTTTCTTCCTCGTGTGTGTCAGCGAAATGGTCTTTGAGGGTCCTTTCAAAGTGAGCCCAGCTCTCTAAGAGGGTGATTTCCCCTGCATCTGACCTTTCCTCTGCGATCTTCCTCCTTTCTACCCACTCTGTTCTCAGGGCCGCTGCTGCCCCTATACTCATATAGGATAAGGTGAAGCTTATCCGGTTCCTTTCTCGGGAGAAGTATGCGGAGTTTGCATTAAAATGGAGTTCTAATGACTCCGAGAAGCTTCGAAACTTCTTCTTGTCTCCGTCATAAGGTTCCGGCTTTGCTAATGCCGTTTTCCTAAATTCTGCTTCTTGTGCACGTGGCAGGCCCATTCCTGAAGGCTGCCTCCTTTCGCTCTCTGCGAGCCTTCTGCGCAAGTCTCTTACTTCTTCGTCTTTCGATGAGAATCTCTCTTCCCATAATTCGTTGTTGTCTGCGATCGCGTTGTTGACCGCCGCTAGGATGATGTTCTGCAGGTTCTGCATTTGCTGCTGGTTGGTTGCCGGCGATGGTGCGTGCGGCTGAATATGCGGTAATGCGTCCCGCAAATCTGACATGTCGGTGCTCTCGGCCATGTCTGGGTTCTCTCGATATGTGTCGTAAGACATTCAGGGATGATGTGGGGGATGGTGATAGGAATGATAGGGTTGGAGTGATTCGTTCTTGTTTTATGATTGGCCCGGGAAAGGGTAGAATCGGGATCTGGTAGGAATATAGTGGTGCAAAGGGCATTCAAAAAAGGTTCCCCAGATGACAAATCTGGATCAACACTTCTTTAATGAAGATCCCTTTCTCTGTCTTTCCTTCTGCTTATGGGTTCCTCTTCTGTCCCCACTAAGCGTGTACGTAAACTATCTATTTATAGTACCAGTGTTCTAATAGTATCGTAATCGAGGTCCGAACGGTTGTCTCGATGATGGCCCGCGTTAACCGCTGTCAGCCCTCTTCCTACTGGCGGAGGCAAGTGCCCGGCCCGGTAAGAAGTATAAAGAAGTTTTTGTAGCTAATAGAACCTTAGCGACTCCACGTCACTAAGTTCTCTAAGTACGGGATTGTGGGGGCGGATGATGGGAGATAGAGGGATAGTTTCGAAAGATGAGTTAGATGGTGATGATTGGATGAAGGTGATTATAGTGGATGGGCGAGTGATAGGGGATGTGATTTGAGAGAGGGGTGTGGTGAGGCAAATGTATAGTTTGAGTAGAACGAAGAATAGGATGATAATGACGGGGGTTAGGATGATGATTAGGATAGCCTTTGTTTCTGTCATCAACTAGGTGCTCTTTACTAGCTTTTGATTATATAACGACTGAGTTGCACTACTGGAAGAAACCAGGCAACTCAACGTCAATCTCTAGCAAGTAGTTGAACAGGTGTATAAAGACGAAATCAAAAGCTAAGGTATGTACATCGTTGAGTGTCTACTTATATATGTAAGAACTCATGTCAGCCATGAGGCGCTGACTGATAGACATGAGGATGTATCGTGTTTAGCTTGGTAAGATGATTTGTAAGTGATCATGTGACTTAGGGTCACATGATGAGATAAGAAGATAGGATAAAGAGGCTACGTGATAAGATAAGGAGAAATGAGTGTTTCTACGTCAGAGTTGGATATGAAGGGTGAAATATTAGGTGTAGGAGGAGAGGATCGTGACAGAGGGAGGGGAGTAGTTCCAATTTGGAACAAGTGAGTCCCAGGCAGCGTGTGGTAGGTGTAGCTGTAGCAAAGACAATGTATAAAAGATAAGTGTACCCAAGTGAATGAGACAGCGATGTACATGGGCGACGCAAGGGGATGAACCTTCTCCAGCTCAAAAACTACCCACCCACGCTCCAACCAGGCGAGACAAGCGACCGATGTTTTGATGGTATATGATGGAAGATTGACGTCATGAAGATGGACCTTTTGCCCAATTTGTACCAGCCGCCGGGGCTTTGCTGATATCAGCAGTGGCACGTGGTGGTTGACAAATTGGCAACGGAAATGGATAGAAAGTGGTGACATCAGAAATAGTGGGGGAGCAAAGAAGATGAGGAGGAGGAGGCTGGAGATGTCAAGGAGGTGAACCAGAATAGGGATCCAGAAGTAACCGTTGGGTGAGAATAAAAAAGAGAGTAAGGGTCCCATGGTGGGACTGAGTAAAGAAAAAAAAGGTAAGGGAGGGCGATGAAAGCGAGGGCGCAATGTGTAGCCAGTGGCGACGTAAAAATTTGCCAAAATACCAAAATGCGGAAAGTACCGAATGGAAAAGCAAAGGTGAACGCGACTGGATTGCCTAATAGAGGTGGTGCTGATCAGCCACAAGTTCAAAAAAGGCAATATTAATTACTATTCCATGTGGCACTGTGCCTGTGTGGCGCAAAGGCGAGTCTTTTTGAATATTCGCTTCATTCTTGACACCTGTCCATGCTACCAATCAACTTTGGTGCATGAAAGTGTGAGATACTTGTATCTAAAAATAAAAGGAAGGCAGTGCAGCGTCAGAAGGTAGAGTTTGAACAAAAGGAAAGTGCCACCTGGCACCGTGTGTGAAAATTATAGAAGAAAGTTAGATAGGAGAATGAAAGTTTAAAGGTCCAAAAATTGTGTATCGCAACAGTAATAGAAAGCGAACTATACATGAGTATGTAGAGTTTTTATAGCTAACTGTCTATCTCTCAGACCAAAAGAGGAACAATAGAAAAGTGGTCTGAGGAGTAAATCAACCAATAAGAAAAAGAAGAACTATCATACAACTTCAAGAATTAATCAGCAGGTAGGAAGATATACTAATAATAGGTATTGTTATGCATGTTCAGGAACCGTATCCTCATGATGAGGTACAATCCTGACTGAAGTGTTAATATATCCAGGCACTGATGTGGCATGGAGCTGGTTGGCGAGATCTCTACTGCCAATGCTTACCCATTGTGCTGGCTGGCTGGGAGTGCTACCCAGTCTCTGATCTGCGATATGAAGTGGTAATGATGGTTAAGAAAGCCTGTTAAGGCTATGAGAAGCAAGATGGCAATGGATACCTCTAGCCCTAGAGCTAAAGGTGTAACAGGGAAAGTGTCTGAAAGCCAAGATATGGAAGGAAATATAAGAAAAGATAAATAGTCCTTACACGCAGGAATAGAAGATTCAGGCATAGAATGTCCGTCCCAGTATGCGTAGATGTAAGGAGAGTCTTGGTCATCAAAATGTAACCTTGACTGCCAATGACCGGAGGATGTGAAGGGGTGCACTGAGTTGATACTGGACATGGATGAGCACCTGGGGTATCTGTGAGAGTCGAATTGGTGGGTTGGAAGACATCGCAGTGAACAAAAGCGAGTCAAGCTTGAAAGTCCTGCTTTTGAAAAGTTGTCGGGTCGCTCAGCGCACGAAGTTGTGGTGGTACTAAAAGCAGATTCGTCCGTTTTATATATCAGTCAATAAATAAATATTTAGGATACATTGCTACACTCACCCGCTGATAGTTATCACCGGAAACCTCCCGTTATAATTCAATGTGTGCAGAGGGCTGTTTGAATCCCTAATCTGAGACTCACGCAAGTGAAGTGTAGTATTGACCAAGTGGATATCAGTTTGAATTCAAATGCAACCATGACTGACCCAATCTGGATTCGTAAGTCGAGTGATACATTTCAATCCAGACTTCATGCCTTGAGATATTAGAAGTGAAAGGGTGCGAGAGAAAACCTTTCGATCACCAGAACAACTCCACGGCCCATCAATTTAGTTCACCGCTGGATTACTGGACAGACTGCGAGCGTAAGCGAAATGGTATACATTCGTCCTTGAATTGCTTCCTCTGAACGATATGTATTTATAAATCCACGACCAAACAAGCAGTTAAAGAATGTTCCACAACACCATGCAGGGATGTCCGAGGGTTGAGGAAGAATCGACCGTAAATATATAACAAAAGTTCCAGCTAAGGAATAGGACATTAGACCGTGAAAGATCAAACAACTTGCTACGACATACCTTGTAGTGCTAGTTCGATACAGAAAAGACTAGCACGCTCCCTATTATACTCGATTTGGCTGAAACCTCCACCTAACCCTTCCAATCTACAAATCGCAAACCAACCACACCTTCCGGTGCACCCTCAATATTCGAAAATCCCAAACGTTCATAGAAAATTCTCGCTTGCACATTCTTTGTATCCATACCAAGCCATACGGCATGCAAACCAGCGTTACGCATATGCTGTATTGCACGGTCGATAAGCTGCCTTCCAAGCCCGCGACGTTGATACGCTGGGAGGATGTCGATATGTAAATGGGCGGTAGAATAAGAAACGCAGGCGGCTGGGGCAGCTGGGGGCGAAAGGAAGTGTCGGATGATGCGCATATCTGCTTCAGTGGGCGTGGGGTGAGCTGAATCCGTCGACGGCTCTCCAGAGTCGGGTGGGAGATACGGCGAGTACTCAGCACGCAAGGCTGGCCACCACATTTCCTCTTCCGATTTCTCGAAAGCGCGAGTGTCTATAGCACCTAGAGTGTATCCAACCACTTTCTCTCCTTCGTCATCTTGATCAACGAGAACAAATCCCCAAGTACTGGCTGCATTCACATATGGCACTGCATATACAAGTCCTAGCATTTCTGGGAGATTATGAAGGTGCTCTGCAGTCGTGCCAGCATTTCCCGTGACAAGGCAGATGTGAGAGAGCGCGGGGGCGTCGCTGGATGTCGCTGGGCGGATGGAGATGGTCATCGAGGCTAGTTTGCTTGTCAGCTCAATATTTTACTTTAGTTAAGCCTTCTTACGAGCTTTTTGCGACGTTAAGACCAAGAAACGAATACCGATATACTATAGATGGGGACGTAGGAGGTCTCATTAACGTGATCACATGCATCTAGTTCCTAGATGACACAGCCACACGAATGACCTCCCAGCAATACTATACATGATGAGTGCAGACTTTTCACAGGACGTACCAGTCGCAACGCCAAACCCGGTAACGAACAGTAATACTATAGCATAATTCATGCTACTACGAGATCACTTCCCCCCACTTTGACCTGGCTATATTCGATCTTAAGCTGAAATTGAGATATCGAGTACATATATAGTGGATACAACCAGAAGTAGGTGTGATGATTCGTTTTCGTTATGTACATTCGATAGTGGGCTGTCACGACATTTTCCACCTCAGAATGTGCAGGCCCTAGAAGTTATCGATCAATGCGTACCTTTCACTCATTTGCATCGTGGACAAAATCCATTTCAGAAATCTGTGGAGGGTGCGCGATAAGTCCGTCTTGCTCTACTAATGGATCCGATAGCCAATGCTGCCAGTTACAAGCAACGAATTGATTGCCAATAGCACCGTCGTGCGTCATACACCCTAATGCAAAGAAAAAGTAGGATCAGGATAAGTAGCTTCTAGTGGTTATGGACAGCACGTACCACAAAATTGATGTGGTTTGTTGTAATCGTACACGACGCGGTGGCGAGCTGCACCTACCTCGGTAGGGAGCCGCAGAGGGTATTCAACAAGAGTTTGAGCAGCAGGACAATTGTGAAAAGTGATCCTTTCATTGTTACTGAACCTATGGGGATATATAACCCCGCTGAAAATCTCTCAGCCTCACAATGGCTTATAAGTGATAACACAGTTACTTAGTCGCAGTCGGAGTTGGGTTTGCAGCAATGCCCATACCCATTGCTAGATTAACACTGGCCGAAGGAAACGCTGTAGCTACATAGTAGAAACATGGATTAACATTGACGACTACGAGTGAATTCAATGGAAGGCAACACACGATAAATAGTCCTGCCCCCGCTCAGGACTCGCGTAGCTGGGCAGTTGCAGGCTCGAGCGCCCACTTGAGCATAAACCTGGACAGCAAAGGAAACGATAGCCAACAACGCAAAGAAAGACCTCATACTGTGGGATGGGTTATTAGCAAGTATCCAACTTCTTAGTGATTATGTACCCTACCTGGGGCTTCACGCCACTTGTCATTGACGAGATCATAATGACAATGATACGATTTACTATAGGAGACAAAGGTACCGGTGAGAATGGGTACGCACTAGAAGCATGATGACATGGAATGTTTATATGATTGAGTTCGCGACTGAACGGCCGTAATGCAAAAATGAGAAGGAATTCCAGCTACCGTAAAAAGCGGCGTTGAGTATTTATCGGTTGACAGGGAATATGCATTCTCTCAAAGTTGATTGGTGCACTGGTGCCTGGTGGAGTGCATGGATGCAAGCAAAAGGAGACTAGTTTTCAAGATATTCCAGGCGCCAAGGTTGCTGCAGACGGGTCGTAGAGATGTGCGATGCGTCTTCCGGCCAGGGTTTTTGACAGGTCATATGACGGCGCATTCAGCTTATAACATATAATGAAGGATGGGAAGAACAACATAAGTGGAGTCCTGCCATTTATGGTTAGCGCCCTGATGAACTCCATCTTCTAATCGTCCTATTATCATTCTATCCCTGGTTTCTGTGACCAGTCTATGCGATGATTTGCCAAATGAAAATCATGCTGTGCCAATGTTTCCACGAGGCTAGACACGCTATGGAGCATTGCTGTTCCGAATAAGAAAGAACGGGTCCATTCAGCTACCGTTCACCCTGCAATAAAGTTAAGTCAGTAAGCCCCAGTTGGAAAAACCAAGTCGCATGTGCGACCGTGACCGTGGCTCCTGTATTCTGTATCCCATTAACAAGAAAAAGTACTTAAAAAAGTAGATAAAGTGCATGCAGAAGTACCGATAATCGGTATCCTATGAAGGAAAACGTCAACTTCCTGAGGAGAAGAACTATGAGGAATGACTGTTGCTTGTTTGCAACTTGTTGAACCTCGCAAGGGCGCGACTCGGGAATCGGAAGGTCGAACACGTGGCGCACACCGCTCAGGTGCCGACTTGAGCTTCCAGTTACCGGCCTTGGCTTGCATCTTTACGACTTTACATGCACCTTTGAATTGCAGGAAATAACGGTACAACAATTGCGGTATTTGCTCAGTCATTTCCATGTCTTTTCCCTGACCTTCTCAAATCTAGCTAGATTGCGTTGCTCCACCGACCAAAAAAACCACCATGAAACTCGCTCTCACGAGCTTCCTCCCTGCATTCCTCTGGGTCACCGCCACTCTCGCCACCGAGGCGGAATCTCCCAACGTCGTCCGGATTCACCATCGAGTCGCCCATCCCAACCTTCCAGTAGTTCCCTTTGTCGAACGCGGGACCATCGTCCTCCCTGACTCTAGCAACACGCGCGCTGGAAGCGTACCATCATCTATATCCCTCGTACCATCAGAGTCTATACAAGATGACCTAGCCAGTTTCTCAGAGGATATACCGCCCAATCTAGAAGGTGCAATGTACCAGATCGCCCTGGAGCACCCAGGGGATGAGGATGAGAGCCAGTGGGCAGTGTCCATTGTAAAAACGGTAAAGTGTCCCCTCCATCTATGCGTAGCAGCGTGTGTGTTGTCTGCATATGTGATAATCTAACTCTTTTATGTCCCCTTTTTGCAGTGCCTTCTCCCAGAGAGTACGTCTGATACTCTAGTCCTACACTTCTCCGCCTCAGGAAAGCCGTTCACGCTCGACTATTTCGTCTCGCCTGTCCCACACGATGGCGCGTGCCCCCAGTCTAAGAGTAATGATAGTACGCCTATCTACCCTACGCTCAAAGATACCCAGGTTATCCTTCGCCCAGCGAGATTGCCTCCACTGTACGTTCCATCTCGAAACCATTCAAAGGCACGCTAGCTAACGCACAAGGTTAGGCCTGAACTCCGGACTCCTCCACCCCTCACTCCCCAAGGCGAGCCCGTACAGCCCATTGCAGAAAAGAGCTTTATCCAAAAATACTGGATATACGTCGTCATTCTCCTCGGTGCAATCTGTAAGCCTTGCGCCGTCTTTGCAGCACTGCCAAGTACTTAATTTGTCTCTAGTGATGTCAGGGCCACAAGAAGAGCCTCAAAAGGGTGGTGGAGGTGGAGCAAAGACGGATTGATAATCTGCTTCCTGACCTTGGGCACACAATATAGGACGTAGCTGGCTTTGCAGCCGTGCTCAATATATTTTTGGTTGTAATGGGAGAATATGACATTCGTTTGGGCGGCATACTTGACACCTTGTGGTGTCCAAGTTGACATGTTTCATCAATCCCGATGTGAACGGGCGCAGCACATGTGCTTCAAGTGCCTGTTGCATATATGCAGGTAACGCAAGGGATGAAGGCCAGAAACCATGTTGGTACAGTCTGTACTCAGCGTCGTTTGCATGTTCCACGAGGCTGTCACGTGAAACTGCTTCTTCAAGTTGTTGAGCAAAAAATGAATATCATTGTTGACGTCAATGCCCATGTGTACTGATTTACAGGATAAAATAATGCTTAAATACTAAAACTACAAGTTGCTACATTATTCGTATGCATCTACTGGAAAATAATAACGACGGATACAAGTTTACTGCAAAAGACAACGGCAACTCACATCACTCGGACGTTGACTCTCCCTGAACCCATGATGTTAACGTTCGCCGTTCCCGACATCCCACATGCATTGGCATTTCTAACCATTTTTGTTACCCTTTCGCAGCTCTCCATCCTCGCCTGCATCATTTTTTCAAAGAGCTCCAGAATCTGCACACCTGAATCACGCTGCTGCTTGCGCTGCACCATCGAGCCATTGGCTCTATCCTTGCTCACTCTTCCCCCCACGACACGCGTGAAGGAGAGCCCTTCGAGCTTGAGCCGGTAGCTCTTTTTACGCTGCATCCACTTGGACTGACCGGGCGAGTTCATGGACGGACTATGAGGCTCCTGTTTGACGCCCATATCCATGTGGTGAGTGTCATCCTCGTCTGCTGCGATCGTGGTCGTGGTTGATGACAACGATTCTGATATAGGTCCTGTGCTGGATGAACTCGAAGGGGAGGCAGAGATGGTTGGATCCGTGGAAGAGGAGGCGACGATATCGTCGGAGGTACCGAGGTCAGGTATGAACGATTTGCCTTGGACCATGAGCTCCAATGACGCGCGAGTGCGATAGACCCACATGCGCTCTTCGTGATAAAATGCGGTGAGTGACTCGAGGAGACTGATCGTGGACTCGACGTGGTAGGGTGCGTAGGGCGAGGAGGGGGGTGTTGGTAGTGCGGCTCCCGAGATGTTCTGTGGTGGGAAGTGGTGGTGTTGGTGGTGGTGGGGATGGGAGAGGGGATAGTGGGCAGCTGCGGTGAGACTCATGATGGGTGGAGAGTGACGGCTGGGGAAAGGGCAGCATTGCGGAAAGATATATAAGCCGCGCTAATGGACAAAGTCTCGACCGACCGCGCTCTTTCGGTTGGTGGGTCTAAAACCAGTCGATTCCGATGCCAGCAAAAAGCGTCGACGCTCGAGACCTCCTATTGGCCGGTCCAGACGTTGCCTATTTAGGTAAGTATGTTCATGCTACTGACGTAACCCTTCCCCAGCCAATCGCCACCCTCGGCTCTGCAGTGTTGATCAAGGCACATATCTCCACTCTCCCTCATCGCAAACAAGACTCCATCTATCCTCCTCGTTACCCCAATCATATGCACGGCTTCTCCTTTGCTACATCATCCCATAATACCAGTGCTCGCACAATGATCTCCGTCACAAAACTCACAAAAAAGACGCTCTTGATAACGATATCTCCCACAGACATCGTGGAGATAGGTCGCATGACACTGCCAGTGTCCAATAAAAGATTGCCATCTTAGCAATATCAATGGCTCGCTGAGAATATTCTTCGGGTAGTCTGTCATCCCCGCGAACTCGATCGATACGCGACTAGACACCTGTCGCCATCCCCGCATCCTCTCAGCACAAGATGACTCGTCCAACGACAACACGATCGAGTACAACTAGCAGAATTCGAAACTGGCAATCCATCTAACCCAACACGTAACGCCAACCCCCCAAGGGCTTATAACTTCCCGCTACAGTGCCGCTGCAGTCTGGTTCTCATTAATGACGCCTGGGCGTGACGTTGTAAAAATCTGGGCCATTATACCCGCGGAGCAGACATCCTCACCGATTAAAACCTACAGAGGAACCGGTCACAAGCCACGACTCGTTTACGACCACATCAACTGGGATCCAGGCCTTTTGAATAGAACCCTTGTAGCTGATGCGGCGGCATGGTGGGAATGTGGAGGATGTAATCTGGCTGAAAACGTGAAGAAAAGGAGGTATGAGAACTTGGATGACCAGAGTTTATGCTCAGCGAGGCCTCGAGATCAATGCTTCCCTGGGAGTGACAGCCTCAATCTCACACGCACCTTTTGCAACTCCTAAGATATTATTCTTCGAGCAGGGTCAACAGGCTCTGATCATCGAGGACGAAGGTATGATATCATATGAAAGAATACAGTCATATCACGATCGTTATCTGTGTAAGAAGATGCTTCGAGGTCGGATATAATGTTACTCCCGAGCCAAAATCAAAAAAACACAAGCTTGTCCATACCGCGTTAGAAAGCAACAAGCAGCGTGATAACATACCTGCATCAAACAAAAGTTGCACCCCGAAAAGGCGATATTGGCCAGAATAGAAGCTGATACCACACAGTCCCCGCCCATAAGTTAAAAGAAAATCTTGAAAGAATCGAAGGTACTGCGGTCTATGAGCGTATTTCGCCGGCTGCTGGTAGGTCGGCCGTGGAAAGCATCACCGCAAGAGCATGCCGCAGTTCTTTCTCCTTTGTGCGAGGCATTGAATTCGCACTAGTACAATAAGAGTTGGCAATAATATGATCGCCCAACCCTGCAGGCCGTGGAGTGCGCAAAAGAGCTTAGGTTAAAGGGGAGACATGGCAGGGCCTGGACGTCGAACGTGCTAGATTTTTTTTGATTTTTGATTTTTTTCGGTGCAGAGGTCTAGAGCAAGTTAGGAGGCGGATGTTGTTGATGAGTGGTGAGAAAGATGAGTTTGTTGTCTTATGTTTTTTTAAACAAGTTTCAGGGTAACCTAGTTACACTCGCTACGAGCGCTCCACAACGCTCTTGCGCGGGGTCTAAGAAAGAGACCGGAAATGCGGCAGACAGTCGCTGACATGTCGCTCCCAATGCCGCTCCGCCCCAACTCCGACCTGAACTTGACCGACCAATAGTCGATATTATTTGCTCAATACAAGCAACATTGCACATATATATAATCGAGAACGACGACAACGGATACCGCTCCTGCATGTGATCGTCGGTCCACCACGAGCCACGGCGGCCAAGCTGCGGTCATGTCTATGTCGGTGACTGGGCTCAAGGTAGACTAATCACACCTCCCGCCGACCTTCATCTTGCCAATATTAAATCTACAAAATTCTTACGATGATTGAATTGAGTGTGATCATGACATAGTTCTGACGACCTGATCTGTGAGTCCTGTAATGATGTCGATAAACGTTCCTCGTGATTCACGGTCATGCCCCTTCATCAACCCAGTCCAATCAAGCGATCTAGTCAGTCCCCTGCTCCCGAGAACTCACGAATGGCTGATTTTTACTGCTTTATACATAGACATAGCGAATCAGACATCATGAACTCAACGTGCTCGTGCTCGTGCTATATCTGGTGTTACTTCCCGCGTGATATCCACTCCTAGTAATACCAATGCAAGCCACCATCTCCGCCTGTTTCCTCTCTACGAAGCAAATCCAGATTAGCAACCCTCCATCCTTCGTGGTCACGGTGTTGATGACCTGGACCACATGTTGCTCCATATCGGTCACGGGAAGGAAGCTCCAGGAGGGGCGGATGGCTGCGGCGAGGCGAGGAGTGAACTCGTATTTCCAAGCTGGGATAGCGGGAAAACCGATTTCATGGTGATAGAAGTCGGCGAGGGCTTCATTCGATTCGTTGGCATGCGTTGGACTCCACTTATCAGAACTCGAATCGATGGCTATCTTGACCGTACGGGGTATCTGTTGGTTCCTCTTTCGTCGGTGCTGATTCTGATGAAACCACTGAAAGTAGATAACCTGAAAGTTCGCGTGCTTTCAAAGAGCGATTCAAACTTTGATTCCAGGGTATAAGGGCCACTGTGTCGAGAGATCATCTAGCATAATCGCGATCAAGTCAACTCTCATCATCACCCCTTTTAACACTCTTGGTGAGTAGCAGTTCGACTGGATGGATGAGTGGATGGTGAACGTCTCAGCCAATACCTACTGATCAAACTGTGTTGACCTTGCAGCAATTCGAATATGCCTACCCCAGGGAAGCCAATGACCCCCTCTGATGCGGCTAGAATCCAATCAGCCAATGTGAGCATCACAGCTTTCATTGTATAGCTTGGCGCATCTTTGCTAATGTATTGGCCAAGGCCAAAGCAAACCAGCCTACTGGGAAAAACAGCTTCCCGGCTCGCGCACAGGCTGCTGCTGCCAATAATGTTAATGCAGCTACCACTGCCGCTACCAATGCTGCTAGTGGCGCAACCGGGAAATTCACTGGAAAGTCCAAGAAGTAAAGGTGACGAAATGTGGAACGTGGTAGCAGCTGCCCATATGTAGTAGTTGTACCTTCAGTTGTATGAGCGAGCCTGGTTGGTTGTATCGTGAATTGTGTTGTATCTTAAACTGCGCTGTACGATTTGAAATGAGTGCACAGATGCGTGTATTCTTGCGAAAATGTGCCGTTGAATGACTGCAGCCTCGATATCTATAGATCAGTGCGATAGCAAGAGCGTTTACGACGTACTACTTGTACTAATCTCGAGCTATTCTTTTGACCAATAGCAGTTTGTCTGAGAGTCAGATTGTGAGCAGCATTACATCGAAGAGGCTCCCTACAGAAGGTGGAGTAACGCCTTTTTTGGAAGGAAGCGGTGGACAGTAAGATATATCGTAGCCTTTCTGGTAAGGAGGATCTTTATATTTCGTGGACGGGATATAGAAAACGGCAAAAGCTGTGCCATTGTAGGAAACACGACAGGTTCAATGCGTATTTGCTATGCGCAGATAGCTGTAATATAGGTATCGTTGATACAGGGAGGTCAAGCTGGACAGGCTATTGGAAGTACCACGATCCGTTGGATCTATATCGGTTGATGCAGTGCCATGCTGCACATCCTGTTCTTAACGCAGCGCAATGCAGCGAACATTCAGTAACCATAATCAGAACAGAGATGTGATTAGCTGACATTCTTTGTACTTTCTCCTCGGATACTGAGAATAAACCACGGCAAATTGAAGAAGGTATCGGCAAGCTCCCAGGCTGGGATCGAGGGTGGCAAGGAGGGGGACCTACAGCTACCAACAAGCGAATGGTGTAGTCCGAGGTTGGCCCCCTGATTGCGAGGTGTGTATGTACGCAGGACGAAGACGTTTTGATGGAGAAGGACGATAAAAATGAGTGAGTGGTAGTATTTACTTACATGCCTGTGAATCTGGGAGCAACAAGAAGAGGAGATGGTCTGAATATGGCAGGTGTTATGAAACTTGGCGGCAACGGCACAACAAGGCCAAGCAAACATGTGGCTGTCCGCTTCGCTTCTCCATCTGCTGATACGACCACTGATTCATCCCTTTTGTCTGCACCAGTGTTCCTCTGATACTCCCACCTTCCCTTTGCCAGTCTCTGTTCAATCTCTACGCCCACCAGCGAGGCGTTGGCTGCTACGTTCATTCATGTCTAACCGCTATGCTCCACTGCCCAACCCACGCACAGACCCGGAGAACACCGAGCTAGAGGCTGCCTTTGACGAGTCTGACGAGGAGGAGGAGGAGGAGGAGGAGGAGAGAGGGAGAGAGACCAGCAGCGCTCTCCCGCATTCGCCCGAGTCACATCCCCTCTACACATCCTCGCCGTCGCCGTCCTCATCCCGGCCAGCCCGGGTCCCTGGTGCGTACGACTTCGAGAACGTGGACTACGATTATCCACCCCCCGGCTCTCCCCCGGCACCCTCTGCCGTCGCCCTCCCCAATAACCACGGAAACTCAAACGGCGTCATCCCCGTATTCACCGTCGACAACGCCCCACAGCCTCCCCAGTCATCCCGCAGCTGGTTTTCGCGCACGGCCGCATCCGTCCTTCCAAGTCACTATGTCCAGCGCTGGGGTTTCGTCCCTCACCGACCTCTCACTGGCCTCGTAGGCGGTGGGACGAACAACGACGGTGTCTTTGCAAATGTTACTGCCAAGCCTTCTACGGGTGTAGTAATACAGGATGGTCAGTCTTTCTTTTCTGCTCTGCTATCATGTCGTAGCCCCTTTTGTTCTTCATTCTCCTATGCTCACCTCCAAAATTTCAGGTGACGAACGTTATCTTGTCCCAGAGGAGACTCAGTCAGAGGCACCTCCCTCTTATGCCTCTGCTCAGGCAGATGCAGTTCCACCTTATTGGGAGACAACGGTTCTCGCTCCCTTCTCTCCTTCAACACCTGGCGACGTCGTCGTCGACTCGCTCCCTACTGGCTCTCTTTTCTCCTTCCTCTGGAACGCTCTCATCTCCGTTTCCTTCCAGTTCATCGGTTTCTTGCTCACCTATCTTCTGCACACTACCCATGCCGCTCGTTTCGGCAGTCGTGCTGGCCTTGGAGTCACACTCATCCAGTATGGCTTTGGCTTGCGTGCACGCTTGGACGATAGCAATATGATCATGGCTGATGGTGTTGTTGCCAATGGTCAAGGTACAAATGACCCCTGGCGTTGGACTTCTGCTACTACGGCAGCACCCACTTTTTCGTCAAAAGCCGAAGCAGACGAGTACTACGCAAATTACTTGAATTCTACTTCCGCAGGCGGTGTTCAGATGGACGCCAATGCGATGGTATCCGACGCTACCACCGAATGGCTCGCTTTCTTCCTAATGACGGTCGGGTGGTTCGTTCTGCTCACATCTGCGTTGGGCTATTGGAGGGTGAAGAGATGGGAGAGAAGCATTCTTTCAAGCTCTGCCCCTTCGCCACCGTCGAGCGAGGGTAGCGAGCGGAGAGGTGCTCTTTCCTCGTTCGAAAATGCGTTTGGAATCAGTCTGCTATCACGACGTCGGTCCGGCCGTAATACCACTGCTGACGCGCCTCCTTCTGCTCCCCCGTCTGCTCATTCGAATCCGCAGAGGGCCGATGAAGACGACGAATCGGATGGCGAAGCAGACGAGATGCGTCCCATGTTGACTATTACCCCAGAGGAAATGCATGCAGATCCAGAGCGTACGAGGAGGTTAATACTTGCTCTTGAGTCTGAGAGACGTTTGCAGAACGATCTTAGGGCAGCTGGATTAATTTAGTGTCGTGGTCGAGGATAGTGCTTGTCCCTTACTGTGATTTATATATTTACGGCGTTTTTTTTTTGCACCTGGTCATTTATTATCTTCGTCATTTGCATCTGAAAAATGCTGAGTATTTTCTTTTTTTGTTTAAATAACGATTATTCCTTGTATTAATGAAATCAAACCTATTTGTCGCCGTTGCACAATTCTGCGAGCTCGTTGGTCACGATGGAGAGTAACACGTATAAGGAGTTCTTTTATGTTATCTGAATGTCCTAGATAGATATTGCCGGCATCGTACATTGCCAAAGCAGACATAGGCGCTCCCGATGCTGATTTACCTTTCGAAGCACCCACAACAATACATTGCTTCGAGTTTGATGGTCCTAACGATAAGTCAGATTGTATACTAACCACCTGATGAACACTTCGGATGGGTTTCTTTACGGTAGCCTACTGTTTTGATCTAACGCCCAACGTTGATATTTGGCTAGCAGTATAATTGTGTAACACCATGTCTGAATCATGGCCCATCTTGTTTGTTTCCTTCAATCAACCCGAGCAATACCAAGTCTACGTACTTCACGAATCCAATCCTACAAACACCACGACAAACCCAAGACTCCTGAGCGCGCGCAAGTACAGATACTAACACATCTTATATCTGATACAGTTTAATTACTTCTGCTTTCCTAAATATGACTCCCTAGTCGTCTCCTTCCAATTTTCTTCTCAATTTGCATCCCTTGCATCTTTCTCTACTTCGTGAAAGGCTCGAGATTAAACTCGAGCGCTGAGCAAGGGTATGTGATCTCGAATTTCTCGAGCACGCTTGGATGGAGAACGCCCAATGTGCCGATCTCCAGGTCTCGGGATGGGCTGTTGATGTGTAAAGCAGATTCGATGCTGTGTGTTAAGCCTTTCAAATCCTCCTCGAGAGACTTCAGGGCCGAACTGGGGCGTGACTTGGGCTGGGGCTGACGGTAAAAGATGGTGGCCGCGCGTCCAGGGAAGTAAGCGGGATCTGCGATAGGAGAATCATGTTAGTCAAATACAATGAACAAGTCATGCGCCAAAATGATGACCACAGACATACCATTACCCTCCTTGATATAGTACCCGGTTCCTGCCTTTGCGTCACCGCTTGCAATGCGTGGAACCTCCAGCATCTTCATGGCGCGATCAAGCAATCCATGCACGACTTCAAAGCCAGCTGTCTTGTTGCACCACACTCCTGCTGCATGTCGTTCATTCCGTGCTTGACGCTCGGTTGAGGGGTCCTTGAATACCACGTCGGATGTTTCGAAGAGCTTGATAGGGAGAGCATGCGAGCGATTCTCGCGGATGGTTTTGAGCAGGCCAGGCAGCAAAGATGTGCGGACTACTTGGAACTCGAGCGTCTTGGGGTTTCCAATTTTGACGGCTAGCGTCCCTGGGTCAGGACGGTTAAGGAAGGCAAAATTTTCTTCGTGGGAGCACTATCACGCATTCAGTGGGTCAAAGCTACGTTAGGTTGAAATCGGGGGACATACGAGGATTAGCGGTAAGGCTTCTACCCATCCTGCCAATGCCCACTCGATACGAATAACATCGCTTAGTCGGCTGATCTCCAGGGGCTGAGCCACCGTGCTTGTAGCAGGGAAGGTGTGCGGAAGGTTATTGAATCCATAAGCGATCGCAGCATCCTCCATAATATCACACTCGTGTAAGATATCTGGCCGCGTGGGCGGTATATCTACTAGAATCTCATCCACCGTATCGGGTGGAGAAGGCGAGATGTGTAGAGACATGCGCCGAAGGAGATCGCTGACAGCAGGCCTAGAGAGGGATAGCCCTGTGCACGAATTGATATATGAAGCGTGAGCAGTGAAGCGATGTGTTGAGATATCCGGGGAGATGCGTATAGACTTATCAGGGAAGATGATTTTGCAGGGCTCAATACTGCGGCGTCACGCATTAGCAATGCGGCAGGTGGGATATCCAGCATGACCTACTTACGTATAAGGATTTTGGCAGTATTCGGAGAACATAGTTGCAACCATGTTGACGACAATATCAAGTTTGGTCTGGTCAGTTGCAGTACAATCAATGAAAACGTTCTTCGTGTTCAAAGTGATTTTGCTGTGCTCCGAATTGATGATCGGAGGCATTGACAATACATGGTCCTCAGAGTCATATATGATAGGGTATACTGGCGAATCCCGGATGATGTGAAGATATCTCGACAAGTGTTTGTCAGACTACCAGTAGAATAATCAGTTGGTGATAACGAAACGATCATATCCACGTCAATATTACAAACCTCGTATATCGTCATCAGCTCCTCTGCCGTGTGTGACTCCGCCTTGTTGAGTGCTACAAACTTGATTTTTTTGGGATCTCTAGCCTCGTATCTGAAAGGTGGGGTCAACGTATCCAAATCGTGAGTACCGATCGCAACAAATTGACGGCGCCGGGCGATGTTTTGATGTAGCTTGTCTTGAAGATCTATGAAGGAAGCATACGATAGAGGTGTGAAATGCACATTGCGGAGTATCGCGCAGGCGAAGAATGGTCGGACTTGTTGGGTCTTTGGGCTCGAGTTTATTACATAGAAAGCTGCTGGAGCGAGTGAAGCACGTACCTCTGGGTGAACTGTTACTGTAAGTAAATCTTTCTCCCCGCCAGGAGGGTATACTAGCTTATAGCTAGGAGCTTCAGCTTTTCCCAGGAATACTCGTAGTGCACGCGAAATGCCTTCGATACACAGCAGATCATATCTGAGATAGTAACGAGTAAGCAGAAATATTGACTGTCTTCATGGTGTGCGTACCTATTCGCTGGTATCTCGATTTTGAGTTGCTAGATCACCAAAACATTAGCTGTGGGTTTGTCTGTGTGTAACGCCCTCGTACCGGTCGTTCTGCAGGGAGGCCTTTCTTGATCGCTTCTTCTACTTCCTCCGTTGTCTTTGGAAAGGTTAATACAGTAATTCTGGACATGAGCTCGCGAAAAAATACGTACATCCTCGTCTAATTCTAAGCCATAGTCAAAGCAAAGCTTGTCAAATTCCTCCGATGCTGATTAACCGAGATAAATATCAGATCCATGTCTACTAAAGCACCAAGATCTTACTGTATCTATGCCCGAGTCTTTGGAAGAGATCCTCTTTATCCACTGGAACGGTGGGCATCGTGAAGGGAGCAGTACTGAAAACTTGAAGGCTGAGTGTAATCGCTGACTTTTGCCAAAGCGGTCGAGTCAAAGGGACCCCAGGCACACTATGTACGGATATGCAATTCAGATTAGATCATTTCGGGGTCTATTATGGGACCCCTTGCTTAATTTCTTCACTCATGAAGTACGTTGCCTTGCTCAGCGGTGGAAAGGATAGCTGCTATAATCTTTTGCATTGTCACAAGAATGGACACGAACTTGTAGCTGCAGCATCTTTGTCACCGGAAACAGGAAAAGGTCCGGCAGCAGTCATTAGTTTTGGGACACTGCTTGAATGCTACCTATCGAATAGAAGAAATAGATTCATACTTGTACCAAACTGTGGGACAGGATGCCATCGAGTTTGTCGCACGAGCCCTTGAAGTACCACTCTATAGGAAAATTATCACTGGAGCTGCCATTGAGCAAGGATCAGAATATGGAGGGCGTAGTGCTAAGGATGGGGGAGGCATAGAAGGAGATGAAACCGAAGATCTGTATAATTTGCTCTCTGATGTCAAAGTATGTGTATGTTTTAGTCAATTATATTCTAACTCGTTTTTAAATATCTGGGGGGTAGTCGCATCATCCGGATGTACTAGGTGTTTCTGTTGGCGCAATTCTTTCAAATTACCAACGGGTCAGAGTAGAACATGTGTAAGTGCTTCCACATTTCTGCTTGGGCTTACTTAGAGATGTCTGGAACAGATGTCGTCGCCTCTCGTTAACTCCACTGTGTTATCTTTGGCAAAGAGACCAAGCAGAACTCCTCACTGAGATGATCGAAGCGGGAATGGAGGCCATCCTCATCAAGGTTGCAGGTATAGGACTTACCCCGATGCACCTGGGAAAAACTCTTGCAGAAATGCAGCCAACATTAGTGAAATTGGTATGTCTACATACCCTGACCGAATTTATTTTTTTATCCAAAATAATGATAGAATACATTATATGGTTCTCATATATGTGGGGAAGGGGGGGAATATGAGACCCTGACTCTTGACTGTCCCCTTTTCAAACATCGTATTGTGTTGTGAGTGGATAGTTGTCCGTTTGGTTTTATTTATTCAATACTATGCTTTCCAGAACTGAAACAGAAACCGTCACCCATTCTGATAGTGGTTTTGCCACAGTAGCATTTCTCCGTATCAAAGGTACTACTTTGGAAAGAAAGGAGGAGAATATATCATTCGACCTTCAAGTGCCTTCTCTGTTGACCCACAAATTCGAGGTCATTAGCGTCCCTAATCGCACATCCCAAGCTAACAGTACACATACTATGGATGGATTGAACGATTTCCCTTTGCCTTCCTACTCTTCTGGTGCAGAAAGCAGATCACTGGGATCATGGGTCGCGGTGACCAATGTGCATAGGAAACTCATAGATATAATGGGTGAATTATCTATTGAAGATGAAGTTTCGGAATGCTTTCATCAGTTGCAAGGTAAAGCCATTATCGCGTATTCAAGTTATGATTCACTAACAGTGTACCCTTCAAAGACTGCTTAGCAGCTCACTCCCTTACTCTTTCTCATAGTGCCAATATCAACATATTTCTGTCGTCTATGGATTTATTCCCTCGCGTGAATGTTGTATATGCCAAGTTCTTTGGAAGCAGTCCACCGTCCCGCGCGTGTGTTGCTGTAGATCTCCCAGCTCCACTCCGTGTCAAACTCGATTGTTTAGCATATGCAGAACGCGTGCCATCCGACCGTCAAGCTTTACATGTACAAAGCATGAGCTACTGGGCACCTGCTAATATTGGACCCTACTCACAAGCTATAATGGTATGTTCAAATGCTAACATCACACTGTACTTCTCTTATCAATTCCACTGTGTAGGCCAATGAGCGTATATTTATATCCGGGCAGATCGGGCTTATACCAAGCAGCCTCGCTCTACCATCCCCTCCTACGATAGATCTCGAAATTGCACTATGTTTTCAACATGCCGAACGTGTGGCAACTGCTTTCAAAGCTACAACTGGTGGATGGGACGGATCTACTCAAGCTGCTTTATTCTGGTTGGCCAATTCGAACGACGTTGAGCTTGTAAAGCGAGCCTACAAAACTTATTACAAGGTTCGGTGTCATTTTTTCTCTAGTCTGCAGGGATAGTGGAAGGAACTCAAGGAATTCACAGCACTGTCGTGTGCCTGCACTATTCTTAGTAGTGAAATCGTTACCCAAGGGTGCATTAGTAGAAAAGCAAGATTTACTACACAGTGGTCGCTGTCTAGTAGAGGATGAAGACGGCGAGCAGACAATGGAAGCACAGACCCCTCTTGTAGAATCAGGTTCGAGACCCATCCTCTGACATTGATGCACCAATCTGAATCTGATTTGATATAGGTGACATGCATGATCAAGAAAATATGATTCACTGGGAGGTCTCACGTTTCGAGAACACAAAATCAGGAGGATCATGCGGTATTATTTTCGTAAAGGGTAAATGCCACAGGATATTTGAGTCACTGTGGTCTGATGTATCATTATAGGTGACCATACTTCGATGTCATCGCAGCTCAAGATGATTCCTTCTCTCGGTCATTTGTGGTCACGCACGTTATCGATTCGATTATTCTATAGCTCCTCAGGTGGCAATTCATGTACGTCTGATGACGTTTTACAGAATGCAAATTCTGATACGTTCACAGGGTTATCGATGGTCCAGAATATCTTTGGTTCAGATGTCGTACCGCCTATCAGTCCTATACCGTGCCGACTGATATGCAGCCAAGACACGAACAATTGGGATTATGCACTATGTATTTTCCATGATTAGAACTAGAGGGAAGACTATAAGAACTGGACAACGATATACTGGCCCCATAAAGAATAGAAAAGTGTGTTACAAAAGCTTCCAGTCCATCCAAGTGATTCCATATGATGACACACGAATAACCGTGAAGATTATTATGGGGCAGACTCTGCTTTTAATTCTTTCAGTATGACAAGCTGTCTTCTCATTCCTTTCTCCGTTCTCGTCAGTGGTACCATACGAGAAATCAATGCACCAATCTAATCTATAGCTTCAATAAACCCATACCAGGACAATAGGGAAAATAGTCTTACCAGCGTACAGAAGCCACCAAATCGAAGAACCCACGCTACGCCATTTCTGCCGAGGTACGTGTCGTGATTGGTGGGATCTTGACTAGACTCATCAACGATACGGAAAATTACGCTGGATACCACGGCCACCTGTGATGATCATGAAAAAAAAATCAACCCTCTGATTGATAGCACTCACAACGAACTGCGGCATCACTATGGCCAAATTATGAATACCTAGTATAGTGCCTCCAGCTGTGGGGGTGGACTCGACTTCCGCTTCGGTGTTTTGACTATCATACCCATCAACGGAGCGTTGAATCAAAGGGTCAGTCTCAGAAACAGAAGGAGCTGATGTAGAGATCGCCCGAACTTGAGAATTAGGAGAAGTAATTTCATCAGGAGGTGTACTGTCTAGTTCTTTCAAAAACTAGGCGAAAGTTGTTACAATGAGAGCAGACATCGCCGCAAGAAACACTTACCTCCATAATAATCGCGAAGGGTACCCAGCAAGCTACAGCCCAGCAGATACCGATGAGACTTATTGCGGCGGTGGCCTAAAATACATATGTCAGTCCTTTTCGAGGCGAGTTGATCAAACATTCGCACCTGAGGGACAGTGCTGATGAAGAAAGTAGAAAATGTGATAACAGTGAATAGGATCAAGGCACCAGTCCATATGTCACGCAAAAAAATAGGCGACCTAGGCAGCCTGAAGGTTTTGCCATGTCGTGTTGCCTCTTCTTGCCAGTGGCGTATATGGGCTCTAAGTCGGGTGAAATCCTCTTCTTCGTTATCACCTTCCCGGGGTAGTAATCGGCGATCACGACGAGCTAGGTGTGGTAGTAGTGTTCCGGCAGCGACAGCAACTAGAAAGAAAAAAAATCAGAATGTGGGTGAATTTTTTAAAAAAAAATGCATCTGATCCACCTAAACTGTATAACAACAGTGCAAATTCGCCTCGTCTGGTCGCGACATCCTTATCAGGTTCTACTCCATTTTGGTATGCCATTATTTGACCTATGTATGTTGTCCTAGATATAAAGGTGAATTATACAAGATAAAATACGAGTGGATAAACTTGCGCGTAAAAAAGGAAGGGAAACCTACAACGCAGTGAGCATGCATGTCCATGATAATCGTAGTGTACATACCATCCCATGAAAGCGAAGACCTGTACAAAACATACACGACGGATAGGTTTGGGAAGCTTGACCACAGCATTGTATATGTTTTGGAGGACGTCGTACAGTTTGCTTTGGCTATTTGGACTTAGATCGACGCCTCTTTGGAAAACAAGATGGCAGACATTACTCACCTCCCTTTTTTAAGATCCCGAGACTCTTTCTCCTCATGACAGAAGCATGTTATCCATACGGTGACGGTCAGAACAATCATGGTCACCACACAGAATTTCCGAAATTGATCACCACCCAACAAGCGAAGCAGGGGTAGCTGTGCCAGAGGAAGATATCCTTAAGTTTGACAAACCTGTTAACGTACGCCACGAAGTGCGAACTCCCATACACACCAAAACCATAGCCAATTATGTTTCCAGCATGGGCCATTCTTCCATGCCATGCATTACCAGCATTGAGCTGGTCGGGAGGGGTAATATCAAGCAGAAGGTTGCGGAGAGAAGCTTGCAATGCGTTGAGAGCAAAGTCTAGCAAATAGAAGAAGAAAATAGCCAAGCCAATGGCTGTGTTTGCTGCCTAGTACAAGGTGAATGGAAGTGCCACTAGGGCGGATGCACGAGTTACCTGCTTTGCCCTTTGAGGGTCCCAGTCACCCGCTCCTACAGCAAATAGATCCACGAAAAAAGCGGCAATACTTTGACAGTATGCCAGCCCTAATGTCGAGACGCCTAAGACAATAGTAGACAGTATAACCCAATACCTCCGCCGATATTTGGAGGTCGAAGAATCAGAGATAGCACCTTGGGAATGTGCATATGCATGGTGTTTGTCATGTTGCCACTATCTGCGACGTACCTATTAGAGGCTGAGCAATGAGCCCACTCAACGGGCCAGCCAACCACACAAGACTTGTTAGCTGTTCTGATATACCGAGAGAAAGCAAGAAGGGAGTTCCGTATCTTTGAAAATGAGTAAGCACTATATTGACGATCAAGTTTAAGACTATACCCCAATTCTACGGTCCACGCAACCTGAGCTCCCGCCATTGATATACTCAGCGTGATAAGGTTCCAAGTGGTAAGCCGTGTCTTCCCTAGCTCTGTGCTCGACTGAGCCTGCTTCGAAACATAGACTGTATCCTGAGAGTGCTGATCTGCATCGACATCGTCCAAAGTACTGTCATGTAGGCCTTGAGGTTGTCCAGAGCCCGTACGTTGCCTATGTCTTGTGGAAGGCCATGTCATCTGGGTTGTCGGGTCAGGGTCTGCATCTGTATTTACAGGAAATGTCATAGTAAACGGGAGACAAGATTACAGGTTTGAACGGCGTGGTCGTCTATCAACCAAGTACAGGAGGGCAAGCAGCCTTATGTAGTTCGAAGCTGAATACAGAATCCGAATAGCGAAACTCGGCATCCTCCGCCCTGATCACCGCACGCGGGATGACTCAACATTCAACGCCGATCACCTCACCCACACAGTCAAGACAAAAGTCAGGATAGTTGATAGCGTAGCAAACAACAGAGCAGGGTTATATACAAACATGGGTAGTACAAGATGGTCAACGTTCGTTGTACAACAACACTACTTGGTCGTATCAATCACAATTACTCGTACTTCACACATCAGGAAAATGGTGAGGTGCTGATATTACCAGGCGGAGTTTATAATCCGTCCCAAGTCTTGCATCCGACTGTCAGGTCATATCTATGATTATAATATGGGAGTCAGATTGATGTAGTTGTATCAGCTTGTATACACTACTGGCACTGTTGGGTAGTCGGATAAAATAGTATAATTACCATGCGAGCTTATCTAGCCTTCTAATATACAACCAGTTTGCTAGTCTGCCTCTGTGATTATCGGTGTGATATATGTGTGCATTGATCCCACCGGCAGATACTTGCAATTTAACAGACAAAGATGTCATAGCATAAAAAACTCGTAAGTCAACATTATTTCCTAATCAAAATTCCCGTCACTCTCATCATTGAGGCCGTAGACCTGCAATCCATCATCTTGATCTCCCTCTTCTGAAGGCAAGTCGGAGGAGGTTGATTGAGAATCTTCACTCACTGATGAGGCTCGGCCCTCATATTCATGGTTTTCTGCATCCGAACCAAGCAAACCCGGGGCTTCAGGTGCATGATTGGAAACTTCATCTGCAGGATCTGTGACTGTTGCTGCGGCGATTTCATCTGGTATTCCACAGGGCGGCTCAGTATTTCCTCGTGAGTGTTTAGCGTACAAGTGGCCAGGAGCATAGCCATAATAATAGCGCATCATGATGTCACGGTCAACAAACCTGTAGATTATTATTGTTAGATGTTTAGCCTTGCATAGTGAATCAAAAAATGTTGCTCACCTATTCACATAGTATGTCTTCCAGTCTGCCAAGTCTTTCGCAGAGAGTGATGTACCAATCCTATGTGGATGCAAAGGCCCTTCTGAAAATCGGGGGATAACATGACAGCTACAAAGTATATCAGCTGGATCTACAAAGCCAAATGCATCTTGGTGGTCAGTGGGCAGGAACTGAAATGGATCAAGCTGATGACGATGCCAGCCAGTATTGCAGTCACTGTCTCTGAGAGGCTCATACCATCTAACCCAGAGAAACTCCATGCAGTGAGCTTGGTAGTCGTAACTTCCAGGTCCAGCATAAATAACATTTGCATGGTATATTCCTAGGACCCTTGCATATAAGAATAGATGGCCAGATTCTATAGTTTGGTCAGAGAGCATCATAATACTGTTGTGTGATGTGTTTATGTTCACTACGTCCTGCGCCCGTCGAATGTCATAGGTTGTATAGTTGAGGCGGATGATGTTGTGGTGGTAGATACAATTATTATGGAAAATGATGTAGCTTCCATCTAATGTGTTATCTCCCGCAAAAGTGCCCGTTTCACTGCTTGTAGCGGCAGGCTTGTTTTGGTCTGTGAGGAGAGCTACCTTCAGTCGTGGAAGAAGGTGCGCTCGGAGTTTAGTCAAAAACTCCTGCACATTGGTGTCACATGTGGTAGATATAGACATAATATATGTATTTACCTTGATAGCGGGGTTGCCTATTCGTTTCTGTAAGAATCCCTGGATGTCAATAGAATGGTTCTGTGCCTTTCCGATATGGTGATGGGTTTCAGGTGAAGCGGGGATGTTCTCATCTAGATGCTGTCTACTCAGCAATTTAAGATGGATTTTTTGGAGCCGAGCCTGACATCGTTCAATCTTTGTAATTTGCTTGATAAATGTAAGGACCATTTCATTATTTTCCTATCTTCGTTATGTCTTGGTTCTCGAACGCTTTTCCTATTACGCCTCTGGCTCTAGGGCTAGAGGTATCGTTTGCTGTTCTACTTCTCATAGCCCTCACAGGCTTTCTTAACCATCGTTACCATTTTATATCACAGATCAGAGACTGGGTATCGCTCCCAGCCAGCCAGCACACTGGGTAGGGACTGGTAGTAGGCATCTCGCCAACCAGCTCCAAGCCCTAGTAAAGCCTGGTAATACTAATAACGCCTTATCTAGGATCGTACCTCATCATGAGGATACGGTTCCTGACCACGCGTGACAACCCTCTATTATTAGTACAAATCTCTCACCTGCTGATTAATCAAGTCAGAAGTTGTACGATAGTTACTCTCCCTTTTTCTTACTGGTTGATTAATTCCTCAGACCACTTTTGTATATTCTCCTTTCGGTCTGAGGAACGAACAGTTCCCTATATAAAGCCGTACCTATTCATGTATGGCTCCTTAGTTTTCTATTACTGAATTTACCCGCTTTACTCCTCAACAAGAACCTTTGAAGCTTACCTCTCAAAGTCCTCTACTCGCTATATTTACTAGCGTCTGTCGACCTCAAGCTCATTGAACCCTTACTCCCTGCAAGTGCAGAAGGAGACAGGTTTAGTTTTTGTTATAGTTTATCGTTGCCTCACAATAAACACCTTTTTGCTTGTACAGGAATAAGGTGCTTTTGGTGTGCGGTGTTCAAGTTCACCCTACCCAATATTTGTGAACTTGCAGTATTTGCAGTATTATAATAGGAAACATTTGACTCACAATTTGTGTGGAATATGAATCTGCCGTGCCTAGTCTTCTAATGGTGGCAGCATAGTCACCAAGGGCATGAACTTTGTATGTGTTGAGATTCAATGCTTTTGGTTGTTGAGCGTTGTTATTTGACAGTGGTGCACGTGCATTACTACTACTTGATTGCTGCTTGGCCTGGCGTCGGTTTTGGTCATCAATTTCACGTTGAAGCTCCTTGGTGTTGAAAGCGGGACATGTTTCCTGCTGAAATTTGCAAAGTTGGTGTCCGAGCAATGTTGTAGCTTGATCAAGGAATTCCAAAGTTTCATCGCTGTGCATTTGCAGCTTCGCAAGGCCATGCCACTGTGCCATAATAAATAGCAGGTTGAGTATGTTTTTATTATGCGGCTCAGGTAGGAGGCCCTCAAAAGCTGGTATAGCACACTGGAGCGCCATAAGTAATGCTTTGAAAAGAGAAAGTACAAATGTCTATACCCGTAAGAGGTCTTCATAATCATTGGCTGCCATCTTCTTCATTTTGGACGAGTTTGTTTGTTGAGAACCTTCGGATTGTGTCTTGTCCGAATGGTGGTATGTTTCGGTACCTAGCATTATATATACCAGCACATTAGCTTCTGAAAAGTCAAATAGAATAACTGGCATGCCTTTGATCCAGTTCATGAACCGATCCTTCACCATGTGACTCCAAAATGCGAACGAGATGAATGAATATTGCTTTCCAGACACCCAGTTCGACTTCATGCAGAATATCAACGACAAAAAGAGAGTAAATGTTGACTCCAAGGGGTGTAAGCACAGCCGAAAATGCATTCTAGAATGAAAATACCATTTGAGTGAAGTCTAATAAAACTAAGTGAAACTCAGCCGCTGCCCGAGAGGCTATAGAAACGACTATATAATTTACCTAAGTGAAACTACAATAGATGTTAGTTTAAGGTGATCTCTAACAAATGTAATGTAACATACCTCAGCCGCTGCCCGAGAGGCTATAGAAACGACTGAGGTATTCCTATACTAAACCCCCTACTACTTATAGTCGGAGGTGCTACTCGCTACAGTATAATGACTCCTAGGAGTACAATTGTGCTCCTAGGAGAACAATGGTGACTCCATGGAGTGGTGGCTATGCTCCATGGAGAACAATGGCTGCTTTGGCAGAGACCGGGTTTATCCGGTTTTGTCAACTACCTGTTGTGATGACCTAGTTATCAATAATTAAAACAGCCCTAAGTCCTTCCAAACAAAGGCCAGCCTGTGTGAGTAAGTACCCGGGCCACTACCTAGTCAGTTTTGGCAACTCTGAGTGCAGTCACTGCAGCCTACATACACTTGTATTCAAGTTCTCTCGGTCACGAGCTACCAGGTGTAACCAGTCATATCAGCACTGACATTGATTGTATATCTTGCCGTGATAGAGTCTACGCTATAATTCTATAAATCTGATCGAAGGTAACAATACTAAACAGACATATAAGGTCTTGGATATATTATTGATCTTATTGAGGAGGCCGACTTCACAATGTATATCAGCCATATATATATTGTGCCGTTTGTATTAGAGCTAACCAGACATACAAGCTCTTGTAAACGGGACCAAAACTATTGTAGTTCTTGTGTTAATTACAATTCTTATAATGGCTTACAATCATAGATCAGATTTTCACCAATTTCCTGATGCAGTACTTATCGTATTGACGTTGCAGATGAGCCTCGTCTATGACTTCCAGGTGGAGGATCTGTATTAGGCGCGGGCTTCGAGAGAATATTGAAGGGTAATCGACGACCTATCGACGTCGTAGCAGTGCTGACAGAGTTTCCCGGTTTAACAGGTGGCTCTGGAAACTGAGCATATCGGCTCGGAGGGCCTGTAAAGTTTTCTGGCTCCTCAATAAGTCTTTCCCCGTATCGAGGCGAGTCAAACGAGGAGGTTCGGCTGACAATGGGTGTAGGTGAGAGTGAGGGTTGGATAGGACGAGCGGTTGTAGGATTGGTGCCAGAGCGATTCCGTAATGCCTCCGGATGGAGTGAATCTGCTGTGACTATGGCTGGAGGAGGGGTGCTTCTTAACTGAGCTGCAGAGAATGAAGGCCGCAGACGCCGGCGAGGAGTTGTCGATCCCGTTATTGCGATTGACGTCAAGGCAGTGATGTCATCCCCGTTTGCTGATGGACCTGCAGATGCAAAGTTCAAACCATTCTGCGACTTGTTATCCGTCGATGATGTTCCCGCGCTTCCACTCCGATTCCGTCTCATATATTTCTCCATAGCATCAGCATCTCGCTCGCGCATCCGGTTAACGATAGGCGATAGTGAAGACAAGCCTGCCCCTGGCGTGACAGCACTAGCGGGCGTTGTTTGTGATGGCCCGGGTGAAGGTACGGAAAATGTACCTGTACTACTTGCCGATGAAATATTATCAGATCTTCCGGAAGGTTGGGGATGACTGTAAGAGTTGGAAGGGGTAGGTCGTGCCTGTGAAGTCGATGACGACGCCGATAATGACGAACTAGTCGCTTGCCCGGGACCTAAACCCACACTGTCCATGTCCCCACTATCCGACGTGGCAGTAGTTCTACTACCCCCTGAGCCACTCCGCACCCGGACTGCACTTCGTCCCATGTCGCGTGCTTTCAGGACTAAAGGGGGTGGCACATCCATCGAGGATGCCTTTCCCCATTCATTTCCTCTTGCTGCGGCCTGAGCAAATACTAATCGACGACTCTTCTTATTATTCTCGAATTGCGACCGTGCACTGTCTTGCAATGTGTCCTTCGTACTCATCCTTGAGTGCGGCCGCTATGAGCTATGGAAGGGCAATCTGAAGAATGTTTTCACTTACGAATATGCATAATCGGATGCAGTAAAACCCTCGTTGTTTCGTGCAGAAAATTGGCAGCCCCTTTCTATTAAGAGTTGCACCACCTATACCATGCCATAATGAGTGACGTCTAGACAGTCTGGCAGTATACCTACTGGTATGTGTCCCCACGAGCTCGCACTGCCCATCCATCAGTTGGTAATACTGTCCGCACATGACTTTAAGATACTTACTAATGTAGTGGTGTGTTTCCCTTATTATCAGACAAATCATAGTCGGCGCCCAAGTCACACAGCATCTAAAGAAGCAAGGATAAAATAAGCCAAGACTCGAGACAGGCCTAGAAGTATGACATACGCGAACGAGCTCCTCGTTGCCCTTCAATGCCGCCATGTGTAAAGCGGTTTTCCCGTGTACATTCGACCAATCGAGTATCCATGTGTAACGGTCGTAATAGAGCCTAGCCATTCGTAGTGCTGCACTCATCAGGTCTGCCTCGGATGGTCCAGGAGCGTAAGGGTTGTGAGGAGGTGGTTTGAAGTCGGACAAGAGCATGAGAATGGTATTATTGTCAGAGTCCTAAGGAAAAAGCGAATTAGAGCGCGTGTTGTCTCGAAACTTGAGCATCAGATGGAGGCAAGTACCCGACTAAGCTCCTCGTCATCATGTCCGGCAGTTAAGAGAAACTCGAATGTCTCTTCATGACCTAGTACAGCCGCCCAAGCTAGTGAAGTAAACCGTCTTGGAGCAGGGTCGGGGTTCCGCATGTCAGTTCTTTGAATCAGCCTCTTCACGAGAAAGAGGTTGTTTTCTGCATAAAGAACGTGAGGCCACACTTGAAGAACAGCCAGAAAGCCATACCTTTAACTGCTCTTCGCAGTCTTGCGGTAGCATCTTTTTCTGCCATAGAAAAAGATGACGAGGCCAAATGAAAGGAAGAACCGGGATAGCGCGGAGGACAAGTATTTAAAGTAGTTGAGCAGGTCACCAGGAGAACAATTACTGGGTAAATCAATCACGTGGTGGAGATTGTATTCTCTCAGCCAATCGCAGCCCTCATTCACTTTTCATTTACAACTCCCAAGTGCGGCAATTCTATAGTAAGCATTCTCAGCTTGCTTTAATCGTTTCCGGTGTTTCACAAAGGGGCTTTCTTTCTCAAGGGTCGCATTTCACCATCAAGATATCCCATTTGTAACATTGTATCACTATGCCAAAGGTCGTTTCACGTTCAGCGGTCTCCTCATCCACTGACGGTGAGTTGTCGGCTTTGATTTCCCGCCGACTTCGTTAATACCTGACATCCCCAATCACAATATTTTTGCTGTGTCGTAGCCCAGCCAACCGAATCCTCCGCTGCTGCCCTCAAAGTCTACTGTGAGTCTATAATCTTCCACTATTCGCTTTATCCGGGTCTTTCCCTCACATTCCCTCAGATTGTCTCTGCGGAGAGTTCATCGTACGACTTTTTGGCCCGCAGTCGAGAAACACCGTTCTAATTCTGGCTTTGCCCCCATAGCTGGTCATAGATAAGAGTCTTGCAACCCTTCCTAGGCGCAAGACAGATGGAGCAATCATCATACGGTCTCAGGATAGTGACGCCGGCAAAGCGATAGTTTTTAAATTGAATGCCAATCCCATTGATCCTGTGCTCTTGGAAAGGTACGCTGCCGCTCACACCTTTGATCTAGCCATTTTGCATGACAGCTCGAGCATTTCAGAAAAGGAGGACACGAGCGACAGTACAGGTTTTCGTGCCCGCGCTGTCAACTATTGGTCGGGTATCAGTCTACACCACCACCTGTCAAAACAGGACCCTATCTATATATTTACAGTGGGGCCCTTACACAAACGCAAGGTCAAGTACCTCATGATGCTTTTGACGGCGAGAATGCATAATCTTCCTAAAACACATAGCATTGCACATCTTCATATCTTACATCTGCCATATCACCGATTGGATCTCAATAAACAAGGGACATTGATGCATAACTGAAATATAATTTTAAAGGCTGTACAAAAGACATAAATGCAGTACAAGCTAAGGATCCCATCACAACCCGTAGAAAATACAAAAACCTGGCAATTGCGGTCATGTCAGCTAAGTTTTGAGAAACGAGTTGAATAGACACGGAAAAGGTACGGCTCAGCTACCGTTGTAGAAAGAACTCTCCGCACAAGTGTTGAAACACAAGTGCTCATACAGTGTGAATAAATCAAGTCATCACCACCGCACCAAAGAAAGATTGATAAAGTAAAACCCAAAAACTCACCATAACTCGACCATCGAGGTAGTTTTCCGAGCAATCCTGCATGAAGTAGAGAGACGCGTATGTGTCTGCCTACAGCGCGTGAAGAAAATTTATACGAGCTAAGATTTGTACTTGTTTGATTCACAAGTGAATACCAAAGCTCACCAAACAAAACCGCGAAAAAAGAGCCAGCCACAGCTCATATTTGCATTTGTTAGTTTCGCAAGCCCTTGCCAAATGTTGTTGGTGTCCATATCGGGCCTCTCATTACTCTCATTGTTCGCCAAACAACGCCCGCTTGAGGGCCTCGAGAACCAGATTGCGTTACTCCAAAATTACCTGTTATGGTATGTTTCCATGGCTCTCGCTTGGTAACCAGGCGACAGCCCACGACGACGCCGATTTGTGCAGGTTCTTGTGGGTCCCGGTAGGTGTTCACGACAATACCTACTAAATAAGGGTATTTTGAGTGGATAGCACTTGCCTCGTTTTCCTCGATTGGGTTGTCGTCCTGTCACCAACCTGCCTGCTGGCGTAGTACTTAAGCAACGCGAATTTCGACATGAAGTCCATCACCAACAGCAGCCCTATCAAGCCTTGCACACTTCGAGAACTACTATCTCATCTCATCACTTGCACTCTCAACGCTACTACCCTTCACCTCACACAAACCACTAGCAATGTCTTTCACCACCATCGACACCACCTTCACCCTCTTCCCCACCTCCCCAGCTTCACCCAACGCATTCGCACTCTTCGGGCAGTCACCCCGTGAGCAGCATATCATGTACGAGGACCTTCGTCAAGTCCTCGGTTCTACTAACGGTCGCACTGGCAATGCCCAGAAAAAGCGCACTCGTGCCTCTGGCTCACTCAAGTCGGGCTTGAAGAAATTTTTGGGAGCTTAGAGGGGTTAAGCAGACGCAGAAAGATGCCTTACAGGCTCTTTCGTTACCAATCATGCTGCATTCTGGGGGATAACTATAGAGGCGAAGCATAAGGGAGCTAGGATGATGGGATATTATATCATCGGCAGCTCAAACCATACACCCTATCTATCACTCAACTCTTGAGTCAGCATCACCTCTACCCTGCTCTTGCATCGCTACTCGAGCCAGTCGGAACGTACACATACCACTTCCCCGACTGCGGCCTTTGCGCCATTACCTCAAACCCTGGGCACGTCGCCAAAAGGGCCTAGTACACCCTGCCGCTGCCAAACGCTTTAGTTTCATCCAGCCATAAATCCAACGCACTGGATTGAGCGCCAACCCAACACCGTTTTGTCAAGGGGGGGTCCGTGAAAGGGATGGGAAAGAAGTATAGAAGGACTGGAAAGTTTCTTGCTTTCATAGAAGGAGTACTACGTTACTTTTATTACTTAGTCAGGATGGTACGAGGACTGGCGCCTGCGTATTACAAAAATTTTATGCGTTTTTTTTCGCTATCTGTTTTCGTTCGATGAGCGCCTGATCTCCAGAGGTTTTTCGTAAAAATGTGACCAATCGATAATACCAAATCCTGCTCGCAACCGAGTCCCAGTTTGTCCGAGTCGCAAGTGAAGAGAGGGTGGAGGGATCTCGATCGAGGCATAGCCGAGAGAGCCATGCTAAGCCGGCAAGTTACAAAGTGCCGTCATATCATTCTCAGGTTTCGCTTGGTAGAGGAAACAGATTGCATTGCGGTGTGATCTCCAACTTGGTGTATAACAACATGTTATCCTACCCACGCGCCCAAACGGCAGGAGCAATACAAGGGAACCCGTATGGGAAGCAAATAGCTATTCATGATTCAAAAACATCCAAACGACGCCCATCGACAAGAGCACGAGCTGTGCATCATGATAAACCCAACCCAACCCAACCTGTTATCAAATCACACCACGCCCATAGCCGTCCTCACGGTATTTACCAAATCCCACTGGGACGTATCGCCATGCACATCAAACAGGTTGACTCCGCCCATCCCCATGTCCTTCACCCACTTTGCTTTGATCGCCAACGACTGGGGATCGTCGTAAGGGATAGTCTGGGCTGCTGAAGCAGAAGTGAGGAAAGGTGTCGCGGAACAAGCGTCCCATTGGCGGGTGAAGCCACTACTGGGGTTCACCGCGAAAGAGCCATCTGCGTTTCGTGTGAGGATGTTCTCAGAAACGAGGCTGCGGAACTGGATCTGGCCACTGTCATCTGCAGGCGTAGCCGCAAAACGGCGAGAAAGTTGGTGGAGAGAGCGTACGGGCTGAGATTCTGATCGTTCGCGAAGCGCTGTGGCAGAAGACGAGATCACGTATCCATAAGAGGGGAGACCAAGGACCAGTTGGTCGGCGGGAAACCCAGCATTCGTCCAAGCATTGTAAGCGGCCACAGCATTTGCCTTTGGTTGCCTCGAGCTTTTGCAGCTGTCGTACAGAGGCGCGTTTGGACCAGGGGGTGAAGCAGCTAACGCAATTGGTAGCGTGTTATTCGACGACACCATAGATAACGATGAACATGGTCTTACTTTCATAAGTATCGTAATTCATTATAAGTACCCAGTTCAACACTTTGGCAAAGTCGGATACGTTGGTCAGGGGCTTGCCATCAGGGCCCGCCAAAACCTCAGTTTGAACTGCAGCTGTGATGAGGGCCAATGGAGGTAGGGCCTGCCGAAGCAACTGCAAGAATTGAAGCATGTCTTGACTGTCCGCGGGACTTACTGCATTGGAACCTTCGCCTTGTTGGCCGGGATATTCCCAATCGATGTCGATGCCGTCGAGGTCATATTGCTTGTAAGTTTGGAGAATGTTGTTGACGAATATCTGTCTGTTTGCTGCAGTCGAGACGGCTGTAGAGAAGTGTCTGCGTAACGTGTATCAGTCATTCTGAAGAAGTATATGACGCGTCAAAGACTAGCCCGCTTCCTGTCCATCCGCCTATACTGAGTTTCGCCTTCTTGCCTGCAGCATGTGCAGCCTTGACTACTCTTGCAAGTAAACCCGGAGCGCCGGTGGTGTCCCAGTCGAGCCCATAGTTGGCATTAGGCAAAGCAAAAGCAAAATCGACGACGTCGAATTTGGAGTAATCGACCTGTTCGGGAGACATCACGTCGCTCGCCCAATCGGGATAATAGGTCATAACAAGTGGCAGTTTGATAGCAGTTCCTGCAGCAGGATTTGATAATGATGGCGTGGTGCTAGTAGAAGGTGGTATGAGGGTGTCAACTAGGTCACGTTGGGACAGACTTTCGCGCGATGCAAGATTGGATATATTCCCAGGCGTGGATGGATGAGACAGATCAGAAGGGTCACCAGTGTTGATAGTAGTATCGTGAGGAGATCGTAAAGCCACATTGGATATTGACGTCCTAGGGTAATGACCATGTTGATGGCCATGACGGAGCTGGGATTTGAAAGGAGAGTGAACTTGGTGCGAAGGAGCGGAAAGGGTAAAGACCGGAAGGAGTGCCAGTAAGACAAAAGAAGAGCCCAACATGATGCCAAGTTCACACAGGATGATGCGAATGAAGAGTAAAGGAGGGAATGCGATACCAAAAAAAAAATATGACAACCACCAGGGTATGAGTGACTAAATTGCAAGTGCCAGCCGCCAGAAGAAAGAATTGAGTAAGCCATTGCAGAAATGGAGAAGATAAGGACAGGAGGGCTAGTTTCAAACTGATATCGCCAAAATGGAGCTAGGAGGCTGACATACGCTGTCAATGTCAAGTCAGACCACTAGACGTCCACAGCAGTTTGGGTATAGCACACGGAGACCACAGACAGTAAAGGGATGTGACATGCTGATCTAGGGCTGGAGAGAAAAATATGGATCGTCGCCATTTCAAAGGAGCATGTGGAGAGAATGAGTAGTAGTGTATGTGGGTGCTGTAGTAACGTTTTCGCAGTCGATGAGCTGACGTCTGTGGGATCTAAACAAAAAATGACCTAGCTCGCGGAGACTATAAACGAAGAGGTTACAAATGATGAAAAGACGCTGGCATTACACAATTCCGTTGAGCGCCCCACGAAGAGAAGAGCTCGAAATTCCAAGTGTGGCCAGGACTTGAAGAACCTGCGGTTCGAGGTGGGGACCGGAAGATAAGGCTACAGACCACTCGAAGCAAAAGTGGGCTAGTGTGGACAGAGGTGATGGAACTGGGACAGATGGTGACTGGCCATGCGCTGATCGTATATCCGGAACTGGGTGATTTATGAAGGATATACGTCAAAAGTTGCGTGAAAGGTACGAGCATCAAGGCGCAAAGCAACGTCCACAAGCCTTTTACGGTTACTTGAGGCAGATATTGGGGGTATGTGTAACGAATTGAGAGCAAGCTTCGAGTTCTTTTACGAATGCTGGGACGTACGTCCTCCAGTTTGATGCATGTTCCGTGAGACACCGAGTCGGAATTGAAGCTTCTTGAAGGTGGATAAGGGAATAGAAGGAGCGCAATGCATCTATATCTATCATGACCGTTCGAGTGGATGAATACTGGTATATGACATGGTGGATCCATTGGTTGCTGGCCGTGCAGGAGCATATGAGGACAGCGAAAAAAGATGTTCTCGATCATCAGCGTCAATGAGAAGGCTGAATTGACAGGTGTATAGGTGAGGATCCATCAGTGATGCACGAGCCAAAAGCAGAGTACAATAGGTCGATGAATTGGATGTTAATGTATCTCAAAACGGCGAGCAGAGAAAAAAAGGGTTAGATATCGACCAGCGATGGGAAGGGGGCGGTGACTTGAAACCAGCATACTGCTGCTCGGGTCTCGAGAGTTAAGGGATGGATTATCTGCGCATGGCAGTGTGATATGTTACTTATGGGCACACGTATATCTCCGAGTCTGTTTTGTTTCATCCCGAATATGTCACGCCTCATGTCCCCAGCGAGAAAAAATATTTAAATATCGTATGTCGGCCCCCTACTGATATGGGTGGACTGTAGGATGGCAACTGGTGGGCTGACTGACGCTGGGTGAAGCGCACGAGACAGGCTGAACGCGCTCAGAGAAGAGAGGCAATGCCCGGTGTACCAGTCAGTGGCACCGCCACATAGCCATCGGGCAGAAGAGACCATATAAGGCAACCGCAAACGCTAAATGTTGCATAACGCGTTTAATGTAACTTTGACTTATTTTCACCCATTTAGGAACAATAACGAACATGCAACCGGTGTCCTTTAGCTTGTCAAATCCTTCACCCGCATCCCTCGGCCCCTCGTGTGTCATTTTACACCTATAAATCATCCCCCCTTGACTCCAACAATGCATTTTACTTTCCCCCTCCTCCATAACTTCTCATGTCCTTTGCTCGTCCTCACTCCCCTCCTCCCCCAATGCCGTCCCCAAAGCTCACTCCAACCCCCCTGCCATCGCCACCTCCCTTCACCCCCAAACAGTCACGCTCCCGTCTCATTGTCCCCGCTCAGCATTCCCCACCAATCCCTCCCAGCCTCATTGGCTCACCGCTCCTGAAGAAGACCCTTAACTATTCTCGCTCACACGACAGTCTTCACGGCAGAGCAAGGACGAGTCCGTTCGACGAGGACGATGAGTTTGGCGCGCGCAAGACACGGACTGCGAGAAGGACTGCATCCACTTCCTCATTTTCCCTACCCCCACCAGCGCGCTCCGTACACATCGTGAAACGGAACGGTACAAACTCCCCGTACCGCTCCCCTCCTCCTAGCCCCGCAATCGCATCACCCCCTCCTCCTGTTCCCCCTATTCCGTCCTTCGTTCTCAGCTCTGCAGAGAATTATAAGAAACCAGTCCTCCATCCTCAGCCAAAGCGTTCCACAAACTCGAGCATCCTCGAGCTCTACATCAACCGCTCAGCCGACGTTCACTCGCCTATGTCTAGGAAGCGATGTGTGTCATCTCCCCGTGATGGCGGTGCTATGACTTGTATGCAATTCTTTACCATCCATAACTCGCCCCAAAAGAGCTGTCAAGTATGATTGTGGACGTTGTTGCGCTGGTGACGCTGTTTGGCGAGCGAGCGCCCTGGCTGTGCGGACAGCAGTAATCACTCCTTACGACATATGCGTTCAGACATAGGCGGCATCGGGGTTTTTCAAGTTGCGACCTACTGCGGTCGAATCGTCGATTCTTTTGTGCCATTACTGTATTCTGCACATAATCCTTCTTACCGGACTTTCCCAACGACAAACACTTTATTTATGACTTTCTGTCATGCCTCTTCGCTTCGCCCGATTCCTCGGCCCATTCACTTTCATATTCATTGTCGTTCGGCTTTCTTTCGCTGTGTTAAAATATACGCATGTATAATCATATCACTCGCATTCACATGCCCGAACGTTCTACCAGACATGTTTACTTTACCCATCTTCCTTCCCTCTAATCACCTTTCACTAGCTTACTTACAGCATTGTTGCTCATCACCTAGTAGTCATCTTCGTCCTCTTTCAGCCCCATTTGTACTCAGTAGGTACAAGTAGCAATTGCAAAGCCAAACGTAGAAACGCGTCGGGTAAATCTGCATTTTAAACTTTTCGAGGCATGAAACGCGTTGGAAGAAGTTCCTAGAAGTACCCGGCGAAGAAGCCCTCATGCAGGCGACGAGAAGCTCAAAGTTCTGTCAATAGCAGCAATCACATTCCATCACGAGCCTGTTCAAGCTGTAAGAACGGTGGATCATATGATCGTCACTGCTACACGTAGCGTTAGACATCTTTGAACGAAAACATCATAGTATGATCTGAGCAGGAACTGAGTTATTGTTTGTCAACAATTCTTAGTACAGTGAGCCGTTTCATCTACTTTTGGCTAGGTTGGACCGGCACTGGCGGACGTGCAGAGCCTCGTATGTCGTGCTAGCGATAGCTCCTTAGTCCTTCGCCATACGATAGAGCAACTTGAAGGTCATATGAGTATACGAGTAATCACGCAACCTCTAGCGCGCTGGCTGATAAGGCGTGTGCGGAATTATGCCAAATAAGTGAGACTCGCGTCTGTGGCGGGTTCCGTTGGACACTAGTACTTGTTCGTACTGAGTGCAGCATGCAGCATAAAGGCAGCCAATGCGGACATTGTCACATACTGTATCAAGTTGTTTTGTAATCGCCGTCGCGCCCCAATTGATCGTGACTGACCGGTGAAAAAGTAAAAGAGCGAAATGAGGGTTTTTTGACATGTCCCGAATAAGTTGGTAAGTGTGAACGAGGGGACGGCCGTGCTGCTGTGCGCGCTGCCAGCCGGAATTAATGTTGCAGTACTGATCGATGATCTCTTGGATGCCGAATAATGTTCATCTATTACATGCGGAAGCCGTCAAAGTTCGTGAATGATGAATAGCCATACCTAGAGCTACAGCGGTAAAAACATCAACCTGATACGTGACAAGCACAGTGCAGACTTGGAGATACACAATAATTATGAATACGGATTGGGTTCATAGCAATACGACAACGATCATAGACGTAAGAATACAAGCTGTGGTGGCACAGAAACAGAGACACAAACAGTTAGCTAGCGATACAATTGGGACAAAGTTCAACGAATAACCGTACCGGGTACATTAAAAATAACCTGGAAATTTTGTCTTTTTGTTGAAAACCACATGTAATGATCACAGATAACTTCAATACTCAAAGTCCCATTCTCTCCGCTAACGTCCGATCACCGTTCCCATATGAATGACCATTGAAGCCTCGTCCTCTGCGACCACCTCCGCCACCTGCGTTACGTCGTGAAAAGCGATCGCGATCTCTGTCTCTGTCTCTGTCTCGTTCTCTATCGCGCTCCCTTGCGTGGTCTTTATCACGTTCGCGCTCACGCTCACGCTCCCTATCGACAGGAGAACGTGGCCTCGTACGCGCATCTTCATCGATCTCCATCTTTACATTGTGGCTGGATTTTGCACGTCCTTCTGAAGACATTACTCGTGGAGAGCGAGAACGTTCAGGCTCTCTCGAGACGCTTTGTCGTGACGAGTGTGGGACGTGAGGTTTCGATGTGGGGAGCGACACGTTGGAACGTGCAGGCGAGATTTGAGGCTCTGATAGTCGTGGCTTCTTGTGTGCTCTGGGTCCTGTGGGAGGTAGCCTCTGTGCACCATTGCCTATTGACGGTGCACGTGTTGATCCTTGGTATGATTTACGAGAGGCTGGGGCATAGGAATTAGATATATTGGCATTGTTCTGGCGAATTGAGGTTTGGAAGCTTTCATAGGATTTATCTAGCTCAGAGCTATAGATAAGTTGTTAGATATGTGTTACACTTCGGGTTGCACAGGTGACGTACGAAAGCGAAACGATGACTTGATGCGATTCTGAGTTATTTGGAATGCGTCAAATGGAAAAACGGAAAACGATAGCGTGCCCTGAATGACATACCTCGCAAAGCTCCTTCAAGCCTATCGACTACCCGCCGAAGACCACGAACTTCCTCCTTCAGCTTACCCGTCTCTCCGTGTTTTAGAAGCTCGTAAAGCTCATCGTTCTCTTCCTGAAGAAGACGTACTCGCTGTGTAAGCGCCGTGTTCACCGTACCCGAACTCGACGGTGCATTCCCACTGCTAGAAGCGGCCCTGTTGATGTGCGGTAGTAAGACAGATACCAGGGCAGGCGGGAGCGTGACTGGGTTCGCTGTTGGCGGATCAGGTTGAACAGACAAATACCGACGTAGACGTGCTACCTCGTCCTTACCGTACCAAAGCGCCATTAGCCCCATGATGCACGACAAATCGACACTAAAACCAAGCAAAAAGCCCTTACCGTGAGTTCAGCGACCTGCGCGTCTCGTTGTCTCACAAATGTTTCGAGCTCAATTTCTCTTGATGATGGCAGGCTCATGGCTGCGAGGGCGTTGGGAGGGAGGAATCCACCAGCGGACGGTCTGTTAGGGTACCGTTGGTGGGTGTCAGCGCGCAAGACCCATCGTGCGCCTCTTCGACGCGGAGTCGAGATCACATGCCGTAACAGCGGGTGGCGTCTGCTGCGTGTCTGCCACCCTTTTCCCTGTTTCCTTGTGTTTCTCGTATCCTCTAGGAGGCTCGTGAATTTTAGATGTGCATAATGTGTTACTTTTTTCTACGGTAAGAAGGGTGCAGTAATATTTCTTCTATAATTTCTGATGTAGCATTGGTTCTAGTACGAGACACGCAGCCGGCGCTTCTTGTTACTCATCTCACCTTGATCCCTACCCAAGTAACTCGTAATTCTTCTGCTTGAATTTCTCGCAGAGAATGCACTCACAGATGGAACAGTCACTGGTTCTGGACGGTAGTACGGGTGACTATGCCGTCTGCGAATGCAAAAAAAAATTTGGAAGGACGGTGGAAGAACAATGTTCCGCGAAGATGACCTCTGATGTGAAAAAAATCACGGCAGTGACAACCAGGTCGTGAAGCAAAGGGACATGCGTATTTGTATAGGGCACTTACAGATTTTTGGTTTGCTTCAGAAGTCCAGCGAGTTCCGACTATCGCTCTTGTACAGCATGGCTCGAAACGAGGCTCGTTACAGAAAGCGGCCACTATCATACAAGACAAACTCACGTAGATATCAGCACAAACTAATTATGCTATCCAAGCGCAGTTTTACAATGCAAGGCGGTACGAGTTCGTGGTTCGAAAATGGCCTGCAATCCTCGACCGGCCGCTCGCCGAACATCGATAATTTCAAGATCCGGTACAGGGATGGCTCATAATCCCAGCCTCACCAACCAGGAGGCAAAAGCGAGGCAGCAATATACTCATCGTCGACGTGCCGGGCAGCAAGTGACTCGTGACTGGTGGTGCTGGCGCCGTATTTTCCAAGGCAGCGCATATAGCCATTCAAATCATCCTTTCTGTGCGACTTCGCGTCTTGTACCTGATCGATCTTGGGAGGTAATGTTCAGGAGATATCGCTCGTATGCTTGGAAATTAATATGCTATTTGTGGGCCTCGAAGGCACTTGCGGACTAGCTTCACTGGGTAATCTAACCTCCGGAGGCTAATAGTTAGTTTATTATTCCTCATGACCCGAAAATTGCTCACCTGACTCGGAACTGAAGGCCATGAAAATATATAGCATTTTAGGACGGGAAGTCAAGCTTGCACGTCATCGTTGGGACCATGGTCGGCCCAGCAGACCGAGGCTTCGAGGAACTCCGATCCACAACGAACACAGTATACCGAGACTGGTCATCTGTCTATAGTATAAATCTGGAATCGAGATTAGCTCAGAGCTCAGTTCATTGAGCACTTCGGCTTTTTTTTGTGGCTCGGATACGAACCTTTTGTGCCGTTCATCCATCCATCGCAATGTGGACATGGCGACGGAATCGTATCTGCTTGCTTTCTCCGCGTGCGGGAAGACTTCCACCAACTGAAGCAAAGAAAACAAAGTTCGAAACGGGGTTGCCTCGTCGTTTCATGCTGATTTCTGATTGTCAACACACATCGTCACCAGGCAGCGCATCGAAGGGTGGTTGCTGTCACCTGGTTTACAGCAGTTCCAGGCCCCAGGCTGCGTATTTTTATTTCGTCCAAATCCGTATGCATAGTGGTCACCCTGCAGTTGTACCTGCATCAATATTAAGGATCCACGGCCGTTAACTATGGGGGAAATTTGCAATACGGAAATATATTTACGAGACGACATGGCCAAACCGGGTTCAAAAAAAAAACAAGTATAAGTAGCGCAGAACACAGGGTCACTTACTCTGTGTACTTTTCGTGGCAAGTAGTTTTCATGCACAACGAACTACCAGCCGCAGAGTGACAATTATGTTGACTTCAGTTATCATCATGCAGGCTTGCCAGTAAAATAATAACGTTTTCCTGTCCTGGTGTATTCACGCTAGAGGTGGCGTTTTCAGAAAGTTATGTGCTGTAACTGCAACATGGAATATTTAAGCTTACTTGTTTTGCCTTTAGTCTACCCAAAGGACAACCCACATTCGAGTTGACGCAATCGGCCACAACTGGGGTAGACAACTCGAGTTTTCGCACATTCACACGGGCGCTCGGGCTCCTACGAATCACAGCACTCTCCAAAGGCACGACCAGAATTTCTCCGACAACTACACACGGTAATTCATGCCTTCCCTCCGAGGTTGTGCCTGTCACTGCTGATTAAACGTTTTGTGCTGATAGAGTGCGAGCAGCGACAGATTGCGTCTAATATTCCCATCCACGACGTCGACGCCCCTTACAACCATCAGCATAGTCCTTTCAAGCCTTGTGGCATTTTTTATGCCCGAAGTATCGATCAAGGCGTTCTGGTGGGGAGCCAAGAGTCTTCCGCTGCCCTCGCAGACACTTTCGCGTACCTAGTGCATTCTTTGCATGGACCCACGTTGGTAGTTCCTGGAATGGATCTGGTATTCTGGATCCCTGTTTCTCAATACTGTCGTGTCATTATTATCGTGGTGCTTTGGGTACTCGGTCATTCAATAGGACTTCTCAGGCGTGTCAGAAGGGGTAGAAAAGTAGCGATAAATAGCGATGAGAGAGGGCAAAAAGTGCGTAGGCCAGTGACTAGTTGAGTGCATCAAGTCATTGATTGTTATTCTGCAGGTTGTGAATTACTTAGACAAGCGGTGGGGGAACAGTATGGCATCATGCTAAGGGACGCGTACCCCGCTACCGGCGGGGCCACATACCCCAAGCTGTACCTGATCGGCTTGATATGGTCTGCCCAAGACCCGACGTTCGTATATGCGGGGATAATTCCCCGCTACAATCATGAGCTTTAGGCTATGCGCCCATCGCAAATTTGACCAATATGGTTCTTGGAAGTGATCAAGATAATCTTCAAGCTGAATAATATTGTATTATATTGAACGATATAGCGATAAAAAAAAAGAAGTCAAGCTTCGCATCAGACGGGAGGGCCATGTAGTACGTAGCCGCTTTTTGATCGAGACTAACATGGGGTAAGTCAGTCATGGGCCACTCAGTCAAGTATGGGCCTGTGTCAGCTGATCGACGCCTGACTTTATCCCCAGCGTTATCGTTATCAGACATCGATCTACCGGATGTCGAGTATGAACTGTATCTGGCGCTAAGGTCCGAATTTAGCTTGGTCGTGTTAGTGTTAGTGCGACGCTCACCCTCATATCCCGCTAACTAGCCCACACTGTCGTACTGAAATTATCCTTAAATTAGCCAGATAGACCAGTATGCTAACGAATACAGCACTTTGGAGTATCTCGACGACTTTGCGATTGCGATATGCCGCGGCAGCGCACGGCATTGATGCTATTGTTTATTGTTTGGCAAAAGCTTTGAGAGCAAATAGTGATCAATATCACGTCATGCGTTCACGTGAGCTGCCTTGTGTTCTGCTAACATTTTGTGCTTGTCGGCCTCCGGACAGCAGAGCCTCGAGTGTCTGTTCCCGTGCTAGTAAGTGACCTCAGTTTCGTATGCATATCTTGTGCCAGCGATGGATAATCCTTCTTTTCCAGGTCCTATCACTTTTTGATCCCATATTGACTTCAAGGTACCGTTGGCAGTACGTCTGGGTACACGTTCCCACAATTATGGGTAACGTACACGCGACTGCACACAACCATAATCGTCCTTTCTATGTTGAGCCTGTGCTCTACCTTGCATATGATTTTTTCACCGTGCTATTTTTGACAAGCTTGGCCCCTATTGGTTTGTCGGTGACAGACGCAAAACGGTGTGACCTCCCTCGGAGGTCAGCTGCCCTCCGGACCGACACGTTGCGTCATTTAGCCATCTGGAATTTCTCGAAAGAATCTAGCATCATTGTCATGTCTGGCAGTAATCTGTGCAATTATGGTCATGAATCGCCTGGAGCTGAGCAATATGTGCGTGTTTTAGGACATTCCCTACGCCCAAATATAGCGTTCGACAGATCAGCCACGATACTAATATGTCATCATCACGGGTTTAGGCCTTCAGCATACCATGCCAGTTCACTAGATGGGCGTACGATGACCACAACCGATCTCGTAATCATTCCTTCGTACCGCACTTCACAGCAGGTTCTTGGCCTGAACCGAGCCTTGTGGATTTAAAATCATTCCTCTGGAGTCACGAGTTGGTAGGCCTCCCGAGACACCAGCCGTTAATTCGAGGGAATTTAGATGCGGCTACGCCTGGGACATGTGCTTGTCACGTTGGCGGTACCCGCATGCTCAGAATCATACATGCAGTGTGATACAACGTCCTCAAGAGAATGTGCAACTTCCCCCCACAGGTATTGTTCTTATTATGTCATATCTTGACGTGATCTGTGCATCTCGAGGGTATAAAGCACCAATATTTCAGCGTCTCTTTCTCTCCAAAAACGCACCATGGGTTTACTCAATCTGTTTTCTTTTGCCTCACTGGCGCTCTCGATTTCTACTGGCGTACAAGCTGTCTCATGGACAGCTACCCCATTTAACCCTGCTTCCGTTCCCCTTGCTGTCCGTTCACCTTATGTGTCTGCTTGGCTTCCTCAGGGTGCGGGGACCGCCCTGAACGCAGCTTGGCCGACATTCTGGACTGGTACCGTGTGTAAATCCGTCAATCATAGCGACAGCTTTACTGATTCAGGGGTGATTGTTACAGAACGTTGGATGGGCCGGATATGTCCGCATTGATGGCACAACCTACAATTTCCTTGGCTTGCCAATAGTGGCTGGCGCTACGGCGGCCACACAGAAGAGCCTTGACGTTAGTAGAGCCAATCTACGTTCGTGATATCGTAAGGACTTAACTTTGCCTTACAGATCACGTCCACTCAAAGTACATTTGTTATGACTGCGGGCCCAATTGATTTGACGGCCAACTTCTTCAGCCCTGTTGAGGTGAGTTTGCATTCTCATAGTATCCTTCAGTAGTGATCTCATCTGCGGTAATTATAGCCAACTGATCTCGTAAAACAATCGACTCCTTTCTCCTACCTGACACTATCGGCCGTTTCGAATGATGGTAACTCTCACACCGTGAGCGTTTACACAGATATCAGCGCCGAATGGGTCGCGAGTGACGACACCCTTACCGTCAACTGGACTAGCACAACTACTGGCAATGTTCTCACCCACCAAGTCCAACTTGAGAATCAACAACTCTATACCGAAGTCTCGGACCGTATTCAACGTGAGTCCAGATACCTTCTGATATTCCCTTTTAGGTTAATCGTCGTCATACACAGAGGGTTCTGTCTACTACTCCACGGATAATGTAAACTATTCTTGTCACGTTTACACTCACGTGACTAATCACCTCTTTTTGTAGACTGCTTCGGCGACCTACCAAACTGGTCAAGATGCCGTTGTTCGTGCGCAATTTATCAATAACGGCGTGCTTGCCAACACTCTCGACACAAATTTCCGCGCCATCAACGACGACTGGCCTGTATTTGCCTTCGCTCACGATCTGGGAACTGTCGGAACTACCGCAAGTACCCCCGTAGTCTTCTCCGTTGGTCAAGCCAGGGACCCTGCTGTTGAATATATTATCGCGAACAACCAGCTTCAAGCCAGGAGTCTCTACTTCTGGAGTAATTACGCCAGTGTCGCCGATGCAGTGCGTTTTCTTACCTTTACTCATAAGTTCTGTATGCTGACAAGTAACTTTATAGATCGCATTCTTCCATTCGGACTACACTGCTGCTTTGGGAAGAGCTCAAGCCTTCGACTCTCAGCTCCAGAGTGATGCATCTGCTATCTCAACTGATTATGCTGGCCTGGTTGCAATGTCTGTCAGGCAAGCATTTGGCGCAACCGAGATCACTATATCCAAGAACAGCGACGGCTCCTGGAACACTGCTGACGTCTTGATGTTCCTCAAAGGTCAGACCTTGCTTTATTCCTTCTCCAATAAATCTAAAACACGATTACAGAAATATCTAGCGATGGAGTGAGCTACTTATATGAATTTTTGCATAGTCACTCTGCTAACTCTTAACAGAACGTCAACACCGTCGACGTTATCTTCCCTGCTTGGCCCATCTTATTATACACCAACCCAGCTCTGGGCAAGTATCTCATACTCGGCCTTTTCGAGTACCAGGCAACCGGACAATACCCTAACAAATGGGCCTGCCATGACCTTGGTGAGCACAGTTTTATCAGCTAACTAACGTTTCTGACGCATCATCGTTAGGATCCGCCTACCCCCAGGCCCTCGGTCACAATGACGGAAAGGATGAGACTATGCCTCTTGAAGGTTTGTCCATCGGTTTAAGGTTTTGATAGTTGCTAATCTATCCACAGAGAGCGGCAACATGCTTATCATGGCCTTGAGCTATACTCAGAAGTCCAACGATACCTCGCTCATCACTACCTACGTTAGCTCAAATTCATATTTTCTTTGGGCCGAGTTCTTAGATGAATTGCTTTTCACAGTCTAGTCTCCTCGACCAATGGACTCAATATCTCATTGCTGAAGCACTTATCCCCGCGAATCAGATCAGCACGGATGACTTTGCTGGCTCGCTTGCCAATCAGACTAACCTTGCTATCAAGGGTATTGTCGGTATCAAAGCAATGTCCGTCATTGCTGGCATGCTCGGAGACACTCAGAAAGAATCCAACTACAGTGTACGTCCATCTAGGTCGCAATGTCCAGTGTGACCTAACTTGATACTCCTTTTAGTCTATTGCAGCCAGTTATGTGACTCAGTGGCAAACTTTCGCTACGGCCAGTGATGGATCACATTTGACTTTGTCGTATGGCGACGATTCTAGCTGGGGTCTCTCATACAACTTGTACGCAGACAAGTTATTGGGAACCAATGTTTTCCCTCAGTCGGTTTATGACATGCGTAAGATAAATGTTATCTTAACCATCTCTCTCTCCCTGACCCGTGATATACAGAGACTGCATGGTACAAGACCGTTACCAGTGAGTAAATTGGCCTTTTGATTCAAGGATAACTTGGCTAAAATCAACGTAGACACATACGGTGTGCCATTAGACACCCGACACACTTACACGAAGAGTGATTGGCAGTCGTGGACTGCCGCTATCGTGACTGATGATACCATGCGGGACACGTTCATCTCATCTGTCGTCAAGTACATTGGTAACGGCGAGAACAGTGTTCCCTTGAGCGACTGGTACGACAGTGTCTCTGGAGATATCAGTGGTGGTTTCCAGAATCGCCCTGTCGTTGGCGGTCATCTAGCTTTGGTAAGTTTTTCTTCTGCTTGACTCGTCCTGATTCTAACTGGGCGATTTCACAGTTGGCCCTTTGAGATAAAAACGGGTCATTATGAGGTGACGTCATCTGGTTTCGATCGAAACTCCTCGATCGAAACCGAATGCTACGAATTTTGGAACAATTATTTAAAACCCGATGTACTGTAACGACATTCTGTAGAATCTTGCATGTTTCTTTCCTTTACCACCATGTCTAAGAGAGCCCGCAGTTCGAGTCCTATAGTAATCGCCAAGAAAAGCAGAACAAATTACGCTTTCATACCTAAGAAAGTCGCCTCTATTGGAGATGCCAATGCTGTTCAGGCCGACCCGCCTCTCCCAAGACTCTTGAGGGCGAATAAAGATGCTATCGAGGACCCACCAAAGGGAAATTGCATTGTTTACTGGATGAGAATGAATGACCTTAGAAGTACGTATCCCTATTCTTTATGGCATACGTGAAAGTGCGATACTGAGACTACTGTATCCAGTAATTGACAACAGAGCTCTTGCGCAAGCATCAGCTCGAGCAGTTTCAGATAGTGTTCCTCTCATCGTCTTATTTGTACTTAGCCCTCAGGATTACGTGGCGCATGATCGTAGTAAACGTAGGATCGATTTTACCCTTCGAAATCTTCGTATTATCAAAGTAAGTAAAGTCCTCATTGAAACTTACGTTCCCACTTACACGGATATAGTCCTCTCTAACCCTACTCGACATACCACTTTATACAATAATGCATACCACAAGGCGTACCCTTCCTGAGCGAGTTCTTTCTATTCTGCAGTCACTTCAAACCACTCAACTTTTCGCAAACATTGAGTACGAACTTGATGAACTTCGTCGTGACATCAGGATATGCCAGCTTGCAAAAGAATACAAGATCAGACCAAATTTTGTCCACGACAAGTGTATCATAGAGCCTGGAGTTTTAGAGACCAAGAATGGCAAAGCATATACAGTAAACATCAAATCTTACTAGTAAAGTGAACGTGCTGACGCTACGTTAATACCATAGGTCTATTCGCCATATCAGCGCAATTGGATCGCGACTTTGAATAGCAATATATCTACTTACCTTGATTCATCTCCCATACCTCAACGCAATTCTATCATCGTTCGCCAGCATCCAATTTTTGGTCCACTTTTTGAAATCGCTGTGCCCGACTTTGTGGATGGATTCAAACTTGAGGACATAGACAAAGAGACAATGCAGAAAGTATGGCCAGCTGGAGCTGACGCTGCAAAAGAGGTATCCTACCTATCTTCTTTACATCTTAAATATGCTCAGAAGTACGTCATATCTCATTTGAGTAGGTTCTCTCTCGGTTTCTCCATACCAAATCTCGTGTCAGCCAGATTGGTGCGGCAGATCCTTTAGCATCTGAAGCGGAGGTTTCAGAGAAACGGAGCCGAGTCATCGCGTACAAAGATGTGCGCGACAGGGCAGATCGCGATACAACCTCCAGGATCAGTCCCTACCTTTCAGCAGGAGTCATTTCTGCGAGAGAGTGCGTTAGGGCTTCCATGGTCTTGCTAGACATCACAAAAGTTGAAGCAGGAAGAACTACTGGAGTGGGGAAATGGGTGCAAGAGATCGGTGAGTGCATCGAACAATATTGGCCATGCTTTGGAAAGAACCCTGATGAGACTCGTCCACAGCTTGGCGGGACTTTTACAACAATGTTCTTGCGTCGTATCCACGCGTATCGATGGGGCGTCCGTTCCAAGAGAAGATGGCAGACGTCAAGTGGGAGGTGAATGAGGAACACCTAAACGCCTGGAAACAGGGAAAGACTGGTATCCCTATTGTCGATGCAGCTATGAGGCAAGTGAATACAATGGGTTAGGAATTTTTTTATGTCCTGGAATACACCATGCTCACTATCACGAGATTTAGGTTGGATGCACAATCGCATGCGTATGATAGTTGCGATGTTCCTTTCCAAAGACCTCATGCTTGACTGGCGCTTAGGTGAACGGGTAAGCTCTTTGCACACTGTATCATTTGTCAATCTTGACAAAAAGTTTGTTGCCCAGTACTTCATGGAACAGCTTATTGATGGGGACCTCGCGTCTAACAATGGTGGATGGCAGTGGAGTGCCTCCACAGGCGTAGACCCAGCACCGTATTTTCGCCTGTTCAATCCTTACTCACAGAGTGTCAAGGCAGACCCTACTGGGGACTACATAAGACATTTCGTGGAAGAGCTGAAGAATCTACGAGGGCCTGGTAAGCAATTGAACTCTCAAATATGAATAAGACTGACACCATGAGCAGAAGTGCACAACCCTCCAGTAAAGATAGCCGACAAGCTAGGATACCCTAGGCCCATCGTTCAGCATCAAGAAGTTAGGGAGCGTGCATTGAGAAGATATAAGACCCCGGGTCAGGAGTAAGCAAGCACTGTAGGTTGGAGAGAGTATCACGCTATAGGAGTTTCGGTTTGCAACTGGATGTATCGACCTGTTGAAGGGTCATTCACAGATCCTGGAGAAGAGTTACCTAGTGTATCTCATTCTGCTGAAGATCAGCGTATCGAAGCGTTGTACGTGATAGGGGCCTTACTACTTTCAGCTCGCGAGAACATTCGTGCAAATTACCATGAGTCCTCCGTATACTACATGAAATAACACTGACCAAGGAAGATACCGCAACAATTGAAAAGCCTTTCCATGATGAAAATTGTAAGCTCAATCATCCAAATCAAATTCTTCGTCGTCCTGCGCACCACTGCCACGTAAAGTTCGCCTGGGCATGGATAACGATGAAGATGAAGATATGTTATAAGTCACTGGCCCAAATTTATTGCCTCCCTTCTGTATTACGCCTACAACGGGATTGGTCATGAAAATATCGGTACGTGTTGCGAAGCTCACCAGATTGAGTCAATCTTAGCTCGAGAACAGCAGTGTCAAAAGCATCATTGTTCCCTAGTTCTTCGAAGCCAATCAAACTATGCAGGTGGAAAAGATGAGTGAACAGCAAATAGGCGCATATAAGGCAGAGCATACATCCCCCGACCTCGTGCTCGTGGTACACGGAAATATGAATATGTGTGCGACCACTCACCGATCTTTTGACACGCCATCGACAAAGCAAACAACACAAGGTAAAACTTTGATGACAAGTTTCTCAACTAGCCACGGTATGTTTTCTACGAAGACCCGTATGAAACGTGTGGAGAAGTATTTCGGCGCAAGTTTCTGCGAGAATTTAACTGAATATTTCCATATATAAAACGCACGAGGACTGCAACCCACAGCAAGATGTTTGTCCATAATTTCACATCTGCGGAAATTGGTGTGGTAAAAGTGAACTATACAGCGTGGCTCGTTCCTTTGTGGGATGAGAATCATCATTTTTGAATGGTCGTGACTTGGATCAACCAACTTTAACTTACGCACTTATCCGGACGACCTCCTTTTCATTAGTGATCTCCATATATCTCCCATGTGCATTATCCTGCATTTCTTTCACTTTCGCCATCCTGATGTAGTCTCGTTATAAGACTGTTGAATCAATGCTGTAGCACTCACTCTTGCTTCAGTCGATCAAGTCCCTGCTCTCTCAGTGTTGCACTATCATCATTTTCTATTTCAGCCTCCAGTTCTGCGAAGATAGCATCATCATCTTCCTCGTCCTCGAACTTCTTCGGATCGTTGTTAGGCTCGACCAGGCGTGCAGCAAGAGATGCTACTTTTGGAGGTAAACTTTGGGGATCTATGCCTCAGTTTCGTTGGTTAATATAGCGAACAAATGAACATGCCTTTCATCGTCAAAGATAGGCATGATGGACGCACCTTGCAAGGGGAGCACGTTTGGACCTCGAGCAGATTTTGGCAGAGCAAGGTGCCGCGGCTATAGATCTTCAGATCTTTGATTACCTTATCGGTATGTTTTCGGCTCCACCCAGCTTGAACCCCTACCAGAAAGTAAAAACGCCAGATTCTCTGTATTATTAGGCAACGATGAAGCTTGTGAACAAGTATGTTGACAAGTACGGAACTGTATGTTTTATTGCTCATAATCTATCAGCTTTTTGCTGAAGAGGATTACAGGGTCACGTTACGCTTCGACCTGAAGACGATGAAGATATGTGGCACCTCTACAACCTCATACAACAAGATGACCTTGTTCGTGCTCCTGCAATCCGGTGAATATTTACTGGGATCGCATATGGATTATCTCTCACCTTTTCACCTTTTCTCAGCCGTGTACAGAACGTTTCAGCAACTGGATCTACGGAATCACATCGAGTCAGGCTGAATCTTACTCTACAAGTCTCCCGTGTCGACTTTTCCTCCTCTGGAGCACCTCCCTCAACTCCAGATCAATCTGCAGCTAATGCAACCTCATCTTCCAACTCCTCTGCTTCCCCAACCACGGCTTCCCTACACATATCAGGACGTGTTACATCTGAAAATCAACACGTGAAACTTGGTGCATTCCACACCCTTGACATAGAATCAAATAGAGACGTTCGTATCGAGAAAACAGAGGGATGGGATAGTATTGCGCTTTCTCGTGTACAAGAATCCTGCATCCCCGGACGCGGCGCAGAAGTCGGCGCCGTGGTCATTGGAGAGGGCACCGCCGCATTCTGTTTGCTCTCGCAGCATCTGACGCTTGTCACACATCGTTTATCTGTTCCTATACCGCGAAAGGCTTCTGCACCTGGTACTGCACAACATGAGAAGGCGATGGTCAAATTCTATGCAGCACTATACGATGCATTCACAAGACATATACCATACGCAACCCCTGGTTTGCGTGCCATTGTTCTTGCCAGCCCTGGATGGACAAGAGACGGAGTATATGATTGGATAGTAGGTGAAGCCAGTCGGAGAGGGGATAAGTCATTGGCGAAGTCACTGCGTGAAAAGGCCGTCAAGGTCCACGTGAGCAGTGCACATGTCCATAGTTTGGTGGAGGTCTTGAAAAGCCCCGAGGTACGTGTTTTCTACCTGTTGAGCATCGTAAGGGGTTTGGTATGAACAAGCTTTGTGCAGATTGTCGCACAACTGAAAGAAACTAAATTTGCACGAGAGGGTATTGTTCTTGACAAGTAAGTAATTGACCCCTGATTATTTTGGGCCATCTTTTATAATTCGATTATCTTAGATTCTTTAGGATGCTTGGAGTAGATGAGATGCGAGCATGGTATGGCCCAGACCATGTTTCATTGGCTGCAGATCGTGGTGCTGTGGGGACTTTGTTGATTTCCGATGAGCTATTCCGGTAAGCTTACTCACCATATTGTCCATTTAATGACATGGATTCTTAAAAAATCATTCAGCGCGAGCGATCCAAAGCTGAGGAAGAAATACGTGCAGCTTGTGGAGGGTGTCCAACAGAAAGGTGCAGAGGTAGTGATATTTTCCAGCATGCATGAATCTGGCCAGCGTAAGCCCTTTCATCTATATAGTTGTATGTTTCTTATTTTGCCTGGACATAGAGCTGAATCAATTGACTGGCATCGCGGCTATCTTAACATTCCCTTTGGATGTTGAAGTGGTTGAGGCAGAAGAGAAGGAAGCCAAAGAAGAAGAGCGCATACGCCTTGAACAAGGCCTTGATGGTAGTGGAGGCGGCTAAGAGCCGCACCCATAATGTGTATCGAATAAGTAAGGGATATGGCGATGTAGCGCTAGAGAATTTTACTGTATGTTTTATTTCTCAACGATGTAAAAGCCTATACATGTGTTTTTGGATATTTATCATGCAGGTACTGAAAAACGTACCTGATTACAGATTTGAATCTATGATACTCTTCGTAGAGCAGCCAAGGATCTCGCCTTGGCACGGGCTTCAATTACTGCCACGATGAGAAATGCGACACCCAACGGTGGAAATCATATTGCTACATGGTTATGGGCTCAATGATACTCGCTCTAAGTACGCTGACCATCCCTCCTGCCGGTATCTCTCTGCTTGCTTGCGCACATTTTCGACATCCAACTGGTCGCTTTTGCCATAAATACCCCTTCCGACGATGATCACATCGCAACCTGACTCCAGGACAACCTCCCTCGGTGTTCGATACTGCTGGCCCATGGCATCGCCTTTAGAGTCAAGTCCGACACCAGGAGCGAGCACAAGGAAGTCTTCCTCGGTGACATCGTCTGCTTCGATTGCACCGATCCCGTCCATACGCTTCTGGGCAATGAAGCCTACGACGAAGTCACGGCGTGATCGAGCCATACGCACTGCATCCTCGGTATAGGACCCTGTAGTGAGAGCACCCTTGGAGCTCATCTCAGATAAGAGGATGAGCCCTCTCCCGAGAGGCAAGCCAATAGACGATAGGCCAGTTATGATCGACGGGCCAGGAACTGCATGGGCATTTGTAAGGTGAGCCCAGCTGGAAATCTTGTACACTCCGCTGGAGTATTGCAATGCAACGGTGTTTCCTACGAATGGTGGCCAGCGCATGAAGATAATGAAATGGGATGGGATATAAGCATACCGATATCAGCAAATTTTCGATCTTCAAAGATCAAAAAGTCATGCTTTACGCTGAGCTCCTGTAGATGCTCGATGACTGTTTGATCGAAATCTTCAATGATATCAATATGGGTCTTGATGTTGACGACCATGAGCATGACAGTTAAAGCACGGAAAAAGGACTGGTTGCCTTTATGAGACAAACGAATGGCCCAACGACATCAATGATTGCGAGGAAGTCCTTTTTCTTCGTTACATCGACGCTGACCGAGAGATTTGTCTTTTTTCTCTCCATCGTCTCGAGTAATTTCCTAGCAGCGGGATTTCCATGCTTCTTGGCTCTTTGTTCGTAAGTCTGCAAATGAGGAGAGGACATAATGACAAAGAAAAGAAAAGAAATGCAAGAAGAAAAAAAGAGCGGATAAGATTATGCGCAAAGAGATATCGCAATCGTGATAAAAGATTATAGTTTTATCTTATCTATGCTTTTCAGTCTCAGCTCTTTAGCTAAAATTTACTGTATGTCGTCTGCCACCACTCGGGAACGGGAACGGGAGTCAGATGGCGAACTCGACCGTCCTGCAAAACGCACAAAGGTAAACGACGTTGTTGCCAAGGATGGCGCTGGTGAAATAAATGAAGAGCAGCTCAGCGATGCCAAACGCGACGGCGAAGGCGACTCAAACCCATTGGAACCGTCAACGAGCTCAGAGGTTGGGAGCGTATTGCCTCCCAGTCATGCCCTATTGGGTATCCCCACTCCACCAATCTCTTCAGACGGATATCTACGTCAAGTGATGGAAACGGATGTAGGCATCTCCGAGTACGTAGGACGAGATGTCCCACCGATTAACGGTATCATCAAGCAGAGGTCAGTAATACATTCGATACTGTGTGCTTATTCAATGTTGATTAGATTTTGTTTTTTATTTCAGGTTTACGGATTTCTTGGTTTATGAAGTGGACCTAGATTATAAAGTCGTGCACATCAAGTCCCTCGAGATGGCAGAATCGTCTCAGAAAAAGAACGAGCCAGCAGTGCAAGAAGCTGCGGGGACAGGAAGTACGAAGGATGAAGAGCAGATCACAGTGGAAGGGGTGGAAGCGTCGAAATCTGATGAACCAGGTCAGGTCAACAAAGAGAGTGATGCACTTATGGATACTACAGGAGAGAAAGGCAAGGCCAAAGTGGAGGACCATGATGTTGGCGAAGAACAGAGCTGGGGAGAACGTCATGGTGGTTTACTTGCGCCATATATGTCTGAAGATGCTATCATTCAGCTCAAGCAGATGTATTTGGAGGGTCCAGAACCTCCAAGGACCAGTGATAACGGATGGGAGAGCAAACGAACGAAACCTACAGAAGATGACAATGCACCTGTTCCTGAAACACAGATTAGCGATAGCATTGAGAAGCAAGAAACGGAGCCAGAGCCGAGAGGGAGAGGGCGAGGAGGGGGGCGAGGCGGAAGAGGAGGAAGAGGAGGAAAAGGTGGCCGTGGCGGTCGAGCCGGTGGCGATCGAGAAGACTTCAGGAAGGTTCTCTCCAATGTCAGTTGTTCTCTATTTCAACCATTTTCTTGTGCTAAATCGCGTCGTTTCGTTTATCAATATAGCCGATAGCATCGAAAGAAACTCGAACTGCCTTGCACAAAGTTGTACGTGACCTGTTCGGTGGAAAGCTAGAAAGCGAGACGGATACAACTAGCCCTGCGAGTGATGATGGTTCTCGTATAGTTATCAAGTGGTCAAAGCGCGGAGGTGGTCGAGGAGGTGGCCGCGGTTGGTTCACAATGCCTGTAAAACATGCAAACAATGTCTGAAGGATTATTTATATCACAGGAGGACGAGGGGAGCGCGTTCCCCGAGGCACATACCCACCCTACATTCACTTCACTCTTCAAAAGACGAACCGCGACACTCAAGATGCCCTAGCGCATCTTTCTCGGACGCTCCGTGTCAACCTCAAAGATCTTGCCGTGGCCGGTACAAAGGACAAACGAGGTGTCACCGTTCAACGAGTGTCCTTGCGACGTGGCAATAAGACCGTTGAAGATGTATGGAAGGCCGCCAATGGCCTAGGCGGCCGCAAGTCTATGCAAGATATCCTCACTCAACGTGGTGAACGAGGTGTGAGGATCGCCGATTTAAATTATCGTAAAGCAAGCTTGGATCTGGGCATGCTTAAAGGAAACGCTTTCTTGATAACCTTACGGTGTGTATTTCCATAATTGTCACTCGAGAAGTACTGAGTCTTATGCCAATACAGGAATGTGCAAGTAGATTCTGTAGAGACGTTGGACCGGTCTCTAAGCATCATGAAGTATAAGGGCTTCATCAACTATTACGGTAAATAAACATTCACAATGTTGTAATGTCTTATGATGCCATTCTTCAAAGGTATGCAGCGCTTTGGAACAGCAGCAGTTCCAACCCATTCCATCGGGCTAGCTTTCCTTAAATCAGACTGGCACAAAGCTGTAGCGCTCATCCTTCAGAAGAGACCTGGAGAGCACCCTGACGTTGTTGCCGCTCGAGAGGCATGGCTCATCGACGGGGATTTAGAACGTGCCCTTGACCTGATGCCAAGGCGTGTCGTGGCGGAGAGGTGCATACTCGAAAGCTACCAAAAGCAAAAAGGTGAAACGAGGAACGCCATGGGGGCCCTTTCAACGGTGAGCTTTCCATTTGATCATCTGCCTTGTCAATATTGCTAAGTTGATTGATGTGTTCTACGCTATGCAGATTCCACGCAACTTGCGTCTGATGTACATCCATGCGTATCAATCTTATGTTTGGAATGCCATTGTCTCGGAGCGTATTCGCAGGCATGGTTCGGATAAGCCAGTACCCGGAGACTTGGTTTTTGAGAAGGACACTAATAGCAAGGTTGGTGATGGTGGAGACATGGACGTTGATGGCCCTGATGGAGAGCCAGGCACGGACGAGAAACCACTCGAAGAGGCAGGTATGTCTCTGCCAGGTTTTGCTGTGTTTCGCTCTGATTCACCACTTTCATTCAGAGAACACTGTGACGCGGTCGCGCAAAAAACCATGGGTAGCCCCACGAGTGAAAACATTGACAGAGGAAGACGCCGACCAATACTCGATCTTCGATGTCATCATGCCATTACCTGGCAAGGATGTAGCTTATCCAGGCGGTGAACTAGGGGAGCAATATCGGGAATTCCTGCGGAGGGATGGACTGGACCCTGATAATTATGTCCGCAAACAAAAGTAAGTCAATGACGTCTTATACTACATTCTCAAAGATATAACGAAAGTCCACATGATAGAGAATACATCCTTGGTGGCTCCTACCGCAAAATCCTTTTACTACCCAAAGACGTCTCGTGGTCTGTATTAAGATATACGGATCCAGACGTTGCTCTTGCTCAGGCTGACGAAGACAAGCTCCTTGGGTTCGACCCACCTGTGGTGGTGGAGGATGGCAAATTTATGGCCCTACAAATTAACCTTACTCTAGAGACCGCCGCATATGCCACGATGGCACTTCGCGAAGTGACCAAGACAGAAACTAGTTCACACTTCCAAACCGGCCTCACACAGGCTTCTGAAGATCAGAAATTTCGTGGGACTGCAGACACTGAAGTTGAGGCTGAGGGGGTTTCATAAAGGTGATAGCTCTGACACAAATACGATATTGTGGTTATAAATGTATATCGTTTGTCACGATACTATTGAAACCATGTTTCACGACAAAGCTGAATGATCTACCGTAAGGTGATTATGTGTGGTGTTATGAATGTGGTTTGGCCGCCGGTAGGGTGAGATCTGGTTCCGCTGGAGTGGATGACTAACCGATAATGAGCCGATCTCCGAGTCCGATGATTCAGAAATAGGCGTACTGCACTTTTATTCGTCCACCTTGCAGCCGGCTTGCAATATCCACATTCTACTGTACACGTCGACCCTTTCAGACTTTATTAAATATCTACATGAACCCTCGTTGACTGAAACCATCACCAGTCCATCATCACCGACCCCATCTTCAAAGAGCATAGGACAGCAGACATCCCATTCATCCCACTCATTTACCGCCTTATTACAAAATGGGAAAGGTCGAAAGAATCGTATTTTTCTCCCTCATCCTTGATTTATTTGGTATGTTCAAGTTGCCCAAAATGTAAAGCTGTACGTGACTTACAAGAATTAAAGCATTTACCATACCTTTACCTCTCTTCCCTCGAATAATTGAATGGTACACCGTGGTGAGTAAATATGACACCTCTTTTATGAGAGATGATGCGACAGTCTCCACCAGAGAGAGGCCTCTGACCCAAATGGGTTCCTGTCAAAAACTCTAAGTTCTGTATCTGCTATCCGGGAAACGCTCTATAAGCCGGCTCAAAACTCTCAGAGATGGGACATCGTGCTCCTCGGTGAGTTCTCAGTGTTGACCATGTGGCAGCTTGTAAACTGACTTGACGGAACAGGCGGACTGTTGGGTTCCGTGTTCTCGTACGTTCATTTACAGCTTTGGCATTCCATGTGACCTCACTCGTTACGATTCATTCACAGGACTCTTCAGTTTATAGTATCGCCATACATTGGGTCTTTATCTGATAAGTATGGGCGCAAACGCATCCTTCTTATAACTATGATAGGAAATATACTATCCGCCGTAGTGTGAGTAAACTGGGTGCTTCATAGGCTGCCCAAAATCTAACCCGTCGTTTTCGCATTGCAGATGGGTTCAATCCACATCATTTGCTTCCTACATGCTCTCCCGCGTCATCGGAGGGTTAAGCGAAGGCAATGTTCAATTAGCCATGTCAGTGACCCGCAAATTTCTCATAGCTTCTCAAATTTAATACGGATTTTCCAGTGCCATTCTCTCCGACATTACCACTCCAGCTAATCGCTCCAAGGCTTTGGCACATGTAGGCATCGCATTCGCTATATGCTTCTGCATTGGCCCTCCCATTGGAGCATATTTCGCATCTCAGCCCGTTCCTCCGAGTGTAAACACGTGGGGTCACGAGCTGAATGTATATGCGGTACCTGCCATTATAACACTCGTCCTCCTCGTGGCCGAAACGATATTCTTAGCGGTGGCACTTCCAGAGACCAGATCTAAAAAGCCTCTAAGCGAGTATGACGACTCAGCTGAAGATAGCAAATCTAATAAAACATCTCATCATCGGGCAAGCGTTCAAACACGGATAAGTCTGCTGAAAACTTTACGAAGGCTCCACTTCCTATTCTTGGGCTTATTCTCCGGGGTGGAATTCACACTGACCTTCTTGACTTTCGACCGTACGTCTTGGGTTTCTCTTGGCTTATGATGCTCCCATTGACTATTATATAGTTTTTGATTGGAATAACAGACAGAATGGCGCCCTTATTGGATCCATCGGCATTATTAGTGCACTTCTTCAAGGCGGGTATGTTCGCCGTGCTACTGCTAAAGTGGGAGAAGGAGTTATGGCCAGACGCGGAGTATCTAGTTGTGCCGTAGGCTTAGTCCTTCTCGCCATCCTCCCTCTCTTTGTAGAAACGCGACCCACGATTGCCACACGGCTTCTTCAAGGAGCGGCAATCTGCATGGCCTTCACTTCCGCCACGGTCGTAAACTCGCTTACATCCTACGCCTCTTTACAGTGTGACGAGGGCATCGACAAAGACACGGGTAAACCCGTCGCCGAACATCCGCAGCTCGTCAAAGGTAAAGCGTTGGGCCGATTCAGGTCTTCAGGACAACTGGGCCGTGCCCTTGGACCTTTACTTGGTAAGGTTTTCCAGAATATGCTGTGGCTTTGTATCAACGGATGTTCTGACAACGGTCACTGGTTTGCAGCTTGTGCCTCGTACTGGACTTTCGGCCCGTCTGCGACCTATGCAGTGAGCGCTCTCGCTATGTTTGCGCTGTCGACCACCATGGGATCAATCGTGCCTGGCTCATCTTGACATTCATAACATTCGCCAAACTTTCTTCTCCGACTGTATCCACCGCAGACCGTAGAGACGAGCTTTTCTGATCAGAAGTAGATATTTGTTAAGAAGTCCAGATATGTTCGCACCCTTGTTATATTTATATTAGTATTCCACTGGAGCACTAGTGCTAAGTATAGCCTTCGGCTGTGCAAAAACGATATTGCCGCGTAAACAAGTGAATATGTATACTTGCGAAGATGTAGTTGCGGCAATGCTGTAAAAATGATGGAAAGAATATGATAAGAATATACTGTCCTTTCCAAAGTATGTAAGAGAGTGAATCGTCGAAATAATGAATAGGTATATCTAACGCGTCCCATGTTTGGTCTCAATAGCGTTCACTTTACTAGAGTAGTATAGGTGTGTGTAGTAACAAGCGACCCGGCAAGGTCTAAATATTACGAATATCTGGAATCAAGATCATCATCAAGGTCAATAAGTGTACTTGATGAGGCAGTAAAGGAAGAACGATTCTCAGTAGGACAACGTAAGGGCGAATTGTTTTGTGCTTGACCTTGGCGGCGCGAGTCACCTGCGAATAGACCAGCCCGCTCAAGATCTGGAGCGTATCTCTGTTTTTCAGGTGGCAGCTGAGACGATGGAGGGAGGAATCGCCCTGCCTGTGGTGGCGGGCTTCTCTGTGATTGGGAAAGCTCCATGCCGCCAGCTTGAGCTTGAGTGAAGATGGCAGGGAGGAAGAACATGACGCCGCGCGAGCGCCGTCGACTCCTCGTGGGAACCCGTGATATCGCAACTGGCTCTCGCGTAGGCACTAAGAGTGCTGTAGCGCGACAGGCAGCGCGTTTCACGGCATCAATGAGAGAAGAACCACCTCTGTAGTAATAGCTGCTACCGCTGGGGAAAACATCCATAGAAGAAGAAACGTCGGACGGGGCGGGAGATCCTGGGCGAACATCGAAAGGAAGAGGGAGTAGTCCCATTTGCTCTTCAAGAGGAGATTGAGGAGCAGAGATGGTAGGTGACGGTGGCTGAGTGGAAGATTCAGATGCAGGTAATGATGACCAACGAAGATCAATTTGCCAACGTCCGTTTCGCTGAGACCATCGGGGAAGGAGAACGTCGTAACCTCCCATTCTCCTGAGACTGTATTTCCGCTGTCTGTTTGGCAGAGCCAGACGGTACACACCTACGATAAGAACGACCAAGCCTATCCACATGAGGCCCGTGCCCCACTGACCCAAAAAGCCTATGAACGCAGCATCGTCTGCATGCCAACTACTTCCATAATAATGGGAGAAGAATGAATGAGGAACCTCATCCATTTTGGCGTTCTTTCCATAGAGTGACTTGGGAAGAATGCGGACATCACCTCCAGGATACTCTGGCATGGCAGGGTGGGAAGAAGTCCAGAGGGCGTACTGGGCGGAGAGGAACATGGGGCCTGTGGAGAACATGACGGTTGGATAATTGAGAATCCATGAATGGTCAAAGGTGACGAGGTTGTGGATGGTCTGGGCGAGGAAGGGGTGGCCTTTCTCAGCGAACATGAGGTCGTTGGAGACACCGACGGGCACGGTTCGTGGCAAGATGACGGGGTATATCAACAACGGGTCAAGAGGACGCAGACAGCCAACATCGAGGTCTAAATAAATACCCCCATAGTGATGGAGCACGAAGTAGCGAATGGCGTCGGCACGCTGTATGGTGAAGGTATAGTCGTCAAAGGTGTCGAGAAACCAGGGATAGAACTGGGCGATGAATTCACGAGAACTTGCGTCTGTCCATAGCATGTATTCACTGTGAGTGGAATGCGATAAGTAATGTGCCTGGCGATGATGGGGATAAGAGGACGTACTAGTCAGGCATCATGTCACGACAGCCCTGGGAGATGCCCTTCCAGCGGGGCGGGAGTGTCTGAGACTTCCATGTCTGGTGGATGATACGGGGAATGCGCTCTACTTTTCCGTGTTGGGAGGAGTCCCAGCGGGTGGAGTTGTCGAGAACGGGGACTTCGAGTTCTGTGAGATACGCAGCAGAGGCAATGGCGAGATAGTAGGAGACGGAGGAAAGAACGACGACGGTGCCAAGAAGTACGAGACCAAGGGCAGCAAGAGAAAAGTAAAGAGTCCGTCGACGAGCCATGAAAGTGGAATGAGAAATGCAAACGAGCGACGAGTGTGAAAATGAGCGACGACCACTAAAAACTGAAACTACCCGCTGAATATCAATTCCCTTCCTTTTTGGGCGATCATCCCATGATGGCTCTTTTCAGCCACACTGCTCACTATATCCCCGTAGGTCGCATAGGCATACTAAACACTCGGCTCATATGGTACTCCACGCTCTCTACCGACTCCCTCATGCTCCCGTCCTCCCACTGCCCACCCACCACCCGCAGTCCTCCCATCGCCACCGACCAGTCCCGCTTCGACCAGTCCTGTCCCCGCCGTGCCCCTGCCCCTGCGTATGGCCGCGTCAGAAACACCTCCACCCGCGGACTCGTCTGCCCCACCCTCTTCTTCGACTCCAGATACTCCACGCAGTCCGCCGCCTCCCAGCTCACATAGCGTCGCCGTGCGTATCGGGGAGCGTATCGCGAAACCGCCGACATGTCGTCACCAAACCACTCCACCTCCTGTCCTCCCACCCGCACCACCAACTCCAGCAGCAGCCGCGTAAAGTGCTCAATCACCTGCAGGTGCAGCAGGTCCAGCGCATGGCTTGGCTGCAGCGCAGTAGATGCTGACCACCCCTCCTCGTCTATATCCATCCCATCATCGTCATCAGCCGCATCTTGCACCGCTTCCGGTACAACTCGACTCGATGAATCGCGATAGCTGGGCAAGTACCCGCTAAACCTCGTTAGGGGTGTTCCTTGGCCGAAGATTGCCAATCCCAGGTCTCGGCTGCTGAATGTCTCACGACCGGGGTAGATCGACGGGATGCCTAGACTGGTGGTCAACATCGTGAAAACCTGGCATGTCTCTCCTCTCACCAACACTCTCGGCCTCTACACACAATATCTTGTCCTTGCTACACAGAAACGTGCGACGTGGGCGTGCTCGATGGAAATACATACAACAGTCGAGTATCAGACTATCATTTGTACGCTCCGTACCAAAAAGCTGTCCAGTCCATCCTGTTAGCATACAGCACATGTACTTGTAATCTTGCTTGCAATTTATACATACCTCGCCCGACTCGCGTGTCTTCCAATTTCCAGATGCTTTACACGTCTCATCTATAGCCTGTCCTTTCACAGACTTTCGCTCCTTCACTTTTTTAAGCAACCACGTTGACGCACGACGCGCAAACCATGCGAGCCCATCGCGATTCTTTTGCCTTTCGAAAGTCGCATTTTAGCATTTCCGTTTCAATCATGACATGCAAGTACGTAAAAATAAAGATGATGATGACATTGGATCACGGCACTCACCCATCCAGCTCGTAGATCACTGCACCTGGAATAAGCACCAGCACAGGCAGACCCATCTCTTCGCTTTCGGCAACGAACCGCTGGATCACTTCCAGGAACTCGAGAAGGATATTCGTATCCAGCACGACGACAACCTGTTCCTCTGATAGCGGGCTCTGTCGCAAATTCAAGTTGTCGTCCACGAGGAACAACGCGGGCTGTTAGACAGATGCCAAATGCTGTATGATAGCTCATACCTGCATCTCGACATCATCGTTTGCAATCTCATCGATGCGTCTTAAAGTAGCATTCAAATATGCGTTGGGTATCGTAGCTGTCAGTGCTGTAGATCGAAATGGAGAGGTTCGGACGTTAGCGATTTTCAGTGCTGTTTGATATGAAGACGTACTGGTGCTCATCATGATGGCAGTTATGATTTAGATTCTAGATGTATCCAGTAAAGTATTTGTGCTCGAGTGTTTCACGCTGACGGCACTCAGCCATACATCAATGTCGCCTGCTTAGAAGAAAACAAATATGCGTAGTGGTTCAGCTTAGCTTGAGGTTCAGATGATATATATTCAGACAAGGACGGATGAGCTCATCAAAGACACCAACCGCAAGGTTCGCAACCCTTGCAAGGATTTCTGCCTGAAGGCAAGCTACCAAACACTGACAAGATTCCCACTTAGATAACCACAACAAGCATTCAAGTCAAACAGCACTCCTATTCATATAATGCAAGTATACGTTCAGCTAATAACATCTATCCAATAATTTTCTTGTAAATATGCCTGCAGAGTATACAAATGATGATGACCATGATAAAGATAAGTGATAATGCGAAATAATAATAAAAGAAAGAAGAAAAAAAGGCGGTAGCCCAAAGTCAGTATCTTTCATCAATCATGATAATACCGAAAGCGCCAATCTCTTCATGGGCGGTGTTGCATCATGTTCATATTGCAAAGATGCATCCGAATTAGGATCATCATTGACAGCCTTACGTTTCGTTCCAGCAAGCTTTGAATCAGGCGAAGGTGAGTGTGATATGCGCAGCGTAGATACGCCCTTTGGGGGAGTCAAGCGCAGCGACGGGCCTTCCGGCGTTCCAGATCGGCTTCGCCCTGCCACTTCGTTCCGCAGCCGCGCAGCCAAGCTGTGCACGGACGTCGACGCCTCAGCGTGACAAGTCGCGTGAAAGATCTAGCGTGGAAATACGTCAGTAAGTAACTTGATAGACGAATTGTCAATTTATGAAAAAACGAACCCTATCATCCTTCTTAACAGCGTTCTTCCACACCCAGTCTTCGTCATCCTCGAGGAATTCCGACTTAAGGGTTTCCTTACATATCGGGCACGATATAGACTTTGCTTCATCGCCCGGAGGCACGACTACAAACTGCTCTCGCAATTCAGCTTCTCGTTTCGCTGCCTCTGCAGCAGCTGCAGCCTTGACATTTAGTGGTCGTGATCCATCAGCACGACCTTTTCCTTTCATGTCGATAGATGTATCATGTATCCAGTCCTGTGTGAGAAATATGAGCAAAGTGTGAAATGAAAATAGAGGAGCATCACGTACCTCAATCCCAACAAACCAACTCCTGCTATGACCACGTCCGATATTCTGATTAGCCTTACGGTTTTGTCTGAAATGCATATCCAAATGATCTTCCATATCTTTTCTGCCCGTAGCATTATCCGCATAACGGATACCACATTGCTTACACTGCACAGGCAGACGATCAAATAGGAAGTGTACTATTGGACTGCGCATCCTATGAAAAGAGTTAGTGAGAGAACATCACAACGACGAAATCATATGCTTACTTAGTTATGTCCGATGTGGTAAGTTTTATCGAATGTTTAAGAATAGACTTGCGATATTCCCTCGATGCTTCACGCCCCATATCCATCGGCGCAACAGAACTGCCTTCAGGCTTCGCAGTGGCACCCGCGCCAGTGGGGGTGCCGGAAGCGGATACGACACCTGCTTTCAACAAGGCGCTAAACAAATTTGCTATATTGGTGGGAGGTACACCGGTTATGTTATTCGATGACGATGAAGGTGCCTCTGGAGGTTGCAGAAGAGAAGAAAGGGTGGTTTGTTCTATCTTTGGTTGATTCTGCGAGTTATAGGAGTATGCAGACGGAGCAGACGGAGAAAAGCTAGGTTGCATGCTATGTGAATAAGAAGGTTGAGACACTGGGACTGGGTAGGACTGTGTATATGACGAAGAGGGATATGGTGCAACGGTTGATGGAGGTTGGGACGGAGGACCAGAAGTTCGGCCCATAGCTCTTAATTGACCGAGTATTTGGCGTAATTCCTTTTGTGATACGCCAGCTTCGACAAGCTTTCTTAGCTAGAATTAGTATCAGCAAGCTCTACGAAATGATGAAAAACTAAATACGAACCTGCAGTAGTACATCCACATGCTTCGCTGCTGCTGTATCGTACGGATTTGAATGGAGGGCTCGCTCTTTCTGGCCAAGGGTATATTCTAACTCGCTAAGTACTTGAGCTTTCGAAATCTGACCTGAGCCGCTCAAAGTACTACTTGATGACTGATGGTGGTACAACATCAACAGACAATTAGCTAACCCATCATCAAAGGTTGACGGCACACGCACATCTGTCGCACTTGACTCGCCCCAGACACCTCTTTCGAGAGCAAGCTGAGGAACGAAGCCGAATAATTCTTTACCATTTGGAGCGCCAGTGCGCCACGTGAGGAGCATCTCTTCCATCTTGCTGCGAGTATTCTGATCAACCTGTTCATAAGACTCCAAAAACAATGGAATGACATATGCAGCAAAATGCCGCCCATATGGTTCATAGACGTTTTTCGAAATCGCGTCTAACAAATAAAACGCTGGAAGTTTCATCCAAGGCGGAACCTAATAGAGCAGAGACAACCAGAAATGGCAATGATGAGTCAGCAATTCAGAGAAAACAAAACAAAGTGACGGAGAAAATAGGGACACAAAACAATTGCACCAGAAAATTTCTCAGAGGTGCATCGTCTCCTCTCCGCTCTACTGCGGAAGCCCAACAGGGCCTTGCGAGGATGTCTTTGCTCAATGTAATGCACTAAAGACTATGTTACATGATATCCGAACAACAAGCAGCCAAAGTCCACGGTATCAGAAACTGCCCCATTTGCAACTCTCACTACTGAAGGGTAAAGCGACAAGATCCGGATTCTTATGAAGACTCACCCTACGTATATGATTCTCTAAACATTGTGCAACAACTTCGGCCCATCTTGAATATTCTTGAGCAACCATTGATAGGTTTTGAATAATCGGCCTGGAATTAATTGTAAGTTCCGCCAAACGTGCAGTATAATCACGACGGAAAGAATTGGGATCCACATAATATACAGGCGCAGGCGGTGCTGGTGCGGGCGGTTGTTGGTACGGGTAAGCTGATAAACCAGGTTGGGGATATCCTAGAGCAGGATATGCGACCTGACCATATGCGTGGTTCTGAGAATACAGAGACATGATGCCTCAAACTTAACCAGCAGGAAGAGTTTGAAAAAATCAACAAGTGTCGTAGCGCTCTCACCGAGAGTTCGGGGAGAAGATTGCGAGGATACCGGATACTTTGATAAACTGAGAAAAGACGAGACAAAGTGCTTGCAAGATGCTATTTTTTTAAACTGTCTCACTCAGCTGCCCACGGATAACGAGGTGAATACGGGTGCCCAATGCAAACGATGGTGGTGGTTGTGATGTAGGAGGAATCGACTCCGCAAGACGGCTGACATTAGTTTGCCGGGTGGCATTCAGACTCCGCTTAGTAAACCCAATTCGTGTGCCACCACCGCTAGCAGTGAAGTCGCCAGCCGGTCAGCCTCAAGAAAATTCACATATTCCAAGGTGAGTATCCGTCTCGATACCCCGTTATCATGTTCCTTGGTTGCTTGGGGGTGTTATAGCCATTTTGGTGAAATTTCTGCCAACTTGGAGAAACAGGATGCGATGGATCGAAACTATGTAACCTAGATGAAGCAATTTCAGATTCTTATGTTTCTTCACTCTATAGATGCGGGACGTCCTCAAGACCGAAGAACTCGATATCCCCGAAGGTGTCACCATCGAAATTAAGTCCCGTATCATCAAAGTGACGGGTTCCCGGGGTACACTCACGAAAAATGTCCGTCATGTTGACATGGATATCCAAGTCGTGAAGAGCCCGAAAAGCAACAAAGTCACTCTGGCTGTCTGGCAAGGTGGAAGGAAGCACGTTGCCTGTCTACGGACGATCAGAAGTTTGATCAACAATATGGTCATTGGTGTCACGAAGGTCTGTCAAATTTGGTGAACTATGGCGATATGTTACTTTAACTATTGTATTCATTCAGGGCTTCCTATACAAAATGCGTGCCGTCTACGCCCATTTTCCCATCAACTGCATCATTCAAGAACAAGGACAGGCGGTAGAAATCCGGAACTTCTTGGGGGAGAAGGTGTGATTTATGATATCGGATGTGTTTGTTTGCTAACAAGTCTCTCGTAGACTGTGCGAAATGTCAAGATGTTGGATGGCGTAACTGTTTCAGAGTCGAAAGCCCAAAAAGACGAGTTGATTCTTGAGGGCAATGACGTGGAAAATGTCTCACAATCAGGTACCTATACAAAGCTGTCTGTTGATTTATTGTTAATAATCCTGCTCTAGCCGCTTCGATTCAAGGTGTTTGCCGCGTACGGAACAAGGATATTCGTAAATTCTTGGATGGTATCTACGTCTCTGACCGGGCAACGATTACGCAGGAATAAGCGGTGGTGTTGTTCCTTGCTAGGGGTTGGAGTTGTCATTATAAAACCTCCATGTCGCATATGTGTTGGCCTCATTGTACTCTATGCTTACGCATGACATGCACATTTCAATTTCTATGAGACGAAAACGAAGCACTTGGAGGATAGGCTCATAAGCAACACTTGATATTTTAAATAATCATGGAATGAAAGGTATTCTTGTAGGTACCCTTCGCTTATATTTCTCGTATTCATCTCCGAAGAACTTCACCAGAGCTTTCTCTTCAGCTGGATCAGCGATGACAGGTCAGATTTGTAAAGCATGTGATAAGAAGAACGGCACCTCTTGTTCTGTAATAGAAAAATTTCCAGAGTACGAGCGTGAATCCGACAAAGCTTACGGGATTCTGAAGCACAAGTTGGGTGCCCAGTGCCCAATAGAAGAATCCTGCATAGGATGGATGGCGAAACCATCTATACGTTAAGCGTTAATATACGTACAACATCCTAGGACAGTAAACCTACGCATATACGCCGTCAGACACAAGCTCATGAGATTCACGTTTCCGAAAGGCAACGGAATGTGAAAAATTAGTGGATGCATGGATCATAGCCACTGACCGCAGCGCTTGTCCAATTAAAACCATGGCTACGCCTGATACAAGAATTCGATGAGAATTAACAAGGTTAGTGATGAAGTTCGTACCGATAGCGGACACGTAAGGGAAGGCTTTCAAAGAAGGCTTCCAATAGAGTACGATAAGATATTCCAAAGCCGCAGTACCATTCGCAACATGGTACATTGCACCGTTATCCAAAAGAAAAGCTATGGATTCAGGGAAGGTTGGTAGCAGGTTTTGTAGAAGAGCAGTCATACGCACAGTCAACGCTACACTTCTCCATGTTCCAACCAGCGGTCACCGCAAACTCACCCCAGTGAAACAAGGACCACGCAGCGACAAAGAAACCGAGTCGATAGGTAGCCCACCAATGTGCAGGAAATCCGCCCGCGAGAAAGGTCACTAGACCGAGAGAGAACAAGCAGCCCAGTAAATACGATATCGTCGACGCTGCCAACGGTGTGTTGGGAATATTTCCATGAGGTTCCTGATGAACGGGTATTGTTTCTAATGGATTTCTCGTGATTCCTGAACGTTGTCGCAATCGTTCATCGAAGCCGTTCTGTGGATTCGTAGACATGTTATGAGTAAGCAGGAAATATATGTGATTTGCAGCTGGGACAGGTGCATAAATAAAAGGAATAAGTGTATTTCTTGTTGTCCATTTGGGCTATGAAACGAGTATAGCGTTGAAGGTATGTTTGTCTCTGTTAGATCCAGATGGCGTTCGGTGTCGGGACTGGTATACACCTCAGACATTTCTTTTTCTTTCCTTGCAGGCCATGCTCCGTAGCCTCAAGGAAATCATAAAACCTAATCTTTCGAGAACACTCCGGCCACGGCGAAACCACCGTTCTTTTGCAACCAGTAGCTCAGATGACGCGACAAAATTCAGGAATATGGCACTGGTTGCCCATATCGGTCTGTTACCCTAGTTGTTCGCTCGTTTCTTTCTTATCCTCAACGAAAGTCGCATAGACTCTGGAAAAACTACACTGACAGAGTCAATACTGCACAAATCTTCTTACCTCACTTCACCTGGCTCAGTTGATACCGGAAGTACCACAACAGACTTCTTACCAGCCGAGCGTGAAAGAGGGATAACCATCCAGTCTGCGAGTATTCCAGTGAAATGGAAAAACTGGACCTTCAACATGATTGATACTCCTGGACATGCCGATTTTGGGATGGAAGTTGAAAGTGCAAGTCGTGTTGTAGACGGCGCTGTAGTCCTCATAGACTCGGTAGAAGGGGTTGAGTCCCAGACGAAGGGTGTTTGGAGGCAACTGGATAGGTGAGCTATTTGCAGAGGTGAGAATGAATGAAGGAGATCATTCTGAGCAGCTGATATTTCTTCGTCAGATATAATGTTTCAACGCGATTAATGTTCCTCAACAAGCTCGACCGGCCTGGTGCTTCCTTCAAATCCTCATTGCTATCTCTTCTGTCACATAGGCTGCACTCGAACCCAATGGTCCTGACGCTGCCGATTGCATCCTTTAATCCTCAAGATTATACTCGAGCCGAGCCTGGAATTCAGGGATTGGTAGACCTCGTCAACTGGGTCGTTTGGAAATGGGATAGTAATGGTGTCTCTTCTCAACATCCACTTCCACGAACTGCCGAGGGTCTCACATCCATGGAGATTTTGCACAGTAATCATCCTGTTGTCCCTCATTTGGTCCCTGCCCGCGTAGCTCTTTTAGAAAATCTCGCCATGTTTTCTGAAGAATTTATGGAGTTTTTGTTGACTCTTCCATCAGGTCCTTCATCGTATTTAGGCATCGAGCCTTCCAAAATCATGCCTCATCTGCGTAACGCTACCTTACGGAATGACATTTTACCTGTGCTTTGTGGTTCAGCCATGAAAAATATTGGGACAGAACTAGTTATGAACTACGTTGGCGAACTTCTTCCCAGTCCGCTGGATGTGCAACTGGAAGGAGAGTCTGCCAACAGCCCTGTGAGATTATTGGCATGGAAGGTTAGCTGGGACAAACGGCGAGGCTGGATGACCTTTGTTCGCGTATATTCAGGTCAGTGAATCTGCTTTCGTGCGCTAGCTTAACTTCATGGAGTTCTTAGGAACACTCAAGCGTCAGAGTTCTCTCCTCAACACCTCCAGTGGTCAGAAAGAAAAGGTTTCAAAGCTACTTCTCTTGTATGCGTCAGAAGCCGAGGAGGTCGAGTCCCTCCCTTTTGGATCTGTAGGAGTTCTCCTCGGTTTAAAGTACACTCGTACAGGTGACACCTTGGTCGCTGGTCGTGGACCTGTGTCATCCACAGCGCCATCCTCTCTTCGCACCATTGTGCCCCCTCCCGCTGTCATGTCTGCTTCAATTATTCCAAGGTCCCATTCGGATCTTGAGCCAGTACAGGATGCATTGCAGAGCCTGGCCCGGACCGATCCATCCGTTCGAGTGGACGCTCAGGAAGGCCAGATTCTCGTACATGGTCTCGGTGCCCTTCATCTAGAAATCGTGGAAGGCAGGTTAAGGGATGAGTGGAACGTCCATTTCGAATTTGGTTCTCGTCGTGTGAGTTATCGTGAGGGACTTGGACCAGGAGCTTCTTCAGGTGACCACCAATGGACTACGGAGATTGCGAATAAACCTATCACCATTTCCATATGGATGTCGATAACACCCCTCGAAGAAACCGAACAGGGGGATCCAACCTGGGACGACAACTTAGTATTGGGTCCCAGTGGTAAACCTTTGACGTCTCCTGAAGCGTCTCCCGATCAGCTTGACCCGCTGACCAATATTTCCCGTGGAATCGCAAGCATGCTCTCCAATTCCCCCCATACATCGTTAGCATTATCACATATCAAAATCAAAGTTACAGGTTTCAAGTATCCGCAAGAGATATCTCCATCTATCCTCGCTGGGGCAAGCTCGTCCATCCTACAGAAGCGAATACGAGAAGCCGGGATGGGGGGAATTATGGAGCCATACATAAAGCTCAAGATATCAATTAACGAGGACAGCTTGGGAAAAGTCGTCAAAGACCTCACTGAAAATGGCGGCGAAGTGCTTGATCTTGCGTCTGATGCAATTACCGCGATAGACGAAGATAGTTTCCCATACTCAATAGATGGAGTATACGTTCCACCTCGCGAGCTTTCCCCTTCGTCTGCATCGTCTGCATCAGTAAACTCTTCCACCTCCACACCAAGACTCAAACGCACCGTTCACGCCATTGCGCCTTTGAGCAGAATGCTAGATTATTCTACCCGGCTACGTGCTTTATCTGGCGGTCACGGTCTTTTCGAGATGGAAAATGCTGGGTTCCGTGAGGTCTCCGAGCCTCGAAAGGTGGAAATTTTACGGGAGATCGGTCGTGCATAGATATCGGTAATCATGGCTAAAGCAGAATTCACTGTTATGTATCGTCATATAATATAACTATCTACGAAAATTCTCGGAACTCGTCCGCATCTCCGAATAATATTGCACCATCCATATCCTCTTCCTCATCCGCTGCAGCGGCGTGTGAATCTCCAGTGGCATTGAGCATTTGACTGAAGTTCATCAGTCCGTCGCTACTATACCCATCATCATCGCTGTCGCCAGGAGCCGATTCGTTAAAAAGTGGGACCGGTGGACGGACTTTTTCTTGCCACAAGCTCAATGGGGCAGGAGTTGCACTTCTGTCTCTATCGTCAAGATCGGGAAGAAATAGTGGTGTCCGCTCCCTCTGTAAGGCTCCACCCTGGCGCGACGGTACAAAATCTGGTGGTGCTATACTTGGCCCTCTTAATGCAGTAGCTCCCAAGCTCAGCGGGGCAATAGATGGTGCACGGGTAGCTGAGCGAATAGCGGGCCAAGGCTCCACGACAATGCAGAGGCAGTGTCCCAGAATGTTAAAACCCTGATACTTGAGCCGTAACAGAGGTTTCGGTTTTTTTTCTTCCTCCTCTACTTCGAGCTCAATCTCGGGTGCAGGGAGCTCAGTTTGTCCGACTATCTCCACATCATCAGAAGTAGGAAACTGATCTTCAGTTGATGGATTTGCCAGAGGAATATCTCTATCCTCTTGTTTGACTGTTGCTCTGGCAGAATCGACCTCCTCCATAGCGAGCAAATTTCCGTCGAGGCACGTGTCTGGATGTTTCCCTAGTGGAACATCTCCCATCGGTGGTTCCATATCAATATCTTCTTCCCCTGAATCTGGTACGTTGATAGATTGTATTTCCTGATCCTCGTCGTCTTCCTGATATCTACCGGCTACTACTTTCCTTGCTCTCTGAGAGCGTCGAGGGGCGGAAGTAAAGTGCGATACTTCATCGTCACTATGCATATCCGACATATTCAATGCCTCTTCCTCCTCTTCACTTCGCGCTCTGCTCTTGCCTTTGGTTTTCCGCTTCTTGCGCCCATTATTTGAACTTCCCGTACCATTTTCTTTGGTACTACCTTTTCTTTTCCCAGATCGGCTTTTTGGAAGGGGCGCTTGTGGCGGTATATGTTGCTGAACTGAAGATACAGGAGCGGCTACAAACGTCCGAGTCTGGATGACAATGAGTTTTATCGCCTATGGAAACAGTTTGATGTATAACCTTAATGACCACAGAATGAGGCTCCGTCTTGCGAAAGAAATACGCAAACTGATAGGACTCTATGAAAAGCGGAAGCTCGTTTCATCAGCATATCCTTATAGAGCAACTTTCTCTCTGGTGGCTTACCTCCTCGATGAACGTCCACAGTGCCCTTCTTATGGTTAGCTGATGACCCAGAACCGAATAGTACCTCTTGCTCTGCCTGTAGCTTTGGGAGGACGCTGTGTGAATGAAGATCAGAGTGTAATTCTTTTGAACAGGGAGAGAAATAAGCTGACAGGGGTCGAAGGTCTTCTAGCACATGCTGTAGAACCATGTCCGACATCCACTGGATATGCCGATCATCGAGATACAACTTCAAGGGAGCATTGAGTGAACATCTTTTGTATTATGAAAAGTGACGAGTATACTCACATACACTGGCAAAACGGTGCTCGCGGAGATGCGCAAATAATATGAATTGCGTGAGCGAAACGACATGTCCTTGTCAAATCAATGGATATGGGGAAAGGGCTTCTGATATGTCAAGCTAATAACGGCTTGAATGGATACTAGTACTGTACCTCAAATAATCACCTTCGAGTACGCTCGCGTGTGTGACTACCACGATCTTCCTTCTCTTTTGGTTTGAGGAAATACAGTAGATCGTTGAAACTTGATAGTAAATCACTATTAAGACTCGATGGAGTACAGGCTTCGGCACCCCATTCACGTCCAGTTCGAAATTGGAGAGCAGAAGTTACACTCGTGCGCCAACTTTATTAGAGATCGTGGTGTCGTTCACGTGACACGCAAAAGAAATGTACTATATACTTAGCCGCGGGTTGGTTATGTCAGAAATGAGAATCGCTATATTTGACAGATGGATGTTCGCGAATACAATAGCTGCTATCAACTTAATAGTTACGACAGTAGTCATACATACTACCCCATAATTTACTTCTTTTGCATAGCTCAATCGTTGTTTCACGCCGAGTCGAGGGGAACATCGGGGCCGGATATGATGGCTTTGATGACACCTTTACCATCGTCACTCTTTCCTTGACGAGTCGTCTTGAATGCCTGGAGAGCACTTTCGAATGGGAAGCTACAGTGTATCATTAAGACATTTGTGATTAATCGTCAGAATGGAATGTACCGATGAGTCACAAGAGGTTTGAGGTCAATCTTTCCCTGCGCCACGAGAGCAATGGCCAGCTTATAGTCACCAGGCTATATTTTTCAAATAAGTATATGATCTATACCACGATTTAACGCACGTACCCCGTATCTGAATGAACCCCTCATCTTCAGTTCTTTTGTGATCAAGACACTCATGTCAATTGTGACATCAGGGCTCCCCATCCCAACCTGCAACAATCTACACTGAGTAACGGAGGTCATGTATGGCAATACATCGCGGCCTACCTGAACAAAGGCACCCCCCGTCTTTGCGATGCGAATTCCCGTTTGGATAGACACCTCGGCACCGCTGGCATCAATGACAAGATCAATTGCTTGAGGACCTCTGTCTGCAATGCCAAGTGCCTTCTGCATCGCTGCCGCCGACCTCTTCGAGAAAGCTACGCGAGATTCATCCTTTTCTGGAGCAGGGGGCACGAACACGTCGGTCGCCGCATACGACTTCGCAAACTCGAGACGAGACGGCGCAATATCAACGGCGATTATGCGGGAGGCACCGAGAGCTTTAGCAACAGCCATGCACAGAATACCAACGGGTCCGCATCCAAAAACTGCAATGGATTGATTTGCTTGGAATTCGCCTAGCTTAGCAACTGCATGGATTCCCACGGACAGGGGCTCCATCTGTATACATCAGAATCAACATGCACGTTTCCAGTCGGTTCATAATTTAGAACAGCCCACCATAGCTCCATCTTCAAGACTAAGGTGGTCAGGTAACGGATAAGCTAGATCAGCAGGAACACGATAATAGCGACCAAGAGTGCCATCGTTTGGCGGAGTGGCGGCAAAAACGACATCTGGACAAAGCTAATAAAAATATACACTGAGTTCATAGGGAGCATTACAATTTCTGGGCTACTCACTTGGTAGCGAGCAGTCTTACAGTATTCGCACTTGCGACAAGTAGCACCTGGCTCTATGGCTACCCGGTCGCCCACTTTGAGTGTTGTAACGCCGGACCCAACTGAAAATTTGCGATACATTAGAAAAGGCGAGATAGCATGCAGTTGATAGTCATTTAATACCTTTTGCGATGACACCTGCAGACTCATGGCCTAGGACCTGCTCCGGAAATAAGACATGATATAGGAAAGCTGAGAATTCACCCACCATGGGTTTCTCAACGATGAAATCTCCAATACGGCCGTGGACATAAAAATGGACCTAGAAACCGAGGCGAGACTGTTGGAACAGAATTATAGATAAGTCAGAAAAGACTTACATCCGATCCGCAGATTCCTGATGGCAAGTGTTTTCAATCAGTAGCTTTGTCCCTATATTCACGGGAATTTCCTGCTCACCAGTCTTCTTTACCTGCACGAGGACCTCGTCTGCAGCCGCTGAGAGCAAGGCGAAGTATCAGAGGTGAAGAGTGATCAAATGGGCCAAAAGATTTAACACATACGTTCGACGATTGGTCTCTGCTCAAAGGTCACGTTATCGATACCGAGTAACACGAAAGACGGATTATCGGACATTCTGAACGATGGAGAATGTGGGGATGAAGTTGAGAAAACTTCACAGACAGATTCTCATGTTATACCGTTAGAACCTTTGAAGAGGAAATACGGTCCGGAATATTTGCGGACCGCTTTCCTAATGCCTTGCTCATATGCTCAGGTCAAGGCTAGAATTGGTGTGTGCGGGGGACCGTGAATAATATTGAGCCAATCATGGGGCTCGTTTACGGTATCTGTGCGGGGATCACGAAGGCCTGTCTGCGATCTGAGAGTAAACATCCTGAGTTATCCAGTAGCAAAGAATGGGACTGAATTTGACCTGCCAACGTATATGGTCATGATCTGATTTGAGGAAAAATGTTACTGTGACTAAAGGTAGTGTTAAAAATATGATATTGTCACTTAATTGAATAACATTTTAGGGACATTCCGAGGAATGTGGGAAGTATGCCGTGTAAAGCCGTGGAAATAGCCCCTTTTGTTAATGTCTCGGGAAGTAAAGGGGGATGTCCCGAGACAAACTAGAAGAAATATATTAATATTATTGAAGCACCGCTCCGAGATCTAGCCAAGCACGAGCAAATAGAGCGGATAACCCCTTGGTTCAATAGAGTGAACAAGATTGACTTACCCCTTTCACGATCACTTCTGACACTGAGGGGGCACTGAGGGGGCAGCGATGGCGGTATATAAGGTGAGCACTTTGGCGAAATATTCATCATCCAATCTTCTATCCATACCTTCACAGTTGATACAGGTTTATCAACTTATCACACCTCTACCTGCGATACATCCGCTTCACCAAATTTGATAACTCCTCCACTTTCCTCACCCTCCTCATCCAATCTTACAATATACCAACCATCACAAACTTATTCATCCTTTAACTATGGTCGTCATGAGCTCCAATCTTCCCGACTTCTCCGGCCAGACTATCGCGAACGGTCGTTACCAACTCATCGAGGAGTTAGGCACTGGTGCCTACGGAAGTGTGTATCGTGCCCTCGATGTCAATTCTGATCCCAACGATCCCTCATTTTATGCCATCAAGTGCTTGTCGAAGGAGGATCTCACTCCTGAGCAGGTCGCCTATCAGGCCCGAGAAATTGCCATCCACAAAATGGTCTCGGGTTTGCCCCATGTCCTCACGCTTCACGAAGTAGTCGAAGAAGAGCTATATCTTTATTTCGTGTTGGAATTGTGTATGGGCGGTGATTTGTTCAACGCCATCACAGTGCATCGTGCATATTACCGGAACAATGCCTTGGTTAAGAAGGCATTTGTTGAGTTGCTAGATGGTGTATATGCGTGCCATCAGATGGGTGTTTTCCATCGTGATCTCAAACCTGAAAACATTTTATGTTTGAAGGATGGATCTGGCATATTGTTGGCAGACTTTGGTCTGGCTACAAGAAGACGAGTCTGCAAGGACTTTGGGTGTGGTAGCTCGTTTTACATGAGCCCAGGTCAGTAACCAAAACTCAATGTTTATGTCAACGTCAAACTGATGATTATTTCAGAGTGCATCGGTCAACAATTTGACTACCCCACATATTCTGCATCCCATAGTGATATTTGGTCATTGGGTGTCATATTGACCAACATGATATCTGGTCGTAACCCCTGGAAACTAGCCACCACAGTGGATGATTGCTTTTCATCTTATCTCCACAATCCCGATTTCCTTCGCGAGATGCTACCAATTTCCAAGGGAGCCAACGAGATTTTGAAACGTATCTTCACGTTGAACCCTCTCTCCCGCATCTCTCTGCCGGAATTGAGACAAAGAATTTTGGAGTTGGACACATTTTTCATGGACGAATGCGAGCTAGAAGAAGCTTCGGACAACGTTAAAACTGCAGAGGTCTCATACGCCACTCGCATCCCTGTCACCAAACTCGTTGTACACAGGGTTGCCACAGACGATACGCTAAACGCGGAATACGACAGTGGATATTCCTCTTCGTCTTCATCGGATAGACATTATCCATACGAGAGCCCTTCGGACAACATGGCTCCTACTCCTGTCACCATCGCTACATTCTCTCGATGCAGCAGCCGCGATATAGCGCGTGTTGTTGTTCGGTCACATCGCATCGAGAACTTCATAATCGGGTCCGATTCCGGCACCGGCGAGACGAGTTCAGGCGGTGAGAGCGAAGGTCCCATCACTCCAGAAACATATCCTATCGATCCAGTCAACTCAGTTCCTGATCTACCCGAGGGAGAGAGTTTGGACGATTCCATATTTGCGGTCGAAATGCCGGCCTACTCCAAAGAGCCTATGGGGTTACCTAGCTTTCTTGCCAGCGCAGTGCAGAGGCTTAATCTTGTGTAAACGGGTGTTGCTGGCAACATTTTTTCCTTATACCCATAGAGCGGAAAAACAATATGTATCGATAAAATGCGTAGATATGTAGGAATTATTTCAAATAAAAATACGATTTTCATTTATTATGTTAACGACTGTCGTGTGAGTTAGAACATTTGATTTTATCATCGCGTGTGTGCACATCTGATATTCTGCTAAGATTTTGGCATCTGCTGTGCAGTCTATCTGTTAGCAATCAAATAAAATTATGATTTTCATTTATTATCTTACCGACTCTCGTGTGAGTTAGAGCACTTGAATTCATCATTGCGTGTGTTCACATCTGATATTCTGTTAAGATTTTGGCATTTATTGTGCGTCGATGTGAAAGAGCCTCGCCTGGATCCCATGAAGGTGGGAAGCGAACATAGAGCGAAGCGATTGGAATATTCCGATTCTCTTAGATAATAGGAGATCGATAGTACACACGTTGACTCAGGGCAGGTCTACCTTTTATCTCAAAATCACGCAAACTAAATATTCAGCCTCAGCTCCTCTCTTTCTCTCAAACCATATCAATCTATCTCAGAATGGTCCTCTCCAGCGTTCTTGGTTTCCCTCGTATCGGTATGAAAGATTACATTCTCAAAGCGAGATCTATCCTTCTAACACTATATACAAGGTGCTAACCGTGAGGTCAAAAAGGCCGTCGAGGCCTACTGGGCTGGTAAGCTTTCGGCCGAAGAGCTTACCAAGGCCGCTGCAGAAGTCAAGAAGACTAGCTGGACTTCTGTAAAAGCGAAAGGCGTTGACTTGGTTTCCAGGTATGATCAATCCTTATCAGCTGGTGTAGCAATTGATTATTATCAGTGGTGAATTCTCCCTGTACGATCATGTTCTCGATCACTCTGCCTCGTTCAACGTGATCCCCAAACGCTACGTTGGATTGGGTTTGTCTGACCTCGACGTTTATTTCGCAATGGGCCGTGGTCGTCAAGCTGATGGTGTCGACGTCCCTGCGTGTGAAATGAAGAAATGGTCAGTACCAATTTCAAACGAATATAGCGCTGTGGACAAATAGGCTATATGGCGTGATCTTATCTGCTTTATTTGTATATGTTTCTGATCATCTTTTTGACACACAGGTTCGACTCTAACTATCACTTTGTCGTTCCTGAGCTTTCGGAAGAGACTCAGTTCAAGCTTAACTTTAACAAGGCTCTCGAGGAGTACAACGAGGCCAAGGCTCACGGCATTGTCACTCGTCCCGTTGTTCTCGGCCCCGTTTCTTACCTCGTTCTCGGCAAGGCTGCCAAGGAGGCAAAGGATGACTTTGAGCCTATCTCTTTGTTGTCTAAGCTCTTGCCCGTCTACAAACAGCTTTTGACCGACCTCAAGTCGGCTGGTGTTGAATCTGTGCAAATTGAAGAGCCAATTCTCGTTCTCGACAAAGCTGCTTCCTTTGACAAGCAGTTTGCCATCGCTTATGCGGAACTCGCCCCTGTCGCTCCCAAGCTCGTGCTGACCACTTACTTCGCACGTCTCGACTCGAACATCAACTTCGTTGCTAAGCTACCTATCGCTGGCTTGCATATCGACTTGGTCCGTGCTCCGGGTCAGCTCGATGAGGTGGTCGCTGCTATCAAGCCCACCAATATTGTGCTTTCGTTGGGTGTTGTGTCTGGTCGTAACATCTGGAAGAACGACTTTGCTGCATCTATCAAGTTTGGCCAGAAGGCCATTGATGCTCTTGGTCAAGATCGTGTAATCATTGCGACTTCGTCATCACTATTGCACACTCCGGTCACACTGGCATCTGAAAAGAAGCTTACCGAACAGCAGAGGGACTGGTTCTCTTTCGCCCTCGAGAAGGCGGGAGAGGTTGCCACTATTGCAGCTGTTTTGTCGGGATCCCAAGACTCGGCGATCGCCGCTGCGCTCGAGGCCAACAAAGTCTCCATCGGGAAACGTCGCGAATTTGAGGCTACTTCCGATGATGCCGTTCGCAAGCGGGTTGCCTCTATCACCCCCGAAATGTTGAACCGCAAGAGCCCTTTCGCTGTTCGTAAGGAAGTACAGGCCAAGCACTTGGACTTGCCCAAGTTCCCCACCACTACCATTGGCTCTTTCCCAGTATGTCATATTCTATATATCTGTTGCAGCATGCTGATAGGGCACGACAGCAAACAAAGGAGATCCGTACTGCTCGTGCTAAACTTGGAAAGGGTGAAATTACCGTTGCTGAGTACGACGAGTTCATCAAGAAGGAGATCGAGACTGTTGTCCGTTTCCAGGAGAAAGTTGGTCTCGACCTTCTTGTCCACGGTGAGCCCGAGCGAAACGACATGGTTCAATACTTCGGTGAGCAGTTGAACGGCTTTGTCTTCACTCAAAACGCTTGGGTCCAGAGCTACGGTTCTCGGTAGGTTTCTTGATACAGACGAGATAAATCATACTAATTCTTGTTCCAGTTACGTTCGTCCTCCCATTATTGTTTCCGATGTCAGTCGTCCCGGTCCTATGACCGTAAAATGGAGTAGCTATGCGCAGAGTGTCACCAAGAAGCCTATGAAGGGAATGCTTTCCGGTCCTGTCACCATCTTGAACTGGTCCTTCCCTCGTGATGATGTCACCCGTAAATTACAATCCCAGCAGTTGGCTTTGGCTCTTCGTGACGAGGTGATCGATCTCGAGAAGGCTGGCATCAGTGCCATCCAGGTCGACGAGCCTGCTATTCGCGAGGGTGTGAGTAACTCCCATTGTCTACTTTATGACAGTAATTGAATATTTGCTACAGCTTCCTCTCCGCCGATCTGACTGGGACGAATATCTCGAGTGGGCAGTCGACACCTTCAAGCTTTCCACTGCGGGTGTCACCGATGCTACCCAGACGCACTCACACTTCTGTTACTCTGACTTTGACGATATCTTCCCTTCCATCCAGCGCCTTGACGCTGATGTGATTTCCATCGAGTTCTCCAAGAGTGATATGAAGTTGTTGCACACCTTCAAACAGTACGGTTACTCCAACCAGATTGGTCCTGGTGTCTACGACATCCACTCTCCTCGTGTTCCAAGTGAGGCTGAGATCAAGGACCGTCTCAAGGCTACCCTTGCTATCATCCCTGACCACTTGGTTTTCATCAACCCTGTGCGTGATTGTTTTGGATTGTGTTCATGAGCATGCACTAACATCTCTTCAAAATTTAGGACTGTGGTCTCAAGACCCGTGGCTGGAAGGAGACTGAAGCTTCGCTGGCCAACTTGGTTGCCGCTGCTCGCTGGGCTCGTCAGAACGCTTAATTCTATCGTACTTTGCGCTTCAACAGCGCCCGCGAAGTGGTTAATTTATCAGGGTTCTTCGAGGAAGCGCCTTGCACTTGACCTTGGGTAGTTGTGTGGCAATAAAATGACGACCAGCATGTCGATGCTGGATCATCTTGTAGGGCACTGTTAGATGCTGCTTTGTGGGCCCGCCGAGTGCCTTGAATGAAGGCAGGAGCTTTGCGTGTTCGTAGTCAGTAGTATTAGGATTTCAACAATCCATAATGATATCGTAATAAGCATCAATTGTTTTCTGCATAAATACTGTTTGATTTTAAATGATAAGATGCATGTATTGTTAAGCGTAGGTAGCATCCAGCTCGAAATGTAAGTGTTTGAGTACGATATTAAATCAATGAATACCCGGACAATCATGTACATGGTCCTTATTGAACTGTTCATTCAGTGAAGAGTAAGTAAGACGGTCACAATTCTGAAGCCTCTGGTATAGTTGGGATGTTCATTTGTTCGTCTATAGTGATGTTTCCTTCAGCCCTTTTCCTTCCCTCGTGTACCGACTCATCATTGGCATTTCTTTGAGTGACAATTGTGGATCCTGGAAGTGTGCCCGAGGCTTGATTGGACTCTAGTAAAGCGGGCGTGCCCAACCCCTCCATAGCAAGCACCTCGCGTAGCGTTTGCTCAACTTCTTCCGTCCGCTTCGTCCGCTGGCCTCCTTTCCATATGTAGATAGCCGAAACTATACCACACAGAAAGGATGCAGGAATTAAAATTCCAGTGCTCCAAGCGGGGCGCTGAAAACTGCGGAATATTAAAAATTAAGGGCGTAAGCAAATGTCGTGCAAGCCGCATCCTTCATTACTTACCGATTCATACCCCACATCGTGCCGCATAATATGATCTGTAAGACAATTAAAATAGGTCTGCTGGTAATAGTGAGATATATACCTGAAAAATGGAGTTACCATCAATAAACAAACAGATCAGAAGTGCAGTGCTAAAAGCAATTAAGTAATAGAAAGGGCGCGGAGGTATATGATATGGCATACTTGATTGGGAATGCCTGCAGAAGATATATATCATTTAACCAGAATTCTGGTATAAATAAATCTTACCCTATGAGTTTCTGTACCATGAGGACGGTACCAGGTTTGGCTTTCTCGAAACCTTTCTTGCTCTAGAAGGTGACATTTAGGTTATGCATTAGTAAACTGGCACATGAGAGATATGCACGCACGATAGTGCAGATCTTGTTGTTGCTTCTCAGTGAGGACATGAACATAATTTGGGTCATAGATGGGGTCCGGAAGGTCATCAGGATCATATAACTGTGGTAGGCCTGCTTTTTCCCGTAGAATCCTCGTCTTTCGCTTGTAATTCCAAATTTTGTAGACCCCTATAGCCACCTTATCAGGATCATATCTTTGAAAACATGTTTTGGACGTGACTTACTATATGTATCCAGCACACGAAACGGGATGAGACCAATTCCAGTGACCGAGAATAGTCCTGACGACCTGGACATCAGAGAAAATTCATCAGCCTGAGAGAAATCCCACCGTCTATAATCTGAGATGCCACTTCAATCCAAAATCCTTGAGTGTTGTCATTATGAAGGTTGATCCATTTCGCTAGAAGGACAACCAGGCCAGCACCCCAAAAAACTTTATTTTATGTCAGCTTTATTTAATATGTGAATGCCTTGCACTTACCAACTAAAAACCCGTATATGCCTACTAAAATCTGATTTAGATCATACGCGAGTCAAGGAAAGCGTGATGAAAGTATATATATCGCGTACTTACCCCAATGGCTGAAACAAGGACATTCAAGATATTTCAGGGGATTTGATCAATCAGTAGTTGTTGCGACTCACGAGTTTTAAGGAATGACCAAACACCTCTCATGATCCGACGAAATTTCGCTCTTCTAGTTAGGAGATCTTCTACATGACGATCCAAGGGGTCGTCAAAATCCGTCACGCTTTCCTTTCCTTTCCCTTTTTCTGTATCTGTGGTTTTCCGACGATGGTCTGGTGACGATAGCACTATGACTGGTTTTCGAGAGTAGAACTCTGAAGGTGGACTGCGATAATTATACGAGTTACGCCTTTTTCGACGAGCGAGTTCATCAGGAAAGCTCACACTAGAATTGCATTTGCTGCATTGATCAAATTCGACACCGTCGCAATTTCTGGGTCTACAACAATATTGCTTAACATTTTGAGTTCACTTCGGGTATGAGGGCCTACCTATGACATCCAAGTGTTCTACTATATCATCGTGATGGTGCTCGTCTTCACCCTCGTCTATGTCCGAAGAGCGCAAACTCAATGCACTATCAACTACGCCTGGTTCTCTGTCACCAGACGTCGGATAGGTTTGAATATCAAGCTGAGAACCCTGTATGGTGATTGGGGAGATTGAACGTCTCGTCGGTCCAGGAGAACCAGGAGTATAAAAGCTGCCCCGAGATATTAAAGCCCGTGTGCGTGACTTACTCATGACATGGTCAGCCACTCTACTACCCGATTGGCTCGAGGACCTTTGGAGGGGCGGACGACGAGAAAATGTAAAGGAGACTCCTGTGGTAGTTGGCCGACGGGTTCGAGGTCGCGATTGGTATGGCCCTGCAGGACCAAAGGTACCGGCTTTTTGCATTGGGGCATGAACCGAAGAGAAATCTGAAGTCTCAGAAAAGACATTGGCAAGACGGCGGGAAGGTGTCGGTGGTTCTGTAGAGCACTGCTCGACGCCAGAAATAGTCGAATAAGCAGATTTGCTGACCCTAACGGAAGGCATTTCTGTACAATAACTTCGTGTTGAGGGAAATGGTGGTTGGTTGTTGCAGTAAACACTGACCGTCAGCGTATTTCCGCAACTGAAGCTAGAAGCCAGTTGCAAGGCTCCACAGGAGACGCATGGGGTAAATTTTACATTTTTGCATGTAAACCACGCCTGTTCTGGGCTTTACCAGTTGCCGCTGGCCGTCGGGGTCCACGGTGGGGAGCTTCAAGTTTTTAGTTGGTGGGGTAATAATACTAGCATCTCATGCAGTGGACATGTCATGACGATTGTGGAGCAGGACCAAAAACACACTGCGGAAGGCACCGTCTCGTTTAAGTCGTTTATTAGGCGCCGTAAGATAAGATAAAATGGTGGATCAGCAAGCCCAAAATACTGAAAACGTCTACAATATCATACAGGTAGAGTGGTAGCGATCAAGGTAACATTATGCAAATGGGTATTGGCAGTGATAATAAAGATAAGTCAGCCATTTAATGTGCTCGACTATTACTATTGTTCAATACAGAACTATAGAACGATTTTTTCGTTGGCTGTCAGGCCTAATGACTGTCTTATCCGTCCGTACACTGACGTGCATGAAGAATGATCACTGGCAGCATAAATAACTTTATCATGTATGAAAACTACGATACTGGGTCACCTTTGTACCGTTGCCATGAACAGGGCGCCTGCGTCTCAATTGTCTCTTGCTCTGGTGCAACATCTACGGCTTTGGCTTCTCTTGCGTGAGGGACATTGATGTCAAGCTGCGAGGCATCTATCGATGCGATTCATTTGCTTTTTTTGACGGGCTTTTGCGCTTCCGTGGATGTGACCTGGTGAAGGGCTATTTGGGGCAAGAAGGAGCCCTCATGAAGATTGCTACACTTGATGGTCCAAGTTTGCTCATAGATAATACGAGTCCATCAATACATTCAAAGGATGCCACAGCCATGATGCCAAAGAAAATATGAAAACTGAGGGCAATGATGTCAGATCACTGGGAAGATTTATGAACATCATACAGACCTTGAAAACTTGAAGTTTTCAGCCAACTTTGAACTCCGCGAGTCTCAGCTCACTATTCGGCAACCCGGTTGACATTGGATGCCGGACTCGGATACTTTTCCTGTTGCGATCATGTCCGAGTCCATCATTGCCAGTGACCTCGTTGGATCGTGAGCCGTGTACGGCCAGGAATCCATGTTGTACTTTCCCAGTATCAAAGGTCGCTATCCTGTTGGTGCGACAACATTTCAGCTTGCGGTTCCCTCGCCAATCACTGTTGGTACATCGAAAATCCGCGCGGGTGGGCAAAACGGAGACCTGAAATCAGCGCTCGTCGTGGAGGAGATCGCATTTACGGCTTATTATCCTGCCCAAGTTCGAAATATTAAGAGAACGAGAGGTCTGGATTGGTTAATAAGGTGTGTACAGTTCAACTTCTGACATGCAAGCGCTTAGTCCATTTTATCTGGCAGACCAATTAGAGAGTCACTTAGAGGTTATGCTCATTTTGCAGGTAGGGATATGTTATCTCCATGTGTAGTTTATCCGAATTCCATTCGTTATAATAGGTATATCCACCTGGATAGTCAGGCCTCTCGTGTATCTGTATGGGTCGTTCTTAAGAGTCAGTATTTGGCTTATGGAATCCATAGTCTTTTCATTTCGGTTCAATTTATGCAGGTTCCAGTACATGAGAATGCACCTCTACTAAGCCCTGTACTAGTTTCTGAAGACGCAGAACCGCCTAAACCAAACCAGAATTCGTGGCCTCTGGTTATTTTCTCTCATGGTCTAGGCGGTAGCCGGACTACATATAGGTATCGACAATATCTGTTTCTTGAGTATTCGGGTTATTGACGGATAACCAGTCAGCTGTGTATGCGGCTGGCTTCTTCAGGCCGAGTGGTTCTTGCCATGGAGCACAGGGATGGGTCTGGGCATGTTTGTGTTCCTTCAAGGTCTCCCGCGAAGCTGTATATTAAAGAGTCCGACATTATGTGAGTAGAGATGTATGACTCTTCATACGTTGCGATTAAATCTGATGGAAACTATCAGATGGAGTCCTGATACTAAAGATGAAGAACGCACAATGCTATCCTTCCGAGGTGATCAGCTTACATTTCGACAACACGAGATATACCTTGCATATGCAGCTTTTAGCAAGCTTGTAAAATATGGATATGAAGGACCAGGTAATGGGCTTCAGTTGACTGATGCTAGCAAAATAGATTGGGACAGCTGGACGCAGAAGGATGACGTTGTGCCAATTCAGTGCGATGATAATATAGCTTTAGCAGGGCACTCATTTGGAGGAGCGACCGTTGTGGGTTGAGCTTTTGAATTCTCTCGAAAGGCACCAATAACGCATGAATCAGTTCTCTATTCTATCGACAGATCCCCCTTCATCTGAGTCTACACCAATTCCAGTCAACAAAGCTCTCATACTTGACCCTTGGATTGAGCCCATTTGTTCTCCCGGCCCTTCGCCTGTGCCAAGTCCGAGGGATCGGCCGTTGCCTCGTTTACTGGTGATAAATTCCGAAGGATTTACGCTCTGGAAAGACCACTTCGAAAGGCTTGTTGGCGTCGTTGGAGTATGGGAACCCGCAGGACGGAGGTTGTTAACTATCGGTATTGTTATTTTACTCCATGCTGTTATTAATGTACTCATTCGTATCAATATATGCCTAGTTCGTTCGAAACACATTTCATTTTCTGATTTCCCACTACTTCCGCTCACAATAAAGAAGAAAGCACATATTGTTATGGACATTATTTCAAAGCTTTCGCTCGCATTTCTAGACGGCAGCATAGACAACGCATTAGATGATATCCGTACGCGGAAAATGGAGATCAAAATCGTTGGGATTAAAAAGGACGGTCGCCCTTCACGGCAGCTTGTTGGAGATATCGGAGACGTTATAGTGCATTGAATTCATATATTCTGTGAATCTTCTTGATAATCCTTCTTACCTTTTTTTAAAGGACAGGGGTATGTTGTGTGGTGATGTTTGGCACCTGGTGTACAGATTGTATCGATGTGACTCGTTTGGTCGCATAGATAATAATGCACTTTCAGCTTTTCCCCAGAACATCACCATAAGTATTTGGCCATCAAGGAAAAGTTCTTGATATTTCTGATAACTTGCTTCCGTCTTCTTTGCACGCCTCGTTATTGATTCTGACGTACAATCGAGCCTGAGCATGGCACCGACATCAGACGCATCCGTGGACTCATTGATTCCTCTGTTCAAGTCAATCGGTTTGACGCAATCGAAAGCAGCAGAGGCATCAAAAAACCCCAAGAGTGCGGGTGTACTTCGCGATGTTATCGTGACTCATGGGCTCGCTGATGTTGGTCTCGATGAAAAGCAAGCCGTGTTATTTGCTGCTCTGGCGGGACAGCTCATCAAGGTAGAGGGCATGGGTGAATCTGAACGCGATTATGTAGTGAAAGCGATTCTAGAGGGGAAGCTCAAATCTGTCGATCAAGTTACTGGTAAGTTTGATTATTCGGATAGTCTTTACTATGCCTGTGCAGTTTAGTGCTTGCTACAAGTGTACTGATCGATGCTGTTTGTCTTATCCTGTAGCTGCCACGAAATATCTCGAATCGAATCCAGGTCCCATCGATGACAATGAATTCAACAAATACTGTGGTGTCGGTCAGTTGCATCGATATCATATCTCATCCGATTCTTCTAATACGACTGTGGCCATAGGGTTTACCATTACCGCAGAAGAACTTCTAAGCTCTGCAATACGTTACATCGAAGATAGCACAGTAGCTGGGTGGGCTAACCTAGGCCCCACTATAAGTGGGTTGAAGGCCACGCCTGAGCTACGATGGGCTAACCCACTCGAGATGAAAAATGCTGTTGAGAAGGCTTTCACTGAAAAGTTCGGCACAAGAGAAGTTGGAAAGCCGAAAGGGAAGGTTAGTTTTTCTCCCTTTTCAGCATCTGCGCATTATCCAAGCGAGTCGACGCGGTTAAATCAACGGGTCCACTTACTGACGGCAGTATTTGTTGTAGGAGCCGAAAAAGGAGGGTTCTGCAAAACCAAAGGCGGCAGCCACGGAGACAGCATCACTGGCAAGCACTAGCACCAACACTAGGAAGTCTGTCTTCGAAGAAGGTTTTCTGGGTGCTCTGCATAAACCAGGCGAGAACACCCAGATACACCCACATCTTCGCGAACAGCATCTTGCATCAACAAACGGTCTCGTCTTCACCCGCTTTCCACCAGAACCTAATGGCTTCTTACATATTGGACACTCAAAAGCCATTTTTGTCAATTTCGGTTATGCGGCGCATCATGGAGGAAAGTGCTACTTGCGCTATGATGATACGAACCCTGAGAAGGAGGAGGCACGATATTTCGAGAGTATTCTCGAAACCGTTCGTTGGTTGGGATACGAACCGTGGAAAATCACATACTCCAGCGACTATTTCGATCAACTATATGATCTAGCGGTGGAGCTTATTAAACGAGATAAAGCTTATGTGTGCCATTGTTCTCGTAAGTGTGGCGATTTTAGGATTAGGCTGAATACTGAATATAATACCTGGTCTCAGAGGAAGAAATCAAAGCAAACAGGGGCGAAAAAGTGTCAGCGCCCAAAGCTTGCGCCCATCGCGCACGACCAGTGGAGGAGTCGCTAATAGAATTTGAAAAGATGAAGAACGGTCATTATCGACCTAAAGAGGCCAATTTGAGGATGAAGCAGGACTTAACAGATGGTAATCCTCAGATGTGGGATTTGACTGCCTACCGAGTATTGGATGCCACTCATCATCGGACTGGTGACAAGTGGAAGATTTATCCTACATATGACTTCACTCATTGTTTGGTTGATAGCTTTGAGAACATTTCGTGAGTAACTTCATGTCTGGCGCTCAATGCACTGACCGATTCAAATCCTCTCGTGATGTCTTAGGCATTCCCTTTGCACAGTGGAGTTTATCGCCTCGCGTCAATCTTATGAATGGCTATGTGATGCGCTTGAAGTTTACAAACCCAGACAGTCTGAATATGGCCGACTTAATGTGCAAGGTACCGTTATGTCGAAACGAAAAATTCTTACACTCGTGAACGAGAACTATGTCAACGGTTGGGACGATCCACGACTTTATACATTAATTGCTCTTCGAAGACGTGGGATCCCCCCAGGTGCTATCAAGTCCTTCGTATCAACTCTCGGTGTCTCCACAGCGGCATCTAATATCCAAGTTGCACGATTTGAGCAGACTGTCAGGCAATACCTTGAAGGAACTGCTCCACGCCTACTCATGGTATTGCTACCACTGAAAGTTACAATCGAAAATCTTCCAGAAGATTATGTTCTCATGGTGGAGAAACCGCTTCATCCCAAGGTCCCAGAACTTGGGACTTCCACCATTCCTTTCACGCGCACAATTTATATCGATGCAGATGATTTCAGGTTAGAAGACTCCAAGGACTATTTCAGGCTTGCACCCGGAAAAACAGTAGGGTTGTTCCAGGCACCACATCCTATCACATGTACCTCGTACAAAACAGATCCGACATCTGGAGATGTCATCGAGCTTATCTGCCGACTTGAAGATTCGGGCTCTGCGAAGAAACCAAAGGCTTTTATCCAATGGGTTGCAGAGCATAAAGCTTCAGGAAGCCCTGTGCGGATCGATGAAACTCGTATATTCTATCCATTGTTCAAGAGCGACAATCCTCTTGCAGCAATTCCTGACTTCAAAGCTGATATAAATCCAGATAGCTTGGAAGTCATCAAGGGTGCCATGGTGGAAGTAGGCTTCTGGCCTCTGGCGAAGCGTTTACTGGAAAATGCTCGCGCTGAAAGCAAGGCACAGGCGGAGCATGTTTCAGGAGACGTGAAGAGTAAATCGTACACTCCAAACGGGCAGCTTGCTGGGAAGGAGTGCGTGAACTTCCAGGGCCTGCGAGTTGCATATTTCGCATTGGATAAGGACACGAAAGCAGCGGCTCTGGATACCAACAACACCCATGGACAAGAGGGTGATTTTCTTGTATTAAACCGCGTGGTTAGCTTAAAAGAAGATTCAGGGAAGTCTTAGATGGCCAGAGGCGGGGTGAAGAATGCACAGGCTTTTCAATTACTTTACATATAATTTTAGAAGAAATTTGTATTTGAGACAACGAGGTATGATATCATGCAGCTACCAAAGCGTGTAAACTATAGATCTCCTTCCTGACAGTGTAGTACACATCAGAAACGTTACCCTCCAATTCAACTCGTCCCCTGGCTGTTTTTCGGACAGATACAGTCTCCTCCAGAGTGTCAGAGGGCTGATTACGTTTCGCACCTGCACCACAGATAAGCACACCTTCTCCGATCAACTCTGCTTGAATGCCGACAGAGGCTAAGCGAGTTTTAAGTGCAGTAAGCTTTAGTTCCCCGATCATAGTTGAATGTGGGAGGGTCTGTGTTGGCCGAGAACCTAATTGGCGTCCTCTTAGGAACAGTTTCCTGTCCGAAGAGTCTGAAGGAAGGGCGGAAGATATCGCAGGCTCAAGCACGGGGATAGTAGAGCTGACGTGGCTGGCCACGCGCCCAGTCACATAGCCCACTTCATTGTCTTCGAACTAGAAAGGATGTAAGCTCCAGGGCAACAGACACCTAAACCCTGCGCGTTACTCACCCTTGACATTTTGAGCGTATTGAGCAGCTCATCACTGAGCAATATGGAAAAGGTGTTCGTTTGTTGGCCAAGCCGAATGGTCTCACCTGTCGAGGGAGCATATATATCTTTTGTCATGGCGCGGATGTTGGCGCAACTGTCGATGAGGGCGCTGGTCGCACTATCTGGAGCGTGTACAATGATCTAGGAAAATGTCCTCAATGAGAGGCAGTGTTTCCTGCGGCAAAGTGCTCACCATTTTGCGTGGATTCACTTGCGGAACTATGGTCTTAACTGCACGTCCGTCATTCAGTCCTTCCATATCAACAAATAGCAGGCGGCATGCCAGTTGTATTTCTACATCGGAAGTGACAAACTTTGAAGGAGGTTCGCGCACTATCTTCTACACATTCGGTTCAATAAGAAGGTCCTCAAGTATAATAGTCGACTGACCTTAGCTTCTTCCTCTGCTTGTTTTCTTTTAGCTTCCTTCAATTCGTCGCTCTCAGCATCCTCTTCGAGTACTTTACCCTTCCGAAGCCACATTCCAACATCAATCGTCTCACCATATTCGTCCACCCTTCGTTTCTTCTCGACGTAAGGGAACATACGAAACCGCTGAGGTTGGCCACCTACAGTCTTGAAGAATGATGTCGATTTGGAGACATTCCCCTTGATATAGATATCGAATGACAATAATTGCTTAGTCAGCCCCTCATCCACGTCCAAGCCCCAGTCTGTGCCATCTTCTCCCCTGTCTGCTTTTCGTCGACGCCGAGCGCTTATTGCTGGACTGGATATTTGTTCTCCCGTATCCATTGCATCATTCTCAAGAGTTCGATCAACCTCGTCTTCTTCTTCGATGTCTGATTCAGAGTCCTCGTCGTCACTCTCGTCTTCGTCCGCTTCAAGCATCAGTTGATTGCGAGCGAGAGCAGCTTGTTGAACAGCCTCTTTCTCCTTGGCCACACGCTCTTTTGCAAGGTATTCTTCGAGTTCAGCCCCTTGTAAGGGAATTTTGGAGTTTATCTGTAAGATCGATGGGCCTTCATAAAAAGGCAGCTGGCGAGGTCAAGCGAATTACCTTTAGTTTCATAGTACCATCCATCATAATGTTGCTACCAATTTTCCCCTTGTCCCACTTGTCGTCTGCCCTTTGAGAATCATTCCACTTGTCAAATAATATTCGCCCAAGAGTGCCTTCTTCTCCTCGACTTGTCAGAAGGACCACATTGTCCGGAACTACAGCAAAATCTGAGAAAAGTAGTCGGGAAGGACCATGCGAGAGTGAGGCAGGCACAGCTAAAATAAGCTTAGGGTCTTTAGAAGAATAAGTCTGTAAGAGAGCCTGTGGGTTTGGGAAGAACTCTAGATGCCTGAGAGCGGAACAAATATTAGCCCTTTCCTCCAGACTGAGATCTGTTGCTTACTTGAATCGCAGTGCAAATGCACCTAGAGCTTCATCTTCTCCTTCATCATCTCTTCTCCTCTTATTACCACCTGACTTCCCACTCCCGTCAACACCGACATCTTCTTTGCTTACTGTACCACCAAGCCACTCCATCATACTGCGTACAAAAGTAAGCATCTCACGGCCATTGCGAGAAAGCAGGCAGATTGGGTAACGGAAATCGGCGAACTTCCAGTGTTGGTCAAGGAGAACAAGGAGTTCGAGTACACGTGTGCTAGAGTCGCAAGGGAGGAGGAGGGATGAACGTGATGAAAGGGTGGCACTTATTGTGTCTGAGTAGAGTTGCAGGTGAAACACATAAGCCATTAACCACTGACGTACAAGGGCGTACTTACCGATCAGTGCAGCATCTCGATCTTTCCTTCTGCTCGTTGTCACATTTGCCCGTTCAGCATCCGTAATAAGAAGATCAGGTCGGGCAAGAGCCTCGACAATACCACCAGAAGCTGGTCGAACGAGAACTGTGCCGTCAAGGTGACGTTCACGCATGTGATTTATGTCAACAGCGTAAAGTATTGTTCCGGCAGATGGGGAACGTATTTTCCATATAGTTCCACCAAGGGAGTGCCCGGCATTGTAAGGAGTAATTGTTATACCCTGGCATTTTCCTGCAATGTTGGATAGTTCAGATTCGCTTTAGTAAAGTGCACAGTAACACGTACCTTGCAGATGAGTAGGTTGGGAATATCTCAGAGTGTTCATAGCATCATACGCATCGTGAACTTCAAGCACAGTTGCGATGTATTTGCCACTTGTTTTTTTGGGCTGTGACTCAGGTGATTTTTGAGACCCGCTTTCTGTTCCTTCCAAGGCACTGTTATGATGTTGGTTTTCACTATCTGTATCCACATCCTGCTCTTCCCTGATTCCCTCTACATCCTCATTGGTCGCAATACGTCCCGTGGCTTGTACAGGAAGGGTGCTATACGCAGGTGCTTTCAGGCCCCAGCGAGAGTAAGCATATGCATAAAGCCCGGTATGTGCGAGGTCTCCATGAGAGAGGAGTACAAGATCAACTGTAGGCGAGCACCTTGCAGTAATGTATTAGGATACAATATTCAGCGTAAGAACTGTATGAGCGTACTCTCGTAAGGCTTGGCAGTATTCCTCCCAGTGATATGAGTGCTGTCGTAAGTCCTCTGATTTCACTGCAGAGGAGGATGGTTCTGGACTCCAATCCGGAGACCCACAGTCGAGAAGAATACGGACGTCGTCGACTTGTAGGAGATATGCGAGTGGAACTGTCCGTGACGAGCGTGCAGCGCCAGAAAGCGGTGTGAAGGTTATCATCTTTGCTCAACAAAAATTGAAGGATTTTCAAATTTGCCTGTTAGTCGGAGGTAGACTCATAATGCCGGTGCCAGTGAGAGCTTCAGCCACAGTGTTTGTTTGTTTCAAAGGCTCTTGCCAAATAATCGGGGCTCACCGCCGCGGCGACTGTACATCATGATGTAGTACGTGTACGTTAAAATCGACAGCATGTGGTACTGCGATCCATGTGATACTATCCAGTCTTTCCGGCATCATAGCTATTTGTACATCGCATCAAATGATGCAAATACGTTCATGCAGGACGACCACATGTAACTTACTGTCCTGGGATGCTTCAGCCCTCCCACTGCACTATGAACTTTTTCTGGATCGTGATCAAGTTAGCCGCAAGGCATAGGACGGGGCTACTTTTGATGTCGTCTGCAGAATGTATACGGCTTGGAGTGAGGCAGAAACCAATACTGCATTCATGGATCGTCTTCCTTAAATAACTGTGACGTCATGTACATTGGATCGGTGAGAATGCAAATACAAACCAGCATCGTGCTTATTTGCAAATACTTATTGTGACTTGTTCCAGTCCGAAGCGTTCTGCTGGTCTCCATCCCCTAAACGCTACTGCGCTCCACCCACTGTTCTTTCGTCTTCTTTCAGGTTTGCAGCAACCGTAATGCCTGTCTCCACATTTTCAGCTGCTGCCAACATCACTCCAGGTAAGAGACTCGTAGAAATATCTATGTCGGACCCGTTTTGCTGACTCAATGTGCGGTAGTCGTCGTGAAGACGTTCTACACTCATTCAAAACGAAAGGGCAAGAAGTTGAGAGAGCATGTCAAAGAAGATGAGGCCAGGGATGACATATTCTTCGACGAGTATGTACATTTTCAATCCCATGCTATTCAATTCGTTCACAACGCGCAAGAGCGTTCAATATAGTGAAAGCATTCATTCTTATGGGGACAAAGAATACAGTAGAATCTCTTCAAGCTTTGTAAGTCACTTCTTGTTCCCGTCCTAGATTGTTTTGTGTTTATGCATCCTAGTACCAACACTCATGTGCCTGCCTCGCCATGGGCCGCTGTCTGTCCTGTCCGTATACCATTCTACTCCTGTAATCGTGCTGCCGATATCCTCATCGATTGGTTTGGTCCTGAGGATCTCAAGCTCATTGTTGGAGGTGAAAAATGGTGGCAAGTACGTGGATTAGATGGCATCGACGGCGAATGGATAGCAGAGAAGGGACAGCTGAGCGACGAGAAATTCAATATCAACAGTACACAGAAGCTAACAGATTCGCAAAAGGAGATAAAGAGAATGGAACAACTAGAAACAGTTATGGTAAGAATTGTTTTCCGAGATGATAATAAATCCTCATATATGATGATGTGTTTAGCTTTACGTTCACGGAGGTACGTTCCTAATGGTTACTCTGCTTTAATATATCTTCACTTTGACTACACAGGAGGGTATTTCTGGGGCTCAATAAGTAACTTGAATAACTATCTGTATCAACGCTATCTGAATTTACTTTTTCCCCCTGCAGATACTCATCGCTATCAGATTCTTCGTTATGGTGTGTTACATTCTCTGGCTTCCGTTCAGGTCATGATATTCTTTTCAAATTAGCCCGCAAAGCTAAGGGACGTGCATTTGCTGTCAATTATCGGTATGTGTTTTGATGATAGAACATTGACGAATCGTTGAACCATATTTTGCTAGCAAAGCTCCGCAATACCCTTGGCCTTGCCCCCTGCAAGATGTTTTGGCAGCATGTAAGGGTGTTCCTTGAGTATCATCCTTCTTGTCATCTATAACAATAAATCATTCTCAGACCTTTATCTCATTGATCCCCCGCCTAATGCTGTACACCAAGCAGTCCCAGCCTCAAAGATCGTCTTTGCAGGTGACTCAGCTGGTGGTGGTCTTGCTCTGACAGTCCTTACGATCTTACGCGACGTGGGTATGCCATTGCCTGCTGGTGCAGTTCTCATCAGTCCATGGGTAGATCTGACACACAGTTTTCCGAGTATCATGAAGAACACCGAAACTGTGAGTTTTATTTTCCGCCAGCTTTCACCAATTTCCAAACTCAAAAGGTGTTGATTAATGTTGGTAAAAAAAATAACGATAGGATATCATTCCACCGCATGGTTTTCTCAGCAAACCCTCGGTTCTTTGGCCTGTCGATGTTATTAAAGATGGAGGGCGCGTGACGAAGGCTCAAAGCAACCCTCCACCGAAACCTGGCCATGCTGATACCATGTGGCCAGAGCAGGGGCGTGTCAAGAAGATGATGAAGCGATCCCAAGGTCACACAAAGGTACCGAAGGATGTAGGAAAGGAGAAGAGTCCGCAACCTCAGGACACGATGATGTCTTTTGAACACGGAAAGGATGACATGGAAAACAATATGGGTGGGGTCGATGGAGCAAGCGCCAACACAGATAAACGCGGTACTTATAAAGTAGAAAGTTCTCTCCCTCATGGCGAGGGTCTCATTGACGGCCGTGGACCTGACTCGAGACCTAGTCTACCAGACCCTGATGACATCGACTTTTGGCAGCCCAAGCCGCCAAAAGTACTCATGAAGGATCCGCACAGTGTTCCATTGGAACTGCGCTCCCAAATCCAGCAATATGCGACTACCGAGTGAGCTCAGAGTCTGATGGTTTTTATCATATATGTTGAAACATTTATGGCAGGCAGCTTTCTCATCCACTCGTCTCGCCGATCCTTCAGGGCTCCTTGGGTAACCTCTGCCCTCTGTATATTATCACAGGAGACGGCGAAGTTTTGCGTGATGAGATTATATATCTCGCACATCGCGCTGCTCACCCAGATGAATATCCTGTTCGCGAGGGTATATTAAGGGATGGCTGGAGACAGAAGGAGAATGCTAAAAAGTTCACGAAACCCACGAAAGTGCACCTTCAGGTCTTTGATGGCAAGTAATGAACTGCTGCTATCAGTAGTGATGTCTCCACTCACTAACGTGCTGTAGGGATGTGTCATGTCTTGACTGTCTTCATTTTCACCCATAGTGTAAGCACTATATGCTTGGTGTCTTATCTGCCATTTACAATAGGTTCTGCAGGCGAAATATGCTTATCGATCTATTGCTGAATTTGTAAAGCACGTCACACAAAATTCTGATGAGCATCTCGCTCAGAACCCTTTCCCGGAGCTTCATCGTCCAGCTTCACACATTTCCTCTGATAGTCATTCTGACAAACAGAACAAAACATCGCATCAACCTAAACATAAACATAAAGAAAAGGTAGTTGACAAATCAGTACCGCTGCATCACACCACGTCAAAGAGCTCGCCATCGCAGAAGGAGAAGACTGACGTGCAGCTATATAAAGAGAACGAAGACGAGCTTGAGAAGCAAATACAAAATCACAAGGCAGAGCAGGTCCCATGTTTGGCCCACGGAGATATGCCTTCAGTACGGGTCGTTCGTGACCAAGAGGTGTTGTTGCCAATTACTTCATTATCCTGTGTGTCTCACAATTTGTCGTGTACAGCATGATATTCCAAATGTTCTCATGATTCGTGAGCGTGTCGATATCCGGGGGCACGTTCGAGCTATGGAGCCAAAGGACCAAATACCAGCGCTAGCATTGAAACCTGCTGAGGTTGGCATCATAAAAGAAGATCCGCTGTTCAAGTGGCTGCAAGGTCAGGAGGAATGGGACAAGCGTTATAGAAAGACTGCAGAGAAAGTTATAAAGAAACGTCTCGAATATACGGCAAAGGCACTGTTGATGATCAGCCACGCAAGAGAGCAGGGGTTAATACTTGAAGGGGAAGGTCGCACTGGTAGCTCACCCACCCGTCCAAAGACGGAAAGAGTGAGTTCTTCTGCGACAGGTTCTTCCTCGCGCACAACCCACGGGAAGATCCAGGAAGATAGAAGATGGGGACCCTTGGACCTCGCAGATGAGAGGCCGCCACCGTCTGCTATAGCTGCAAGGCTCGATACTGTACGTCACCCTTGCTGGCTTCGTTATCTAATGTTTAATCACAACATCGCTTAGCCTGAAGCACTTGCACTCATTAAGAAGAGTATCTACCACACTGCTCCCGCCACACATAAAACAGTGCCAAAGATGAAGACATCAGATGCTATCAGGGCAGCGTTTGACCCCAACGATGATCCATACAGGCCACCGGACCAGTCTGTCTCTGAACAGCAGGTTCGCACTAGTGTCATGCACATCCATGGACTGAGAGTATGGGAGTCGCTTGTAAGGTACGTGAGCAAAATGAGGCGATGACATGGTCAGTACTTGATTACGTATTTTAGTTACTTCATGCGCAAGAGCTCGATGAAGGCGGGTAATGGCGTACGCGCTGCTGGCAGCCTGGTGGCTGGGGCTGGGAATAAAATTGGGGTAACGTCGTCTGATTGACCGTGACGTGAAATCATGAACTATTAGCGTCCCACTGGCGCATTGCATTCGTTATGTTACATCATATAGCCTTGTTTTTAATTCGGATAGGACGCTGAACGATGTACATGTGTAGCATAGCCGTATAAGTACAATATTCATTCACCATGCAGACTTCGTGTTAGCACCTGGTGGCACGGACCAATCAGAGGAATCGCTGGGGCCAATACAATTGAGGCGTGGGAATGTATATTAAGTAAGCGACATGTGCTTGTCGCTCTTTTAACCCTTGGCCCTTTCTTTGAGCAATCACCCCATCCTCGACTTTCGTCCACTCCTGTAAGTACTTTTCTACGCGTCGTTCCGTGTCGATGGCACAATACTTATAAACTATCTTCACAATCCAGCTCCATCTTTCGAAAAAATGCGTGAAGTCATCTCCGTGCACGTTGGCCAAGCTGGTGTCCAGATTGGTAACGCCTGTTGTAAGTATAATGAATTTGCATCAAATCGAGTAGTGGATTTGGATCTGGCAAACATATTTTGAAGACGCGTCCACTCGCCTTCCTTTAGCTGTAATCGATGACTCATGAGTGGCACGATGCTGATAATCACTTGATTCTTCTAGGGGAACTGTACACCGTCGAGCACGGTCTCAGTGTAATTACCATTTTTCCTCTTTTATTCCACATTCGATGTTAATCGATAATATAAAGCCCGATGGCCGTCTTGTTGAAGGTTCGCCCTCAGCCAACGATGATGGCTTCAGCACTTTCTTCTCGGAGACGTCGTCTGGTAAACACGTGCCGCGTTCGCTCTACATTGATTTGGAGCCGAATGTGATCGACGAGGTCAGGACTGGAACATACCGGAGTTTGTTCCACCCAGAGACCCTGGTCACGGGCAAGGAAGATGCTGCTAGTAACTGTATGTAATCGCATCCTTGGTTTCTATCTTGCTCGTTTTCATCAATGTACCCTAGACGCACGTGGTCACTACACCATCGGAAAGGAGCAGATTGACGTTGTAATGGACAAGGTTCGCCGTTTGGCCGATAACTGCGCGGGTCTCCAGGGATTCTTTATCTTCCATTCATTTGGTGGTGGAACTGGTTCTGGTTTCGGTGCTCTTATCCTTGAGCGTCTTTCCACTGACTATGGGAAGAAATCCAAGTTAGAATTTAGTGTATACCCTGCACCTACAATGGCCAACTCTGTTGTTGAGCCCTATAACTCGGTGCTGACGACACATACGACTCTGAGCACTCGGATTGTTCATTCATGGTACTGTAACTATATCTTCCTTCTATCGGCGAGTCTAATTCGCCTCATTGGCTAGGTTGATAACGAGGCTATTTACGACATTTGCAAGAAGAATCTCAACATCTCTTCGCCTAGCTTCACCAACTTAAACCGATTGATTGCTCAGGTTGTTTCATCTATCACTGCTTCTCTTCGCTTCGATGGGTCTTTGAACGTGGACTTGAACGAATTCCAAACAAACTTGGTTCCGTAAGTAGTGTCGCACTTCAAGTTGTGTGTTACGCTAACAGCTAGCTCAGCTTCCCTCGAATCCACTTCCCTTTGGCCACTTTTGCTCCTATTATTTCTGCAGAAAAAGCTCACCATGAGCAGAACTCTGTAGCGGATATGACATTCTCTTGCTTCGAGACCGGTAACCAGATGGTCAAGTGTGACCCTCGCGAAGGCAAATACAGTGAGTGCCGTAGTTGTAATGTTAATGCACACACTAACATATGTATTAGTGGCATGTGCTCTGTTGTACCGTGGTGACGTCGTTCCCAAAGACGTCAATGCTGCTGTCAGCATCATCAAGACGAAGCGGACGATTCAATTTGTTGACTGGTGTCCCACCGGTTTCAAGCTTGGTATTTGCAATGAGCCCCCAGCGTATGTTCCTGGAGGTGATCTCGCCAAAGTCTCGCGTAGCATGTGCATGTTGTCGAACACGACTGCTATTTCTACTGCATGGAGTCGTCTTGACCATAAATTCGACCTTTTGTACTCGAAACGTGCCTTCGTTCACTGGTATGTGGGTGAGGGTATGGAAGAAGGCGAGTTCTCTGAGGCTCGGGAGGACCTTGCCGCTTTAGAAAAGGATTACGAGGAGGTTGGCATCGATTCGGCTGACGTCGAGGAGGCCGGAGAGTACTAGATGCTTTCTTCTTCGCTTCTTTTTTTCCCGCTAGGTCGTAGTCCGCTTATAATTCTCTTTACTATTGTCTTTGTCATGAATTTTTACGTATACCGCCATTGATATCCATTTGTCTTTACCTCGTGCATTTCTATCTTTTTTTTTACCTACGGAAACAAAATATTACGACTCCTTGTAGTGCAGGTTGTGTGATTTTAGTAACGATTATGAAGCTAGTTGAGGGCACGTACTTGAAGTTGTGCCTTGCTGTCTCTAATTAGTGCAAATGATATATCGGACAGACAAAAAATCATGACTGGCGTGCACGATGAATCTTGTCAATGGTTGATATACATTGATAAGTTAGTCTGTATGCGTACCAACAAATGTCTGAATGCCGGATTTCTGGAAATCGAATTTATGCAAAACATATTATGGGTGTCATTGAGCGGTTCTGGCTGTTGCCTAAAAGGGCATTTCGTTGCAGCGACATTTTTTGTTGACTCCCCTTGCCCTTCGAACATTTCTTGGGTGACCTTTTCCTCCGTTCCACCACCCGCCCACGACACATCCACCATTCATCAACAACGACAAGATGCGTGAAGTTATCTCTCTCCATGTTGGCCAGGCAGGTGTACAAATTGGCAACGCCTGCTGTAAGTTGTCCCTGCAGCGTTATGTTACTTGGTGGCAAACATTGTACTGATGGTGGTTGGCAGGGGAGCTGTACACTTTGGAACATGGCTTGAGCGTAAGTGTTCTCCTTTAATCGACTACTATGCATGTTAAAACTTTTTGCCTAGCCTGATGGTCGTGTCATGGATGGCTCAAACACAGATCAAGGCTTCTCGACGTTCTTTTCTGAGACTGGTGCAGGAAAACACGTCCCTCGTTCACTTTACATCGACCTTGAACCTGGTGCGATTGACGAAGTAAAGACGGGTCCCTATAGGTCTCTTTTTCACCCTGAGACCATGATAACAGGGAAGGAGGACGCGGCAAACAACTGTAAGTCGTAAAAAAACACAAACAATGTTCGATCTTGATTGCTTATCTTTTGGGATATCTTCGCAAAGATGCTCGTGGACACTACACTGTGGGCAAGGAGCTCATTGATCCCGTGATGGATAAGCTCCGCCGCCTTGCGGACAATTGCTCTGGTCTACAAGGATTTTTCGTGTTCCACTCCTTCGGTGGAGGTACTGGCTCTGGCTTCGGTGCTCTTCTTTTGGAGCGCCTGTCGACAGATTATGGCAAGAAGTCGAAACTGGAGTTTTGCGTGTACCCCGCTCCTCAGATGTCTAGTTCAGTTGTGGAACCCTACAACTCTGTCCTTACTACGCACACGACTCTGGAGCACTCTGATTGTTCATTCATGGTAAGTTGGTTGCATTAAAACCTTCGAGATGGAACTCTAACGCAGCAATCGTTTCAGGTTGACAACGAGGCTATATACGACATTTGCAAGAAAAACCTTGGAGTTTCTCAGCCCAGCTTCACCAACCTGAACCGCTTGATTGCACAGGTGGTTTCATCGGTCACCGCATCCCTGCGCTTCGATGGTTCTCTTAACGTCGATCTTAACGAATTTCAGACCAACCTGGTTCCGTAAGTCTGACTTTAATGTGAACTTGTTGTCCATGTATTGATATTTCTCCCAGTTTCCCTCGCATTCATTTCCCTTTGGCTACTTATGCACCCTTACTGTCTGCTGACAAGGCTACTCATGAACAAAACTCCGTTGCTGAGATGACTTTCTCTTGCTTCGAGCACGGTAACCAGATGGTAAAATGATAACTTTTTAATGTGTGGCAGATTTTTAACACCACTGTTCAGGTAAAATGTGATCCCAAGGAGGGCAAATACAGTACGAGATTTTGGCTCAACTTTCTTGCATTATTCTAATTTATTTTCAGTGGCGTGTTGCTTGTTGTACCGCGGTGATGTCGTTCCTAAGGTTGTGCAAGCTGCAGTTGCAAGTATCAAGACCAAGAGGACCATCCAATTTGTTGACTGGTGCCCGACTGGTTTCAAGGTGCGTTCTATGTGGTATTGTTCGTATAGCCTTCGTTGATTGGCGTGCTTAGCTGGGTATATGCAATGAACCCCCTGTGCATGTACCAGGTGGAGACCTCGCTAAAGCTAGTCGCAGCCTTTGTATGCTTTCGAAGTGAGTGTAATTGGGTTTCATATCGTCTACACTATGTTGACCGCACATTTGCAGCACCACTGCCATTTCTGCCGCCTGGGGTCGTCTTGGTGAGACCAAAGCCGCAATTTGTGAATATTATTTTGATTGCTCACACTACTTGTGCAGACTACAAGTTTGATCTGATGTACTCCAAGCGCGCATTCGTTCACTGGTATGTAGGTGAAGGTATGGAGGAAGGCGAGTTTTCCGAAGCCCGTGAAGACTTGGCAGCACTGGAAAAAGATTATGAAGAAGTTGGTACTGACTCTGCAGATGCTGAAGAGGAGGGCGAGTATTAGACACGGCGATTCTCTCTTGATGATGATGGTATAATAATTCTGGTGACCTGTTCAATTTGTTTCGAGTTCGTTTGTTTCCGTTATCTATCGCATTGCTGCTTTCGCTTGTGGTATTGATATTTCCGCATACATACTCAGGTTTTGCTTGTGTTTGCTTATTTCTTTACAAGAAAAGACCTAACATAACACTTCTTCTAGTATGGTAATATGTTTCCGAATATTGTCCATATCATGGGTCGATATTGTTATGAGGAAAAGTACATTTCATGGTTTGCCTGTGTAATGGAAAAAATCGCAAAGAAATGATTGCATCGATTTATTATTATCGACTATGACTTCTACATCTTCTATCGAATCAGGTATTGGTTCTTCTGTGCGTCAATTGTGTTTAAGAATGATAGTTGAGATCCCTCTATTGCTGATCGGAATTGATCTAATCTATGTTGATCGTCACCTCGATCCCATTGGTTGTCATCTTCATTGACACACTATCATATATATGAGCATATGGCAAGTAAAGTAGGCTTAGTTGTCCCCCACCTTGACAGATTGTTGACCAGAAAGTCGGGATTGCAACCTTCCATCTGGGCTTTAGTATGCGTGGTGATAAGACCCAAGGTCTTACACCCTGCAGCTTGGCCACTGCGGACACCAGCAGGAGCATCTTCGATTACTAGACCTGAATACGGAGGTCATTGTTGATCAACCATTGGTTTAGAGAGAAGATGATAGGCAGCTACATTTTTCAGGATCGACGCCACATTTCTGTGCCCCTAGTAGATAAGGATCAGGTCTACGGTAATGTAGTAGTAAGCAACCAGAAGATGTCATTCGTTTACTATAAGGCCTCGTACTTTGGTTTTCCCTGTTTAACGTCTTCAGCAACGACAAAGACGTCTGGAATCGCTATGCCCGCTACTCTTAAGGCTGAAGATGCATAGTTTCGCGTGGCGGAGGTACATATAGCCCAACAGGGCTTAGGGTAGTTTTTCCCCGGAAGCAACTTGGAGAAGCACGTCAGAGTAGGTTGGTGGAACTGTTGGATCCGTTAAACACATACTTCGTCCATGATGGGGCGTACGCCAGAGAGTAGGGTAATTCCTTTGCGTCCATTTTTTGTAGAGGAGTCGATGATAGCCTGTTCAAATCGCATAGCTTCTTTCTATAAGGTATTTGGCTATTATAATCATGAAGATTTCATTATTCGGCGGTGCTGACTTCAAGTTCTGCGTCATCTTGAATTCCACAGTGTTTCTTCAGATTTTCGACGGTTCTAACACCATGCGAAGCTGAGGAGGTAGCGCGTTTGAAAGTGTTATCAAAGTAAAATAATGTGTGAGTACTGACTGCTGAGGATTGCATGGATGTCTAGGCCAGGGTACGACTCCGCAAAAGTCTCCCATGCTCCGACGACACCTGCAGTTGAGTCGACTAGTGTCCCATCCATGTCGAATAATCTATACGAGTCCAACATTAGTGTAAAGTCTGATAGATTCAGTGAATTGACCCGCATACATAGCATCAACGGTGAGAATTGTGGTGGGCATCTTTTCCCTCGGCCACTACGTTGAAAGATGCGCTACAAGGTGGGAGTACAAACCGAAAGTACCCTGACCCTTTCAGCTGTTAAGGGAAAGATGGCTCGATAAAAGGCATCGGGCCGGACATCGTTCACGTTCGTTGAAGCACAAGGATGATAAACCGATATTTTCCCGAACGGGAAAGCGTTCCTATGTTTGGATCCAAGGCTGTTGCCAAACAAACGCTTCGGTAAGCAGCGGTGCATCGCAGTCTCGGTGTCATAGCAAGACTCAAATAGTCTTAGACCTAGTCATCATCATTCATCAATCATGCCGCCTCGACGTCGAACTCAGTTTACACAAGAGAGCATTGATCAACAGCTCCAGCAGATCCACCTCCTCGACCCATCTTCGTCATCTGAGAACCTCGAACAGCTTGGTCCAATAATCAAACAGATACATGCCGGCAGACAGCAAGAAATGTATCTTCGTAACCTGCAAGGGTTAATCGAATCAAAAGACAGTGAAATTGAAAGCATCTGTGCCGACAATTATCAGGAGTTTATATCTTCAGTTTCGACCCTGTTCACCGTGAAGTCATATACGACAAACCTGCGGGAGAAGATTACAAATTTGGATGCCAGCGTGTCACAGGTTGGGAGAGGGCTTGTGGAGAAGAAGAGGGCGCTTTTGCAGTCCAAAAAGACGGCTTCCAGTTTAGATGAAGCAATTGACACCATGCAGGCTTGCTTGCGGGTTCTTGACGTTGTAAATCGTGTCGGGGAAATGGTAAAGGAGGGGAAATATTGGAGTGCACTCAGGGTATGTACTGCACATTCATGCTTATTTTGACGTACAAGGTACGATGATAACTTCTCAGTCATTAGAGGATATTCAACGTATGCCATCGACGTCTTTATCCCAAACACCGTTCTATCAGCATATTCTCTCATCATTGCCGTCCCTGCGAAACCAGATACAGAGTGCAGTAACAGCCTCTATGAAACAATGGTTACTGGAGATAAGGAATGTCAGCGGCCAGGTTGGCAAGTTCGCCCTCGAGTCCATGGAATCACGAACGCGTCGATGGAGAGCTCGCCGAGACAAAGATCCAATGTTGAGATTAAGCCGAGTTGGCAGTGCCGTAGAGATGGTAACCCATGAAAGAACAGACAGTGAGTGTTTTTTCCGAATTGCTCATTAAATAAGTCACAAATGAAGATCTGCAGACAATGTGCTCGACAACGAGAAATTAAAAGTAGATTTCACACCGTTACACCAATGCATACATATATATACTTCTCTCGACTCTCTCGACGAATTACGGCAATCCTATCAAGCTGATCGTAAGGTCCGTCTTTTTGTTATGCATGTATTGCTTGTAATCGATCCGTTTGAGTAGGCCCAATCCGACCTCATTCTTCCAACGCCTCTTCCACTATCATCTCTGATCTCTCTAACACAAGAGATTTGTGGCTTTTTCATCATCGAGAATCACGTTCTAAGCACGACGGGAAACTTCCGCTCTGAACGTGATGTCGAGGAGCTATGGGAAGCTCTTGTCACACGATTTTCATCTGCTATAGAGGACTCGGTAAAGGCTGAGACCGATCCCGATGCATTCCTCAAGATAAAAGAGTGTCTCATCGGGTTTATCATGACTCTTGAGGTAACGCAAATACTGTAATCAATGCGCCTTCCCTACTAACGTCCAAGTATTAGTCCTTTACGTACTCTACGCACTCACTACAGTCCTTCATACTCGTCCTCTTTGAGAAATATGCGGCATTACTGGAGAAGCAATTCAGTCATCGCTTTGACACGGTATGTGATCATTGGGCCAGGTCTCTGGAGCTTCAGCTGACTGCTTTCTCACTTACAGATTGTGCTGCAAGATGACCATCAGGCTATGTACGTTGCGAAACCCACCGACCGGGATAACGTGCTCGGAATGGTGTGGCTCAGCCCAATAGAGCAAGAGGAACTTGCCAAGTACGTTGTATTCGTGTCGCCATATATATCTATGACTGGACCCACTAAATTATCATCTCCAGGGGTGCCCTTCCTATGAACTTACCGTGGTCCCAAAGTTTTTATTTATGTTGTCAAGATGTACGCCATGTCGCCTTCATCAGCGCAGTTGTTGTTTGGTCTTAATTTGTGCTGCAGATACGCACTTTTGTTCAGAAATTTTATCAATTTGTGGAGGGCGTCTCACAACATCACGCAAATATTGATGAGCTGTTGAGCAAGGTGAGTGGGCTCCCTCCACTGTTCTCACAGAACTGACCACTACTCGCAGTCACTGGATCAGCTCCTTTCTGATCACGTTAGCGAAAGCGTAGGAAAACGCCTCGCTGGCACATCAACACTTTCCCAGATCGCCCAGATCGTCACTAATCTGGAACACTTTCAAGTAGCATGTTCAGAACTTGAACGGTCGCTTACCAATCTACGGTAAGATTCATGTGGCACTTTGCTTGCTGTCACTTGTTGACCACGTAACAAATTGGATATAGTTCGACTCAACGGGGTGGTACGATTCGTCTAACTTCTTCTGCTTCCTTCTCTGCTACATTATCTCGTGCCCTGCAACGCATTACTGGCCTTATTACGTCTAAGCTTGACGACTTTTTTGAATTGTCTGAGTATGACTGGACGCCACACACTCGCGAAGATAATCCGAGCATGTATTTGTTTGAGCTAGTTCACTGGCTCACCACTGTGGTGGACTCGCTAGTAATCGAAGAGACGTATAAGGATGAGGCTTATAAAGGAGCTGTAGCATACATTGCTGAGTGTCTCATGGTGTGTTCTGTCTCTCTTATGAAAGTCACCAACAAACCTTCTGATGATCTCCGTTTGTAATTTTAAAGGATTTTTTGACGGGGAAACATATACCGGCCATCAATGAGAATGCAATTTCTAACATCCTGGTCGATGTTGACTTTCTCGATGGAGAATTCAAGCGCATCAAAAGGCCGCATCTCATCATAGTGTTTAGCGAGCTTCGTACCGTGAGTTTACTCAGTATCATTTATAATTCTTGGTTTCACGTATCAATCGCAGATGACTGCCATCGTACTGAATGATAAAGTCCAAGATTACTTGGTCCCCCAAATCCGCCAAGCGTCATACAGCACTGTGAAGCCTAAACGGCTACAGGTGTTACTTGAGAAGCTTTCGAAGTACGGTGCTTCCTGTAGAGATAATGCATCTCGAGATAAAGGAGAAAAACGCAGGAAACAGGCAGATGCAGTGGGTAGACTGTTCCCCGGAGAAAATCGCTAGCTATTAGTATTGCCCATGTTGTTCTCATTTCTTAATTTATGTCGCTCGCAAACGCTCCTGTTCGCCCTGGATTTTCCAGGAGTTTTATAAACCTCTAAGGTCAAATTTATACACAAAATGGAAATGTCGGAAACGAGGTGAAATCCTTGTATAACGAACGGGAAGCCAGTGGAATCAATAAAAGGAAATAGAGTGGATAATGATGAGAACAAGACGAGCGAGGATTCAGTAATAAGCTGTATAGGTTTTTGACATCACATAGGATCGTAGAGTGCGGTAAGGCTAACACAAGACCCGGAAGACGTAAAAACAGTGGACCACTATCCCCGACGCTTGATGTTCGTCGCCAACCACTCGAGACCCTCATAAAGACCATCCCCAGACGTGGCACAGGCAGCCTGTTAAGAATGAGCTCAATCTGTGGATACGTACTGCAGGCAACAAAAGGCACAAACCTGAATGTACCAGGTTCTCTGTCTGAGGCCGTGTAGACCAAGCTTGTCGGTTATTTCAGCAGCGTTCATGGCATTGGGGAGATCTTGCTTGTTGGCGAAGACAAGAAGGAGAGCATCGCGCAGTTCGTCTTCGTTTAACATTCGTTGGAGTTCCTCGCGAGCCTCCGAAACACGTTCCCGATCGTTAGAGTCAACAACGAAAATGATACCCTGGGTATTTTGGAAGTCTGCATAGAGTTACTGAGTGACGACAAGGACACTGGTGGCGGTTGCTAAGACGTACAATGCCTCCAGAGAGGACGGATCTTGTCCTGTCCTCCAACATCCCATACCGTGAACGAAATGTTTTTGTATTCCACAGTCTCGACGTTGAACCCTGAAAGTCATGAGTACAAGATTGCATAGCCTCGGTGGCTGAAAAAAACCTACCGATTGTTGGGATTGTGGTGACAATCTCGCCCAGTTTCAATTTGTAAAGAATGGTAGTTTTACCAGCGGCATCAAGACCAACCTATACAGCAATCAGACTATGAAAATGATATGGCTCTAAACAAAAGATTATACCATCAGAATACCTGAATAAAGTCGCAACGTCAGTGGGCAGAACTGATTGCTGAGTAGAGCCAATCGATTTGAAACACGTACGCATTTCCTTCTTGCCAAAAAGGCCAGATAGGAGGCGAGAGACTGAGAGACCCATTGCGAATAATAGACGGGGGTGAGGAACGTAAAGGAAAGGTTCGTAGAAATCGAGGTGAAGGCTGGTGAAGACGAGTCTGGGTTGCAAGTATCGTGAGGAAAGGTCGTTTCGGACTCCGCTCGCCGGTGGCGCTAATCATCTTCGTAGCGTGACCTCTTTCACTGGCGCTCATACTGTATTATCTGCATTATGACCCACTCTGACACGTACCCCCTACCATTCGAATACGTGGAGGCTGCAATTTTACGAGGACATACAACGCCTCTCATTCACGGATTGCATGGCCAGTAAGGAAGGTGCCACGCCACGAGCTTGGTCTTGTCGGGCTCATTCGGATACGGAACAACGGCATGCCTCCCCCCAAAGCCAGCAATGGCGACTCTCTTGCCATCTCCTGAAGACCTACTATTACACGGATAAAACTTCTAGACATTTATGATTTGGGAAAGTTGGGACCATGGATCTGGTTTTGTGGTCCATCCAACACACACTTATCCGAGCATCACCTTTGCTTTCGCATGCGACCTTTCTTACCGGCGGCACCTGAACAGCGCAGCCAACGTGCTGAAGATCACTGGCATAATCAGACATTGTGTTTAGATCGTCCCTAGAGCAACCCAGCTCTCGATTGTAGCATGCACCAAACAGGATCGCTACCGCTTATCTTTTCCGCCAAGTAATCGAAGAACACTTATTTTATTCCCCAGATAGCGTGGGTCCCCCACTTTGATTGTATATGTCCGTGGTGAAAGCAGTTTTTAACTGCTTTCACCACGAACTATGCTTGATATGTATTGAAGTGAGTGTACGTCTGCCTCTAACAGAACCGCGCTTAGCTAACCACTTCATCGTGGCCTTTCGCTCGCAGTTTCACACAATTTGCATGTTCAATCGATCATTTCCCCCACATTGATGCCTCCTTGCAACATACAATTACATATCCATAAATCATGCATCCTACGCGAAAGCTGTCCCAATTGACCATACCTGTACTAGAAGCCATGTGTGGACGATAATACAAGATAGATCTCAAATTTAAGCGTACGAGCTTCGTTTACGATATCTTCCAGCTAAGTGAGAACGAAGCTTCGAATTTCTATGTCCATCTTTGATAACTTGAGCTCCGCGAAGTTGATAGTACAATACTGGAAAGTAAGCCAAGTTACTATAACTGTGCAAGCCTGTAAATTTCGCAGCATGTTGGACAGCCGTTACAGTGTGCACAGCCACAAGTTTGAGCTGTAGTAGTGAACCGCCTTCGATCTGAACTAAAACTCCATAGGCACAGGTGTCCTACGATCTCTTGTTAATCTGCATAAGAAAGCTAGATAAAACTCAGATTCAAAAACAGAGATCGAGAGGCCACAGCCCTTGATCATGATCAGACCTTGGCCAACGGAGGTTAGCTGGTTGGACAGGTTATGTCGATCATAAAACGGGAGTAGTGATCCCACTATACGACGTCATTCGAGAATCTAACATTGATACCTATTCTAATTGTGGATTAAAGGGATATCAAGGTCGCAATGAACGGTTGGGATGAAGAAAGAAATTAATGACATATGGTAGACTACATGAAAGTCTTCAAAATGTAGAGTGAAGAAAGCAAAAAGAAAGCATAACTATTTCAAAACAAAGAAAAAATACACTGAGTTCTACAAGACTAGGATTACTAGTAGGATGTTTAGAGTCATGTCACTAGCAGGATATTAACGGCTTGGCACCCTATTGAGTGCCTACTTTTCTTGCACGAATCCTGTCCGCCCAACTCTTTAGCATTCCCCTCGACAAATGAGATGTCATTAATGTGGTTGCAGGCGCCTTTGAATTTGCTGCCTCCAGTTAGTGTATACGCCGCAGGACGGACTCGGTGCATATTGACAGACTTCAAAGAGTACTAATTGCTCTTGGAAGCCTGGGTTCAGCCAAATCTGCTCGCGTGCTGAATAAAAGCCAAAAGTGAGCATTATACTAAAAGTGAGACCAAGTATACTGTACCTTGTCTGATGATGTCCAGCGCCTGAGTTGATCGAATGCGCCGTGTACACATCACTGAGCGGGAAATATTGTGAGCGAGAAACAGGAAAAAGGATTCAGGAAGCTCACGATAAGCAGCTACGACAGCGGCACTGCGGGAGAGACCTTGTACACAATGTACGAGGACTGTCCCGCCATTATGAATGGCTTTGTCAATAAAACGACAAGCCCTTGGGAGTTCTATGAGAAGATCGGCGTGATCGACGTCTTCAACGTTTATACGCAAGTGCGTGAAGCCCGAAGCGGGATCCTCCGCGGGTATCTGATCGCTGCATACTGATATAATATGGGAAATCTTACGCTCGCTTAGTGAGCGGGACGACCGAGCTGCCTGGATACTTTGGTGGTAGGGGAGGAGAAGGTGAAATTAGAAAGGGTACGGCATGATATAGAAATGATGACACATACTTTCCAAGGTACAGCTTGCCTTCGATAATTGTGTTGACGTTCTTCCAGCCCATTATATTTGGCTGAATTGCTTGGAATCCCTTGCGAGAATGCCTTGGTCATTGTCCAGACTTGACGGTTGGTTTTGTAGTAGTCTCGCGGACACTGACGACCTCCGAAGGCGGTCGGTTTCAGTAGTAGCCGTATGTGCCATGGATAGCAGGAGTGCTTGCGAAGAAATGAGTTATGGATGGCGGTGTGTAAGAATGGTAGGCTCACAGCCCAAATTGTCCGCTGGAAAGAAAGACTTCAAAGCAGTGCACCGCGGCTACGTCCATATTAGGAAGGTCAGCCGCTTTAGAGCTTACAGCCACACTCGTCGCTTGGCACCTACTCTAAAACCTCAGTTCATTACTGGAAGCCTATCCCAACCATGCGATCTTGACGTACATGTTATTCGGAGTGCCTTCCCCACCTGATCCTGTGCTCATATCAAAGTCATAGTAGCACTCCTCCAAAACGTTGTCGAAGCTTAAGCTAAATATGGTCGTCCACTCAATGAACCCAGATTTCTCCCTCGGCAACCAAGGTAACCGTACCGTTGAGTTACCGACTTCTTTGCGTATTTCGCAACACATTGCTCTGTTTTGCACCTATGTTTTCGGCGAAGACCTCGGAAAACATAATTCCCGCTCTCCAACTCTCGTACCCTCCCTAGCGCTTCCCTTTCGGAAACATAGCAGACCCCAATCCAGTACTTACAATCTAATCCACCGATGTGACAACATTCGCGGTCAACAGCAGTACGTTCGACACTGACGGAACATCGAAGCTCTACAATGACGCCCTTCTCTCTCGGCCACTCCGATTATCCAATATATGATCATTGCCGCCAACTTTCAGCGCTTCAGAAATGTTGACATCTTCCCGTCGAATAGCCCAGTATGCTGATAGCGCCTGTGGCTGGCGAACGAGTGACGATGCGCCTTTTTCCAACATGATCTCAGCCACCGCAGCTTCAGTAACGTACGTGCGAGCAGGTACACGCCGATAGCGTGTCCAGTACGAACTGTGCCGACTTATCTGCATGCGATCTGGGTGCGTATATTGTACAGCTATCTGTCAAAAGGACAGTCTGTCGGTGGAGATCCAAAAGTGGGGTGCACGTATGCCAGCAACTTGAACAGCCATCTGCGTCGTACGCACGTCTTCAACGAGGATACAAAGAGGAGGAGGCCCAGTTACCGCAAAAGTCGTGTGCGCTTGTCCCAATCCAATTGTCCGGATGACCGGCAAACTTCGGCACACCAATACTGGTGGATAATGCATGTTTGGTACGTAAGCTGTGAAAGCAGAATAATAATGTCACGGTTCGTCTCCTGTGTGAAGTAATATCTTGTCTTCCTCTTCTCTTCCGAAATCTATCTAACTAGCCTTTGCGTTGGCACAATGCTGGAAATCGAGTGGAAATCGTCCGTAAGTGGTTAATCTTCCGGCTTTGAATCATCCATAGCGAACTTATCTCCGGCGGAAAGCAATATCACTCAGATGGGAGAAAACGAAGTAGACCAAAGGCGTCAACTGTTCATGGCTGGATCGTGAAATGGCGCGCCACGTTCTCAGGGAACGAGCGCCTTCGCCGGGAAGGCATACGAGAAATGCGTGAAGCTCAGATGGTGCGAGATTGGAAGCGACAACGGCGAGCTGCTCGCAAAGCGTCTAAGGGTCATCGGAGCATTGACAAGGGTTCGAGTAACTTGGGCATTTTCTCACTGTTCTCGCGTAGTGAGAAGAAGCGTCCACGTCGACCAGCTGCCCACCCTCGGGGCTCACATCAGTCTTCTATGAAGACCGGAAGTGCCAGACGAGTAGCAACGGTGACGAAGATGCCGGTTGCAACTAGGAGGGAGAGTGAGAAGAGGCCCGCTACCGGTAGCAGACGGCCAAGTGTCCAAAGTTCAAGGAAGCCCTCATACAACTCTAGAAGGGATGCAGTGAGGAAACCGAAGAAGTGAGGGAGTCATTCCGCACAACGCGGACAGACGTCATATCTCCATCCTATTTCATTCATAACTTTATTGTTTAGAGGGACTTTCTAACTTATCGGAGGACTGTATAACGTACTAGACGGACTGTAGATATATCTCGTTTGTACTTGTAGCCGGATGACCCAAGCCAGCCAGCCAGCTATAATGGACAGACTGGAAGTTCGGAAGCGAATGGCTTCATTGACTGCTATACTTGTTGGTCCTAATAAAGAAAGTGATAGGGAAGTACTCAAATAAACCAGCGTCGTTTGGTCGCAGAAGCGGAAGGTAATCAATCGGGTATCGGCAAGAGTAATTCATTGAAGGAATGTTCCATAAACATAGAGCAAGTATGAACGTGCACGAACGAGGTTTAAGTTATGTGGCGGACGATAGATACCCGAGTCCCGAAGTAGATTGCTCACAGATCAACAAGAGACTATAGAGCAAAGGGGTACAGACGATTAGGAGTGACAGAAGTTTGAAAAAACTGTACTTACCTGCTATAATACTAATCATTACGAGCCTGACCATCTCGTTGCATTTTCTTCTTCTTGCGTCGTTTGCGTTTCTTTTTCGATTTTGATGACGGGTTATCGCCGGTCATCGAATCTTGCTGATCTGGAAGGGAGCCACGAGGATGCGGGGGAAGCGGAACTGAAGGTGATGACTGGTTGAGTGACGGAGATTGAGAGGGTCGAGACAACGTGGAGGACGAGGCATCATCTGTTGCAGAAAATCTCGAGTTTGCTTGTGACGAAGTAGCTGTTCAGGAAATTTGTAGTGATCATTCACAACAAGCGTCAATTGCTCATACCTGCAGCACCATTAGCACTATGCTTTCCGAAACTCTTGTGCGACGACATCGGTGATGAAGGTAGTTTAATCTCCGTAGGAGTCAGAGTATGCAACTGAGTGCCCAAGGTTTGACGAGATATATGAGGTGTGGATAAGGCATGGGGTGTATGGGGAGGAGGTGACGCTTGCATTTTGAGTTCTGAGTCCACTTGATCCAGGGACATCTCATTTTTTACTGTCTTCTTCTTCTTTGTATGTGGCGTTGTGTGTTCGCCTGGAACGGTAGACGATTCAGAGGGTATGCTGTGTATTTGCTCACTTGCCGCATCGACTTTCGTCTTGGAGGCAGCTGGAAGTGATCGAAGACTATGCTGGATCGACATCCCATTCACAGACTGGTCTTGACTTTTCTTCTTCTTCTTCTTTCCTGCACCTACAGCAAAAGGATCTACTTTTGTTTTTTTCCGTATCACGCCCACCTTGCTCTCCTCCTCGTCATCAGATTGGCCTCGTGCGCTCGTGGTACGTCCATCTTCCTCCCTTTCGCGTTTCTTCCCTTTACCCTGAAGCTGATATTTTAAACGGGAAGTTTCACGCAGGGAGTTGCTCGATTCAGGTATAGGTGCGCCGACCCCAAGTCTGCGGGGACGAGAGCTATTCATTAGATATTATTGAAAGACTTGGATGATACGACATACCTTGGCGGTCTACGCATTTGTTCCTCCATTAGTTTTTGTGTATCAGAGGAGCTGAATTGTAATTTAGCTCTATCTGCAGGCGTCATCCAAGAAGTGACCAGGTCATGTGTGAGCGACATGGATAAATCGATCTTGGCTTGTAAGGTGTCGAGGTCGATGTCGTCTTCTGGGACGCCATCCATAGATTGTGCTGGCATGGTGCAATGCAATGAGAAGAAAATAAATAGAAGATCAGCTATGGGTCTTGCGAGCTGGCCATTTGCTACCAATCTGAGTCTGGCAGGAGGTAGTTACGCTGGGACCCCCTGAGCAAAAAATTGCTGTATGGCTTGCGATGCAGATATAGTATTTAGTTCCCACGGGCATTGGGAAACCTCCGCCGGGTACCTTTGTCCAGACGACCGTTGACGACACTGTAGATTCAGCAAGGGCATTGTCTTCCTTCAACATGAATGGCCGCAAACGAAACTGGAAAGAAATGGACTATTCTGACGAGGATGAACCGTCTTTTGGAAAGCAGATATTACCGGTCGCCAGACTTCCAGACAGCTTTGACAAGGAACCGATGGATGGGCTAGAATACCTATTCACCGTTCGGTGCGATTCGCTCCCCGTCTATACCTTTCTTTGTTCACTGATACCTTCTCTATGCCCCAGGCGTGATGCCCGTCAACTTCCACACGTAACAAGGGTAGTCAATCCATATGAGTTTCCTGAGCCTCCTGAGGTTGCACCGCAGTCGGACCCTGGCTCTCATCCACCGACGTCTACAACAGCAGATGCATTACCATCAAATCAATGGCGGCAGGTGTTCTTACGTCGGTTCAAAAACTTTCAGAAAGTGTGTCGTGATCTCAAACATATTTGCTACATTATATTCTAATTTTGTGCTGAAGAATGTAAACCAACCCACAATCCACGTGCAACATGTCAACCCAAAAACTAAAATCATGCCTGACAAAAAAGCCAGGGACTTGTGGTGGGCATTCCTGGCAGGGAAACCCGAATCAGACTGGGATCCTCCCAAGTTACCCAAACGAACCGCCCCGAAGAAGCGCGGGACTACCAAGATGCGTGCTTTTGCTGAGTCAGATTCCGAAGAAGAACTTGAGGATACGGAAGACCGCATATCCCCTCACGAAACGTGGGCGATTAACGAGGACGGGGAGGTTGAATTAATTGCTGCAGATGATGTCGTCGATTCGCTGCCGGCGCCTTCAAGTACTCCAGGACCCGATATGGCCACAGAGCAGAAAGAAGCTGTCTCCGATCGGGTTGAGGCCCCTTCCCAAACCATTTCGCAGCATGACGTACCTCCGAGGCTCGCTCCCCGCGAACCAACCCCAACTATGCTACGGAGAATAGACCACGTAAGCGCATCGTGTGTCTGCACGCAACATCTTATAACACTTTGTCTGCAGCGAACGTCTCTTCATCTTCTGATGTACTTTACGCATTGGATAAACGTACATTTGAGCCAACCTAATTCCCCTTCATTGGCGGTGACCGAAAGCCATGCAAGCTGGATGTTTGCTTTATTATCCAAAATAGAAGAGCACATATCTGCCGATGATATGAGTCTCTTACGAAACCTCGCACGTGCCTGTCTAGGACTGCTAAAGGAATCTATGCAAAATGACAAGGCGTTAGGGGTGAGATGTACAGGAAGTACAGGAGATACAGATGTCAGTCCACAGTCCGGCCAACAATTGATGAGCGCTTCATCATGCTGGATGATTCTCACCGCTGTAATTGAAATCTGGGGGCAGAAGGATCTTTGGGTGGACGCAGAAGCTATGTTGGCAAGTGTCTAGCTTATTTGCTGTATCAGTTTACTTGCAGCCTGTCATTTCTTACAGCAATCCGGAGTATCGACATGTCATATCAGAAATGTAAATAATGTAAGTGAAATGCCATAATCCAAGACGTTTAGAGATCGACTTGGTGCCTGGGCTGCAAGTCTGATGGTAACGCCTTTGAGCTATGCTGCTCAGTGTCTATAACGTCGATTGTTCAAGGTTCCCTTGCAGCGCTTCGGCGGAGAGAATACACCTTGCAATGCAACAGATCGAGTCTTATGGCGATGCTTTCCGCGCAGCTCGCAATGAGGAGGTCTAATCCAACTATTGGAAATACGGTGGTCGACGTGTTTCAGGAACGTCCGATGATCAAGATGAGGCTGATGCTCGGTGTTGAAACTACTGAACATCAAGAAGGGATATACTTATGGGGACAACGAGCCATCTATTAAAGACCATGCCTATTTGCCATGGACGGCTCCGTCTCTCAAATAGGTCCGGACGAACTCTCAAGGACATGAGGATGACTTCTGACAGCAAAATTAGGATGAAGCTTGCAAGATAACTTAGCCAGAGACGTGCAGATAAGAGCCACCGGGCGTCAAAGGTGTCTGGACTTGGCCGGGTTGAAGGCGGCGAGGGGTAGCGCGTGGGAAATCGACGGAAGCTACTTCGCCTCGTGTCTTCGGACGCCAATTAGTCTGGTTTCTTGCTCAAAATGCCCGTCGTGCTTCTTCAACACCCCTTCATATAAAAAGGTTTAAAAGTCAGCTTTTCAGTTTTGTTTTACTCCTCTGTCCTTCGTCTTCAACCACAACGTCGTCGAGTTATAGTCCATCATGCGCACGTTCACCGCGTTGTTTCTCTCTTTCGTTGCCTTTGCCTCTGCTTACTCCGTCAGCTCTCCGAGTAGCTCACAGGGATGGACTGTGGGTGCACAAAACTATTTGGTCTGGCAGCGTGTCGACACAGACCCAGCAAACTTTACGGTCGTCTTAACTAACCAAGTACTTCTATTCTATTGTTGGCCTGGGCTGTGTGCTGACATTCACGTGTAGAACCGCGCTGTTATGCCTCTCAACGACCAAATCCTCGATGCTCTTGTCGATGGTACCCTTGGTCGCATTGTTTGTAACCCACCAAGCGGCGGGTGGCCTACTGGAGATGGCTTCCAGGTCAACCTCGCTACCGACAGCGAGCATCTTGACAGCCTCCTAGCACAATCCAACCAGTTCAGCATCACTGCGGCCTCTTCTTCAAGTGGTTCCACTACCTCGTCCAGCTCTTCGCAATCATCGACGTGAGTCTAATCACAACCTTCTTGTCATTCTATTCTCACTCGCATCATTAGCAACACCGTGACTTACCCAGTCATCACTCCGACTTCCTCCAACTCTGCTGGCACCACCACTTCCTCGGACACCAGTACCAAACCCACAGGTACCAACGGTGCAGCCCAGAATATGAACATGCAGGCTGGGTTCTTGGCATCTGTTGCCTTGCTGACCGCCCTTGTTGTTTGAAAAATATGAACGGACATTCGCGTGACGATTACGGACGTTCGTGATGGAGGATCCTTGGCTTTCATCTCATTTTTATGGTTCTATTCGGCTCCCTTCATATTGACACTCTTTGAGGTTAATTTTGGTAATTCGCCTCTCTAGTTCGACATTTGCACTTTACACTGTAGATCCCTAGATACCTACTTGCATTTCCATGCGTCAATTTAATCGTGTTTTCTGAGATTGCTGAAATGTGTGAAAGATACACGAGTTACAAGTCGACAATTCGACATCATTTTAACAGCAAAGTGGACGGTATTGCCGAACTTCGCGAGTGGGTAATCGATCACTAAATTTCCATGTTATGTACGTACACAATCAACTTGAACATGTACTAGAATGAGAACGTCTTCTGCAGCTGGATGGATGGATCTCACCAACATATTATGCTTAGTCCTTATTATGCTTTCAGTCAATCCAAATTCGTGCACATGACTCGGACTGATTACCCAGATAACAGCCTGAAAAGCTCTGAATCATCATCTCAGCTCCGAATTCCTCTCCCATCCACATCGACCCCATGTCTCCCACCCACTCCTACGAGCACCTATTACCCCCAAGCTGGAAATCCCAGATCGCAACATGGCTCGCCGAGGACACGCCCTCGTTTGACTACGGGGGGTACGTCGTGGGCGAGGCGCACCGCGAGGCGTTCCTCTTCGGCAAGGGAAAACAGACGGCTGTGCTCGCTGGACGTCCGTTCTTCGCTGAGATATTTGCGCAGGTGGGCTGCGAGTGCGTGCTCTTCCTTTTCCCTTCCTTTTCCTTTCCTTTCCTTTTGACTTGTTTTCGAGTTTATTGCATTATCGTCACCTAAGAGTGAGAGTGAAGAGCTGATCTGTCCGTTGTAGGGTCGAATGGCATATGGAGGAAGGAGAGACGTTTGAGCCGATCAAACACGTTGCTACCGTCAGGGGAAAGGCGCGACACCTACTGCTGGGCGAGAGAGTAGCGCTGAACACGCTAGCGCGATGCAGTGGGATCGCAACAAAGTGCGTGTGTTTCGTGTGCTAGTGACGGGTTTGAATCGTTTTTTGTCTTACTCTCATGTTTCGAATTTTATGATGGGGTAGGTCGAAGAGGATCAAAGATCTCGCGAGGGGGTATGGGTATGAGGGTGTTATTGCGGGAACGAGGAAGACGACGCCGGGTATGTGTTTCACTTTCTTTCTCACTTTTGGCATTTGTATGTTGGCTCACAAATACCTTTTTTACTTCTGCCTTTCTGCTTTTGCTTGCGACGCAATCCCATCGATAGGGTTCAGACTGGTTGAGAAATATGGGATGATAGTCGGCGGTATCGATCCCCACCGACACGACTTGTCGAGCATGATCATGCTCAAGGATAACCACATCTGGTCTTCAGGTACCGTCCCTCGCCCCTCCTCCCGCTCATCGCCCCCCACTAACCCAAGCCATTTCGTCCTTACTCCCAATTCCCATTATTCATTTCCGGACAGGTTCTATCACAGCCGCCATCCAACAAGCGCGCGCCGTCGGCGGGTTCACCCTCCTTCTCGACGTCGAAGTGGGCTCCGAGAGCGAGGCCGACGAGGCGATCGACGCCGGTGCCGATATCATCATGCTCGACAACATCGAAGGGGAGCAGCTTGTCGGCGTCGCGCGGAGGCTGAAGGACAAGTGGGCCGGACGGCGAAAGTTTGCGTTTGAGACGAGTGGGAATATCACGGAGGCGAATCTGCAGTCGAGAGCTATCCGTGGTGAGTCCTTTTCCCCTCCTTATTCGTCGGATGCAGCGCTGAAGGAGGTTGCCCCCCTCGTTGCCCGTTTGTTTGCAGAGATCGATATCCTGAGTACGAGCGCCGTACACCAGTCTGTGCAGCACATCGACTTTAGTCTCAAGATCCAGATGCCCAAATAGCTTCTTGCTTTCCTTTCTTTCCTTTCTCCTTTTTTCAAAGTCGTCGCGACGCGAGTTATATATTCTGTATCTTTATTGACATGTTGAAATATAAAACGGAAAAAAGATGTGTTGTACTACTCTCGCGTGTGCAAATCAGACCAACCCAAAGAGCCTCAGCGCGTTCTGCCCCCTCACAGCCTCCTTCTCGCCATCCTCCCATCCGCTCACCTGGTCGATAGCATCCAGATTGTCCACCACACTCTTCCACTGATCAGTCCTATTCAGCGGGGGGAAGAACGGGTGATCAGTGCCGAACAACAGCCTCCCACTCCCGGTACCACCAACACTCCCCTCGTCCCCGTCGCTCCCATCCTCACTTTCCCCCGTCCTTGCACCCCGACGATACGCAGGAGCACGCGCGACGACGTCCCCCACGAACCGCAGCTCCTCAGGCCCGTACGCCACCGCGTCGTAGTAGAGCCTTCCGAGGTAGTGTCGCGCGTCGTGTTGAAGCCGCGATGCGACGATGGGGTCGTGGTCGATGCAGGAGGCTAGGCGGGAGGACAGCTGGGGGAGGGCGCCGCCGGAGTGGGCGAGGAGGATGCGGAGGGAGGGGTGGCGGTCGAGGGTGCCTGCGAGGATGAGGCGCGTGATGGCCTACAACCGAATCGCGCGCGAGAGAGAGAGGAAGAAATGACGGTGTCAGTCAGTCAGTCAGTCGAAAAACAAAAAACAAAAAACATAGTAGTCAGTGTTCAAAAAAAACGGTCGAGGGTCGAGGGCCGAGGGGCGTGGTGAAGGAGAAGACGAGGGACACTCACGATCGTCGTTTCAAACGGAAACCCCAGCGCGAGCGGCAACACGGTGCCCCGTTATCCCTCTCCCCCGAACGCCCTTTTGCGTCGACGCCCGTAGTGGGGGGTGCAAGAAGACGACGAGGTTGGCGCGCCGCGAGGGGCGTCCCCAGACGGGGCTCGAGCGCGGCGTCGTCCAGCCCCGCGGCCCGACGCCCTCGCGTGCCCATGATGACGCCGCGGATGTTGGGGGGAGGGGAGGGTGAGTTGGGAGATGGCGGAGAGGAGGGAGGAGGGGGAGATGGAGGGGACGAGGGGGAGGAGGCCGAAGCCGTAGAGACGTTTGAGGGACGGTTGGGCTTCGACGGGTTGGGGGGGTGGAGGCGAGGCGGAGGGTGGGGAGACGGACATGGAGAGGGAGAGGGAGGGGGAGGAGGCGCAGTAGTCTTCGAGGTCTTCGTTGAGCTCTTTCGCGAGGGTACTGGCGCGGGAGGCGGGGAGGAAATCGAGCCATGGGTTGGCAGAGCTGTTAAACCCAAGCAAGCGTCAGTCGTCACGGTCAAAAACCAGTTTCAAGTCGTTGCAGAAAAGCGCAGTGAAAAAAACAGCGTCAAAAAAAAGCTTCGCGTATGATGCTACCCAGTGCACTGACCTGACGAAAGAGATGTCAATCCCATGCCTGTCCATAAACCGCACCTTCTCCTCTCTATCCCAGTACTATCAATTCATCCATGATTAATGATTCGTGGATACCACGAAAAAAAGGGAAAATAAGAAGAGTAAAGTAGTCGATTAACGTGGGGTGCCATTCAAGTTGATGGGCGGGAGGGACATACCTGCTTGCCCACAGGCCTCCCCTCACTCGGCTCCCCCTCCAGGATCAACAACCTCTCCTCGCTCTCGCCACTCGCACTGACGAGCGGGAGGATGCGCGGCGCGGTGGTTCGGGCGCGGAGTTCTGCGGCGTAGCGGGGGAGGTAGACGTGGGTGTGGACGTCGACGAGGGGGCTTTTCGTCGTTGTCGCTGGGTTTGCATCCGAGGAGGCGTGGACGACGTTGATGTTGGCGTGTGCGTGTCGGGCGTGCATGGCGATCCGGAGTGGACGCGTTGCCGCCAATCGATGGGAGGCGGACATGGGGTGCTCTCTGGAGCTGTATATTTAGGTATCGATGAGATGAGGAGATGTGGGAAAGGAATGACCCTATCTCGGTCTAGCGCTCAGACTTTTTGCGAACTGCCAAACTGGAGGAGAAACATGCATGATATTAATAAGTACACGCGACCCCCGAACGCGGAACGTGTCAGTTCCTCGACGTTCCTCAGGGTGGGGGACGAAGTCCCTATCGTCGGTTCCATCTCAGGCTCATACGCCTATTCCCAATCACCACGTTTCTCAAATTCGGGGCAGCCGACACATGGTACGAGGTGGCTAGTCTAGTCCAATATAACGCTGATTTGGTGGGTGCCCCCGTTCGGTGGTTTCAAGTAGAGAGAAAACCGCACGGCACACATCGGCTTATAACGGCCTATTTGGCATTGCGTAGATAGAGCAAGGACTTAGTGAAATCAGACGAAAAAATCTATACTCGTGATACATTGATACATGTATTGTAATGCTGGCATAGCAGCTATACGACCTGAACAAAACCAATGGCTTTCACAAGAACGACGAGCTCTTGTCCCAGGGATTATTGAAGGCCATCCTAATCTCCAGCATTGGTCAACAGGGCCCCGAGAATACCAGGTTGAGAGCTGGATACACTCACTAGCAAGTGTGTCCCAGCTCCTGGTCGTCCCGACAGGAGGTGGCAAAACGGCTGTCTTCTATGGCCTGCTACTGTTAATTCAAGAATTAATCACAAATCCAGTACATGGAGTTGAGGACTTACCAACAACACCAGTTATACTAATTGTAACCCCTCTCATTGCCTTGGGAAATACTCAGGTGAGTAGCTTAACCACGACAAATAATCGGGCTTACCAAACAGAACAGGCGGCTGAGATGGTCAACTTGAACATCAAGGCCATAGCTGTACACTGGGACAGTGTCCTAATAATTCTAAGTCAAACTCTATAGATGTTAGTTTAAGGTGATCTCTAATAAATGTAATGTAACATACCTCAGCCGCTGCCCGAGAGGCTATAGAAACAACTGAGGTATTCCTATACTAAACCCCCTACTACTTATAGTCAGAGGTGCTACTCGCTACAGTATAATGACTCCTAGGAGTACAATGGTTACTCCATGGAGTGGTGGCTATGCTCCATGGAGAACAATGGCTGCTTCGGCAGAGACCGGGTTTATCCGGTTTTGTCACTCCCACTCGAGTGCAACCGTAGTCCCATAGCTTTAGAGAATTTCCAGTGTTTTTCATGAGTGAGGGGTTTAGTGAGAATGTCTGCAACCATATCTCCTGTAGGAACGTATCTGATTACTGCCTCTCCCTTTGATACTAAGTCATCTCGGATAAAATGATATTTCCGTTGAATGTGTTTTGTGCAAGCACGGAACTGTGGATCTCGTGTAAGAATGATAGCTGCTTGATTGTCACAGTGCAATGTTGTAGGTCCATTTTGAGCATGTCCAATTTCTTCAAAAAATGTCCGAAGCCATGCAAGGTGTTGTCCAGCATTGCTCAATCCAATGTACTCTGACTCCGTGGAGGATAAAGCTGTGAGGCAACAATAAACTATAACAAAAAGGAAACCTGTCTCCTTCTGCACTTGCAGGGAGTAAGAGGTTTGATGAGCTTGAGGTCAACAGACGCTAGTAAACATAGCGAGTAGAGGACTTGGGATGTAAGCTCAAGGGTTTCGGTTGAGGAGTAAAGCGGGTAAATTCAGTAATAGAAAACTAAGGAACGATACATGAATAGGTAAGGCTTTATATAGTGAACTGTTCGTCCCTCAGACCGAAAGGAGAATAAACAAAAAGTGGTCTGAGGAATAAATCGTCCAATAAGAAAAAGAGAACAACTATTGTACAACTTTAGCTTGATTAATCAGCGGGTGAGAGATTTGTACTAATAATAGATGTTTGTTACACGTGTTCAGGAACCGATCCTGATCAAAGTGTTTATTAGTATATCCAGGCCTTAATGGGGCTTGGAGCTGGTTGGCGAGATGCCTACTACCAGTCCCTACCCATTGTGCTGGCTGGCTGGGAGTGATACCCAGTCTCTGATCTGTGATATAAAGTGGTAACAGTGGTTAAGAAAGCCTGTGAGGGCTATGAGAAGTAATATGGCAAATGATACCTCTAGCCCTAGAGCCAGAGGTGTAATAGGAAAAGCGTTCGAGAACCAAGACATAGAGAAGATAAGAAAATAATAAAATGGTCCTTACATTACCCCCCCCTTTTATATTCTTGTCCCAAGAATCTTAACGCTGCAGTCCGTGAAGCGGTTTGTGATCCAGTCGAAGAGGCGGGGTTTTTCGGTAGTAGTGGTGAAATTTTTGTAAGGGCGGAATTGTAAAGCGGCAGCAGCGATTACACGTGGGGCAGCAGGGTGTTTGCGATGAAAGGTGGAGATGAGCGAGGGAGAATTCCTTAGGTGATGATCAGGTTCCCATGTCCTTTCCGTGATCGGATATCCTTTCCAATGGACGAAGTAGTCAAGCTTGACCCCTTTTAGTTTAGTAGGTCGCGAAGCGATGATTTCTTCGGCTTCGCATTCGACAGCGCTATCTACTTGAATCGGCGGAGGTTTCGAGGTACAAGGTTGATTGGGAAATTCCGGCGCGTGATACGGTGACAATAGTATTTTGTTGAACACGGGATGGATCGCCTTCCATGATCTAGGGACATCAAGGAGATAGGCTGATGGGCCAATTTTTGCTTTCACCGTGAACGGGCTGAATCACTTGTCATCTAGTTTCTTCATTGGCCGATCGGTGGAGATATGCGTACTTTCTAACCACACCTTATCTCCCTTTTGATACTCTTGTGCTTCCGTGCGTTTTCGGTCGTAATACTTCTTAAGATTTTGATTAGCGAGCAGCAGTGATTGCCGAATCTGCTCATGTAGTTTTGTCATAGAAGTTGCGAACTCTTTGGCAGCTTGCGAGCGTCCGGAAGGCTTCTGACCGGTCCCTTTGTGAGGGTGAGAACCATAATTTACGAAGAAGGGGGTCTGATTGGTTGTGGAGTGAAGGTGATTGTTGTATGTAAATTCGGCAATGGCTAGCCAATCAGCCCAGTTGTCTTGTCGGTGATTGATGAACGTGCGCAGGTAGTGTTCCAGATCTTGATTGATTCGTTCAGATTGCCCATCAGTTTGGGGGTGGTAACCTGTTGATAGACCGGGTTCAATCCCAAGGGTTTGATAGAAATCCTTGGTGAAGTTTGACATGAACTGAGGTCCTCTGTCCGATATGATTTTTTCCGAAATACCGTGTAGCCGTATGACTGAATCTCGCAGTTGTTTGGCGTAGCCTAACAAATCAAGAGTGACGTGTGTTGGTACAAAGTGAGCCATTTTAGAGAATCTGTCAACAAAAACTTGGATTGCGTCGTATCTGTTCGACTCTGGCAGTGCTCCAATAAGATCCGTCGTGATTATCTGCCAAGGGCGATCAGGGATTGGGTTGGGATGGAGGGGAGCATGCAGTTTTTGGCGATGCGACTTTGTTCTCTGACATATCTCACATTCTGCAACATATTTCCTGATATCCCTCCTGAGGCTAGGCCACCAGAAGGATCGGTTTACTCCTTCGTACGTCTTTCTTTCGCCTGGATGTCCACTGAGGCTGGTGTCATGTTTTTCTTCGATAATATGTGCCCTTAACTTTGGGTCTTTGGGTACATAGATGTTGTTTTTGAATGACCCTGATGTCAATTCATCCTCTTTCTCGTTTCCTATCCAGATGATTCCGTCTCGTTTCTTCCAAATCTCTGGATCGTCTTTCAACTTCTTTATAACGTAATCATCTAGTTTGTGCTGCGAAGCTAGCAGCTCGTCCAGGTAGTGTTCTTCTAACGCATCTTCCATAGTATGAATGTTTGCTTCCGCGAGTTGAGGTAGAAGGACCTGTCCTTCATTGTCTCTCTCGCCTCTCGGATGGTCTACTCTTTGACTAAGTAGGTCCGCCTTTGTGTTTGCTGAGCCTTTTACATGCTCTAATTTGAAATTGTATCTGGCTAGCGTGTCCATCCACCTAGCCTGTCGTCTGTTTACCTTCTGGGGGTCTCGGAAGTAGGTGAGGTTCTGATGGTCAGTGAAGATGGTGAACTGGTGTTTAGCTCCCATAAGGAGATGTCGCCATTCTTCTAACGCATGCATTACCGCTAGCATCTCTTTATCCCAGATAGCATAATTTCTTTCTGCAGGGTTCATTGACTTTGATAGGAATGCGACCGGTCTCCATTTTCCTTCTTGCTGCTGGGATAATACCGCTCCTGTGGCGTAATTGGAGGCGTCGCACTCAACCTTGAATGGATCTTCATCATTAGAGATTGTGAGCGTAGGCGAGGTGGTGATTGTTCTTTTGAGAACATTGAATGCTTGTTGTTGGTCCTCGGCCCACTCCCAATCTACTTTACCGGTGAGAATTGTTAGTGGTTTTGCAATTTTTCCATAGTCTCTGATAAATCGTCTGGAAAAGTTTGAAAATCCTAGGAACGACTGTAACTCCTTCTTTGTGCGTGGTATCGGCCATTCTGCGACTGCTTGTACCTTTAACGGGTCCATGCAAATTGTATCATGAGAGATGATCATTCCCAGATATTCGACCTCTTTCTTCTCAAACTCGCATTTCTCTGGTTTGAGATATAGCTGATTGTCTGCAAGTATCTGAAGAACTTTGGATACAATCTTCCTATGTTCTTCTAGCAAATCAGTGAATATCATAATATCGTCCAGGTATACGATGACAGATCCTTCGTTGATCAGGTCTCGGAGAAGTTGATCCATCATTGTTTGAACGGTGGCTGGGGAGTTCGTAAGTCCGAAGAACATAACTAGAGGTTCGAACAATCCTCTATTAGTTCTGAAGGCGGCTTTGTGCTCATCTCCTTCTTTGATTCAAACATTATTATATCCCCAACGGACATCCAGCTTGGTGAAGAATCTAGCACCTTTGAGCCGGTTTATCAATTCTGAAATGAGGGGTAATGTATATCAGTTTTTGATCGTAAGGGCATTGAGTTTCCGGTAGTCTTGTACTGGTCTGAGAGATCCATCCTTTTTCTTGATAAAGAAGAACGGGGATGCATAAGGGGATTTTGACACTCTAATCCTCCCTGTCTCCAGGTTTTCTTTTAAGAACTCGTCAAGATGGATCTGTTCATTGCGGTTAAGTGGATATGTTTTACAGTCTAGACCTTTGGCTTCTGGCAGAAGTTCAATTGCGTGGTCCCAGACTCGTCGTGGGGGTAGTTTATCAAATGACACTTTCGTGAATACTGGCTCAAAACGATGATAAGATGGGGGAACAACGTCTCTGAACGTGAGTGTTGACTTTGCTCGTTCTGATTCTTCTGCAATCTGCTGGCTTTTGGTCTGAGATATGTTGCTTTCAACAGAAATTTTGTCAATCCTGCTCTGTAAGTCTACAGCGATGACTCTATCTCCGTCTTCAGGGTGATACTCCGTATCATCAGAAGGGTACGTGATAGTGTTTGTTTGCCAGTTGATGTCGGGATTTGTGCGTTGTAGCCAGTCGTGTCCTAATAAAATTCTGGTCTCTCTCTGTCCAGTAACCAGGAAATCCATTAATTCCGTACGACCCGCCACAGTTAGGCGAAGTGTCACATATTCTGTCAGAGGTCCAGTGCGATTTTTGGTTCCATCTGCATTTGAAACGATAACACAAGTTGGAAGTGGCCTCGTGGAAATGTTGTGTTGCCGAACAAAGGCTTCATCAATGATGGAGTCTGTGCATCCCGAATATATCAGAACTGGTATAACATGCGTTTGGTGATCGTCAATTGTGGATAATTGGCATTGTAGCGAGAGTTTGCGTTGGTGAGACGGGGGAAGGGATGAGAAATCTTTGATCACATTCAACTGCTCTACGATGTAATCTTCATCGTGCTGCTTGAGCAAATTGATTGTATCCGTCATGATATGTGGGTAA